CACACAATGCTACCATATTTCTTACTTCAAGATTCTTCAGTGTTTTGTTTGGAAATTTGAGATAATGTGGGAGTACTATTAGAAAAGGCTTCTGGATGGCTGTCCTGTTCACAGAACTGTTATGGGAGATACAACCAATTAAAAAAACACATCTATAATGATATTTTTTCCTTGTAGGTCCCTATTTCTCATTAGGACTTCCCCCTGCTACTGTTGCTTATTTTTGTCCCTTCTCTAGGCTGATGAACATATTTCCAAGCAAAGCCATACATAGCCACCATTATTTTATTTTCTAAAAAAGCTAATGGGTCTCATTTGGCATCCAAAGACATTCTCTTTAAAAAAAAAATGTTGGTGTTGGACATGGTCTTTGCAGCATGACAACTTCCCATTTTTAATAATATTTGTTTTAACTGGTAAAAATAGGCAAGGGAAAGGACCTGCCAGGTACCAAACAAGTTGTCTGTATTGACATTGGTACTTCTGAGTACCACTTTAGGAATCTCAATCCTAAATAAGTCTTTTAATTTATGTTTTGGAATATTTTCTCAGACAGTATAATAAAATTTTGTCTGGCTTAATCATGATACCAGTAGACAACATGGCAACTGTAACATATATAGAAAAATGTCCACATGCTCTCCAGATTAAATGAAAAGTAAATTTTAAAAGTTTCAGAGTAAAGAGCCTTAAGAAATTACTAAATCTAATCAGATTTCTTTGTTTCCACTTAACAATGTGGAATTTTCCAGGTTGAGATTTATTGATCTTTCAACTTTTGGGGCAAATTATTTTATTTTACCAGACTCCAAAGGTACCTATTTTTTTTACAGTAAATACATGTTATTTTTCTTAAATTGTATGAAATATTTTTCATTTCTGCTTTAATTTGGGTTGTTATGATTTTTATTACTTTTTAATCTCTTATTCTGGTGGTTTGTACTAAAAAGAATGTTTCAAGCGATATTTTAACACGGACAATAACAATACAGTCTGTTAACTTCTACTTTCTGCATTGTATTGCCAGCTGATGTAGTTTGTGAACCAATCCATTTTTTTTTTTATCTTTGTGACCTAGCTGTTAGATTGCTACTTTACCATATTTCCGTAAAGAGAAGCAAGCTTTATAAAAGATTTGGGACAAGTTGTTAGGATTCAAGTCTGTTCTAGTTGATGTGTGAAATACGTTTTTTTCTTCCATTTAATCATGTTGTACAGAGTCTGCCTGGACAAAACACTGCAGTTTTCTTGGCAACATTTTTCAGGAGTGTTTGGCCATTGCCTCCTAAGGCTGAGAGAAAGTGGCTGATCCAAGATTCCCCAGCTAGCTGTACAGCAAAGGCAGTACAGTCCTAGAAATCAGGTCGCCCAGTTTCTAGATTACTATCTTAAGCACTTTTCAGAATGAAATTTCTCCAGCCTGACAATTATAGCTCTGCTTTTCTAAATATTTGGTTTCCTGGTGGAGGCCATGTTTTTATATCACTATTAATTGTAAAGGTATGTTGTGATGCATTAGATAATTTTTAAATTACATTATTCATATTAGATCATATATGGTATTCTGTGCTAGGACTATAAAATCAAACATGATTTATAATTGATACTGAATTTATCATAAAATATTAAACTTAACAATCAAATATTTATTTGTGTGTCTTTCATTAAAAAGGTGTAAATAATTCTCCAAAGTAGAAAAACTAGGTGCAAATATAGTATACCCAAAGGTTTAAAAAAAATCATACTTTTTATAGAAACTGTAAAAATTCTTAGTACAGATTTCTATATAAACTGTAGAACAAGAATTCATTAAAATATAAACCATATACTATATATAGATAATCCTCACATAACAATGGTAAATTGAGATTATGTAATTTCTGTCACCAAACTATGTGGTCGTAAAACATGATGTCACATAATGTCACAGCTTAACAATAGAAATTCTGCACTTCCAGTTGTTGACGTTAAGTGACCATTGCAGTCATTAAATAAGAACATAACGTGGTTGCTTTATGCAACCTGCTGGCTTCCCCATTGATTTTGTTTGTCGGAAACCAGTGAAAAAGGCCACAAATGATGATCACACATGACTGCAGGATATTGCAACATTTTAGTTGCAAACTAGGTATCTAGATCGTGATCATGTAACTGTGGGGATGCTGTAGTTTACGTAAGTATGATGATAGCTTGTAACTACAACTTATTCAGCACTGTCGTAAGTTTGAATGGTTGAAAAATAAATGGTGGTTAACTGAGAACCTACCTATAGCTTCAGGTAAATATTTATATGAAATACATAGTATTGTACAGTTCTTCATTCCTTGTGGAAAGCACGGAAGCCATTGTCATTCACAAGCAGTTTTACTCCATTTCTAATATTGAGACATTTTACCATTTTAGAATAGCACCTCACAACCATTATAATACAGGCATACTTTGACACTCAGCTGCTTCAAAACTCGTCAGATTGGTATTCAGCATGTTTTGAAGCAGAAATCTTGTCCCGACACTTGACGCATAAGGAAGAACTTGCTGATATCGGCTGCCTCGTGACATGCTATTTCTTCTGGCCAAAACAGTGGGTCACATGGTAAGTCATGTGGTTTTCCTGGTACCCGTCATTTTTAGTATTCGTCACGTCTTCCGGAATGAATTACCGACGAGTATCAAGGTATCACTGATACAATAGATGATATAGTTAAAGTCATTTGTACAAGATTTTAATTTTTACAACATTTAAACTTGTGATCATGTGAAAGGAAAGAGTCTGGTATGAGTCACATGGAGACATATATTACTATTATTACCACCGTATTGCTACATCTCCTTGGAATGTTGTTATACAGGTTTCTCCCATGTAGCTGGAATTAGTGGATTTCAAGTCATATTATTGTTTCCTGTTTATAATTTGTGTTCTTCCTAAACAAATGTACAAAGTGATTGTTTTAGCAATTAAAACTTTACTTACAAATAATTAAAAGCTTTAATGCTGTCAAGGGGCATATTATAAACTTCTGGTCCCAGAGTTTACACAAGTACTCAAGCAGGCTAAGGAAAATTATTTATTGGACTTGTAAAGTGGTTAGATGGCAAGATGGCGAACAAAGCAAAAGCTGAGATAGGGAGAACAATAAAAAATGGGGGGAAATCTAAAATTGTGACATGGCTTATATAGTCGTAGTTAGTAGAAATTGGTTGAAATATGGGGGATGAAAATGTGTAGATGTTAATACTGTTTCATGTATCAAAATTATCATACGGTGAGTTAGAGTGATTACACTTTCTCAGGTATGGAATGTAATGTGCTAATTTTCTTTTGAGTTAGTAATGAACTAGTATTTATTAACAGACATTCACAAAAAGAAAACTTCCTGATCATATGAGTTTTTGAATGTTAGAGTAACATGCCTTTTCCAAACTTAGCACACAGTTGCTTTGAAATAAGAGTCTGCTTATGATTACTCAGCAGTGACTTATATTTGAGTTTAGAGATCATTTACATTTCCAAGATTTAGCCATAACCTTGATACAGGATCTAATACTCCTGATACGGATTTTTTTTCAGAATAAAGTTTCTTTATGTATCAGAGTTAATTCCTTTTCATTTAATAAAGAGTTATATCTGGTGATTGAGGAGCTGCAAGATTTTGGTGTTTTCAACTGCGTGCATTTAGAAGCAAATAATATGCTGCATTATTATTAGGGCTATGTAACACTTAGTATTCAATTCCAAATGACTGCTTAGGAACATGCGAGAAAATGAACTAGTCTTCAACTCATTAAAACAACCTTTTTTCTGTTTTTTACAAGTTTCATTTGGAATTCAAAGCACTGTATAGGCCTTCCATACAAATTTGCATAGGTTTGGGCAAAAGCTATGTATGTTTCCATTATAAAAATATACTGTAAATGTGACTGAAATAAGAGAAACTTGGCTTTTGAAGACATACTGTTTCTCATCATTTAGAAACTTTCTTTTGTATGTGCATTCGTGTTTGGAGGAGGAAAAAATGCACATTTAAAGGCACGGGTTCCTTATCAATACTGAGGTATGAAAGAGTGATGTGTAAAAATTTTACCCCATCGGTTATGGTTTTTTGTAACAAAATGGATGCAGATATCTCTGAGCCTTTTTTCATTCATAAAGCAATTACATCATGAAACAAGAGAAAATTATGCTGAAGTTATGTGTTGCTGCTGCTGTTGTCTTTCTGGCTTCCCAGTAGCTAAGAGGATCTAACAATGCGACTGAGGCAGGATCTGGAGACTTGTTTTGTTTTACTGATTTAGTAACTTTCATTATCAAAGGTGCTTTTTTCACGAGGCAATTGGATTTTCTTGTTTTTCTCATCCAAGAAGCTTCTTCAGCTCTAACTGGATGGCGGGGAATGGCAGGATTTATACTCCTTGCAGACAGTTGGTTATTTGCATTCTTTTAGCAAGGCCTTGAAGCCCCTGGAAGCTTATTTGCGTTGTCAGGGGCACCTGCATAGTGTAAATGGGTGTGCAGCCATTCTTGGAACTGTTGAGAGGACTGTGTTGTAGACTGGAGATAGATGATGTCATATCCCTCCCCCTCTGTTGAGAGAGGGCTGTTCAATTTTGACATAGATGGCTTCAGTTACCACATCTTTTCCCTGAAATCTGATTTTATGCTTATTGGTAATATTCTAAAATGAGCTTGCATTAAGATCAGATTGCAGAGGAACGTGCAATATGAGTCAATAAATATTATTGGTCATAGATAGTTAGAAATTGGACAAAGATAATTCAGGCTCCCATCACTCTTTAATTTGAATGACATCTAACAAATATAACTATAAATCAGTGCATCTTTTCAAACCACCTATTTGTCATGAAAGTGTACCTATTTCTATTTTTAAAGGGCAAAGTAAAAGTGTATCTTGTTTAGATATATCTTATTTAGGTTGAAATGTTTTCTGAAATTTCAGTCAGCCTTTTCTTCCCACCTGATTATCTGCTTTTTGTCATGTCAGAAGATGAAGTTTTTGCTGCTGCAACAAAAATATCTAGAATATCTGGAGGATGGTAAAGTTTTGGAGGCACTTCAAGTTCTGCGTGGTGAGTTGACACCGCTGAAGTACAACACTGAGCGCATTCACATCCTTAGTGGGTAAGTGTTTTAGACTGAAATTTTATGCATACTTGAATTTAGATCTGCATAGTTGAATGCACAGCATAGGGCAAGTTTGTGGAGATGCCTAGGAAGTGAACTTACCCTGTTATTTGGAAACAATTTGATTCTGTTGCACCCAAGAAAATAGGCAGGGCCTTTTGGAGTATAGTGCCTCTGGTGAATTAGATCCATGTCCCTCTTGGCTGGCCGAGGCTGCTTAGGAGGTCACAGTTTCCAAGTGATGGTGAATTTATCCTTGATGGAGGGAGTGTTTCCAGCTTCTTTTAAAGAGGCACTAATGTGCCCTCTTCTCAAGAAGCCACCACTGGATTTACCATTCTGGATAACTTTTGTCCACCTTCCACCTTTTTAGGGAAGGTGGTTGAAAAGGTGATAGCCTTGCAAATCTAGAGGATCCTACATGAAACAGATTGTCTGGATTCCTTTCAATTGATTTCAGGCTGGGATATGGGACAGAAACAGCATTGGTCACACTTTTGGATGATTTCTGGCAAGAGTGGGATGGGGGTTGTGCACCCATCCTTGCTATTTTTGACATCTTTTGATACCATAAACCATGGTATCTTTGGTCCAATTTAGGGAATTGGAAGTGGGGGCCACAACTTTGTGCTAGTTCACCTCCTTCCTCCGAAACTAGTCCCAGGTGTATTGATAGGGTGAAAGAAGTCCAGCCCACAGCTTTTTTGTGGGATTCTGCTATATGCAATGCTCTCTCCATTTCCATGTACATGAAACCACTAGGAGAGATCAACCATCATAACAAGATGAGGTATCATCAGTATGCTGATAGTACTCAATTATACATCTTCATCCTGGGTGAATTAAGTAATGCTGTGAATGTTCTTTTGTGGTGCTTGGATGGGGAAGAACAGGCTTCAGCTGAACCTTGAAGAGACAGAATGGCTATGGGTAGGGGGCTCCTCAATATTCAGGGGTTTATCATGGTTGCACATGAGTAATCTGGGGGACCTCCGGGATTTATGATTTCTGCTTGAGGTGCAGGTGGCAGTTGTGGCTGGGGATGGTGGTGGCTGGGATTTGCTCAGCTTCATGTTGTGCACCTTCCTAGACCAGGAGGCCCTTGTTTGGATCATTCACATTGATTGCATACTTGAACCCCCTTTGAGTTCTATATTTTTAAAATACTTTAAACAGCTACTTAAGCGATAAATGTATTTGAACATTGCAGATTAAACTTTTTCCTCATATATTAAAGTGTGCTTAGGATTCAGACTCCTGTGTTAAACAGCTCCTTAGCTAAATCAGTCTCTTGAGCATTTGTTCATATAAATTCAGTATGTAGTTCCAGAATGCTTAATCCTTGTGTTTCTTTTCAATATATAGATATCTGATGTGTAGTCATCCAGAAGACTTACGCACTAAAGCAGAATGGGAAGGGAAAGGAACAACGTCTAGATCTAAACTTTTGGACAAGCTCCAAAGTAAGAAAAAATTGTTTTCAAAAGGACACATATATCCCTGTTTAGATTTCCAGGATATTTCATTCTGAACAGACAAATTTTGATCTGAAAGTATAAATTCACGAGATGGTTTGTACCTGTGAAGGGGGAGGTGGCTTGATAGACTACAGTGAAGTGGCAGTTTCCCAGGAAGGAGGAAGCATATTCCGGGGGGGGGGGGGGACAAAACGAGGCAACGCAGTCTAGAGCTGGATCAGAGAAAGAGGAAGAGAGTGAGGATAGTTATTCCCTAAAATCTCCCAAAGTATATCTGTTAAATGAGAATTATATAGATTTAGTTTAGCAAGATTCTGACTTAGTGTGTGCAAATGAAGAACTGAGCTTTGAATGGATGGTTCTAATCTACATCATTCTTGGGCTGGGCTGCTTGTTAGGCAGTTTTCACTTCAGTACTCATAAAGACAGAGTAGAACTAACTAGGTGCTATGCTATCAAATTAGGGGCTATTTTTTCCAGTAGAATGGAGAAATGCATACTTTTGCTTCTCTGAGATATTCCCACTTTTACAATCCCTAAATCTGTTTTGGAGAGTTGGTAGATTTTTGGGCAGATTGGGATGTATTAGAGACTAAAGGGTGCAGTGAAGAAGAAAATGCCATTACGTGAACAGAACCTTACTCACAGAATGATAATATTTCATTTGTTACCTAGGAGTCTTTGGTTTAAATAAGTTAGACACATATATGGAAAATGTACTTCACAAATTTATTTTTTTTAATGAATTGATTGCACTGAAATTGCCTTTTTATTTATTTAAGCTTACCTACCCCCATCAGTGATGCTCCCCCCAAGGCGTCTGCAGAATCTGCTACGTCAAGCCGTAGAGCTACAACGGGACCGGTGCCTCTATCACAATACTAAACTTGATAATAATCTAGAATCTGTATCACTACTCATAGACCATGTTTGTAATAGGTAAGAGATTTTTTTTATTTTAAGGGCAATGGTAATATCTTTTAATGAAACAAAATTACTTTTAATTTTAAACAATTAAAAGTAATTAACTTGTGATAGTTGATTTTATGCTTTATACAAATAAGTATTCATGGTGGCTAACAAGAATATAAAAAATTAGTTTTAGTGTTTTAATTTATATTCAACAATTTAAAAATTAAATATTGTATATTTTTATTTAAGTATGTAATAAGTGGAGGGAAAATATTTTACCTAGCCAGTTTACTTCTTGAAGAATATTGCATTTTTACAAATGTATTAAGGATCAGCTTGAAAACACAATAATAATCAAGATGTAGAATTATATAGGCTTTATATCCTGATTTACTGACCATAAGATATTTGTTAACCACATTTATCTGAAGTAGTTGAGCATGTCTGAATTCTGCCTTTTGGACAATAGTGGTCTCCTGTAATATTAAGTTAGAAGCAAGTTTCACTTAATGGAGCTTACTTCCATCAAACAATATGACAAAGACTGCAGAAAAAGATTTCAGTTTTTTAAAAAAGGAGAATGGTAACATGAATGACAGTTAACATTTATTATGCATTATGTTAAATCCTATTGAACTCAGGAAGATCCAGGCAGCCTTGCTGTATGCAGGATTGCAAGAATAAATTCCTCTACCAGACTTTAAAGTGGTAAACTAGAAATGAAGCTTGGAGGACAAGGCTTTATTTCAGAAATTCTTAATTTTTAAAATATATTTAAGAATTCTTTCTATAAATCTGAAAAATTATAAAAATAAATCTTTGAAGCTAGTTTTGCAGTGAGGCTTGAGTCTGATCAATAGAGAGATGCAAAACATTTGAAAGACCACTCTGCAAAGTGTAGACATCAAAGCATCAGACCTTTTCTCTGGTCATAGCTGCATGCACAATTGCTTTGTTTTGTAGTTTCAGCAATTGCATTGACAGACATGCACAGACAATTTAAGAAAGCCCCCAGAGTTGTTGCTTCAGCCTTTCTGGACCATGCAGCTGCCTCAGTGCTTCAAGGAAGGGTGTTTTATTCATGCCAACATGGTTTGCAAAGTGTTCTTTCAAATGCATTGGACAACCCTGCTGATCAAAAATGAGGCCATACTTGTCTTCATATTTTCAAGGTGTTGATTCAGAGCTCATGTCAGGAGTCATGACGTGAGGTGAGGATAGGAAGGTTTATAATAATATACTCATATGCATTTTCACCAACTGATTTTGAAAGTTGGTTATATTTTAAAACTAATTTATTTTGCATCATGGGAACTGTCTTTGAAACAACTAAAGTTTCATATCCCTTTGGATCCTGGTCATATTTGGTAGTCCCCATATCCATCTCTGCACAAAGAAATAGTATGACAAGTAGGAAAAAAATAAGATAGGAGATAGGAAAACTGTACATTTGATAAGAAGCATTTATAATGTGTTTTTCTTTTTTGTGTATACTCTAGTAATCATTTTCCTGATGCTGATATGGATATTTATAATGGTGACAGAATATTTGTGAACCTTTAGTACTATCTGCAATCCTGTAGTATTTGGCCTACAGTGTAATCAAAGCGTCATCTAAGCCCAAAAGAGAGATGTTAATTAAACAAATATAGAATACAATAATATTATATCTTCACTGAACACATTGAATTGATATTCACTATTATGGGAAAAACATGTAAAATTCTAATATAATCAGCTCTCAAGTGGTTCAGTGATATTGATTGATTAGATTTATAGGGCCATCCAACTAGAACAATGACTTCGAGCATCATACAACAAACTTCTAATCAAACTTCTAATCAGATGTGATTTTGAATAGCTTCCTCATTAAACACACACATACACACATAGACATGAAATTGTGGCCTTACTTTAAGTGGACAGTTTATGCAAGATAGCCTAATAATGGGCAATATATTTATCTCAATCAATGACTGTGGGTGGCTTACAATTCCAAAACTATAAAAACAAAACAATAAAAATCATTTTAAAAACAATAAAAATGTACTTCCAAAATGATGTGCAAGATTGTTAAGTTGGTACAAGAAACATTGGGCTGAAGTCATTATTGCTAAAGGAAATGCCACCAGTTATTAAATCTGATGCATTGCATACTTTTTTCAACAAAGATTATGAAGTTGGCTTAGTATGTTCAGTGGAGATATGATACCATATGCTTTCTTATGCATTGTTTGTTTAATTAAACTCTTTTTACTGATTAATAAGAAATTCAGTTCAGTTTGTAGGTTTCAGTCTGCAAGATGATAGATTGTTCTAAAAGTTCACAAACTCTTGGTTTCCATTGTATATTAGTTCAATAAAACTGATTACTACGTAACCATTGGTTTGTTTTTTAGGAAACATTTTCCATGTTATACTCAGCAGATACTTACAGAGCACTGTAATGAAGTATGGTTCTGTAAATTCGCCAATGATGGCACTAAACTAGCAACAGGATCCAAGGATACAACTGTTATTATATGGCAGGTGGACTCTGTAAGTATCATTCTGTTTCCATAAAATTAAATGCTTTTTTCCCCTCTCAGTTTGATTTCCAATTACTATGTCATTTTTAAATATCTTGGCATGGTCTGTTTGCATGCATTTTTGCCTTAAGCCTTTTATCTCTTGTTTAATTTATCTGCTTTTTTATAGAAAGTATAGTCCAACAAAAGATATGCAAATTAGCTGCAATTTAAATAACTGCAATATTCTGTCTCAATTTCTTGTATAAGAATAAGAACACGAGCATTGTTTGTGATTTGGTGACCAATGTCAGAAGCCAAAAAAAAACATAGATAGGAAAAAAATAGCTGTCTTCCAGTTTTCACTAGGTGCTTTGCAGAAGCCTTCCACTTATTTAATAGCTGCAATAGTAATATTCCCACTAAATTATTGAAATAAAGACTTGACGTAGTCAGGAATATCCAAATATAATAAGTTCAATTCTATTGCAAATATTGCAGTTCACAAAAAATACATCTCAAATTGTGGTTGAGTAAATTGCTTAGAATATATACAGTTAATTAACATCTGTAACAGTTTAAAATGTTCTGAAAAAAGTATTTTTAGGCTTACATTGGATTGATGAGTGTTGAAAGTAAGGTAATCTCCTATTTGTCTTATTTTCCTCTAGTTCTTTTTTCAGTATTCCAAAACTTGTGTTACTCCTTTTAATTTTACGTGTGCATGTTCATTTAGTAGTTACAGTAAATATGTTCCATTAATAATTAATATATGAAGAAATTTAACATTTTAAAATTAAAAAAGCTTAAAGTTTAAATATACAGTGGTGCTTAAAAGTTTGTGAATGCTTTTGAATTTTCAACATTTCTGCATTAATGTGAACCTAAATGTTAACTGTTTTCCACACAAGTCCTGAAACTAGGTAAAGAGAACCAATTAACCAAATGAGTCAAACATACTTTTTATTTATTAATGAAAATTATACAAAGCTACGTATTTATGCATATACAAATGGGACCCAGAGTAAGCAAAAAATCATTTTTCTCATGTATATTTTATTAAAAAATGTTTCTAAAGCTATTACTTCTTCTGTTGTAATTATGCAGATTAGACAGATAGAATTTTCCCTTTTTGTTATGGTTGTTTGAGAGTGGTTGTTTTTGTTTGGTGCTCTATAGCTTATTTTCTTTAATGTTTCTTTTTCCATCACAGTACTATTTTAATCTATTTGAGAATATTTTGCTTTGCATGAATTAGTGTTGAGAAAAGCCACTGACATTTTTAAGAGAGTTACTGGTTACCTCATTTTTGGTTTTTCCCAGTGTAGCCTTTCCAGACTTCTGGACTTCTAGATAGGAAAAAATGAGTTTGTGTCAACTCTTTTTTTTTTTTTTTTTTTAGATAAGTGAACATTAAAAACAACATTTCTGAATTCTACTTCCTAATACGTTGCTTTGCTAAATGTTTTGTGGGATTATGAGAATAAATTACTCTTTTAGATAAGCTACTTAAGCTATATAAAAGGCTTACCAACCAATTAAATTACTTAAATGTTTATATTTCCTGTTTTTAAAGGATACACATCAACTAAAATTGCTCAAGACATTGGAAGGTCATGCATATGGTGTCTCTTATATCGCTTGGAGTCCTGATGACAACTACCTGGTTGCCTGTGGTCCAGATGACTGCTCTGAGCTTTGGCTCTGGAATGTACAAGTAAGAATGATAAATGTATAGTGTTAGCATGCCATATTAAATAACATAGATATATGGACCATACTCAGGTTATTTGATACTTTTAGAGGGAATCCTTGGCTATTATGGATGTTAGAGCCCCATATGGAAAATTTCAAATGTTGACATTTTGACAAAACTTAGAATGAGAGTTCCATGTTGCAATGAAGCAATATTCTGAATGATTTTAGTGTTTTGTCTATAGGAAGTCATGGGGTAAGCCCTTTATTTTCTTGTTTTTCACATTAAGGCCATGAGAGTATAAGTAGTAGCTACTGTCTTCCATCCAACATGCAGACGCACTGGCCCAACATGCTCTACTGTTTGAGAGGTGCTTGTTGGAAAACATTACTTTAGAATGTATTTTATTCATAGATGTGTGAGTTAATAGTAGTATGCTGGGCACACCTGATGTTTATATTTCAGTTTAAGATAAAAGACAGGTTGAGAATAAATGAAGTTAAATTCAGACTGGGTGAGATATTAATGGTGGGAAGATTTGAAAGTGATATCACCTTTCCTCTAGACAAGAATTGTATTTTCCTAGAACATCAATTACTGGCATTATGCTAGACTTGCATGTATCAGCAATAGCCAAAACAGTTTTGAAGCATTTTTAATTAAATATGAACTTTTGATTAAATATGAACTTAAAGTAAGAATGGTCTGAGTTATGTACTGTAATAACTTTTAGTTGGTTGTTACAAGTTACTAAGATAACTTTAAAACATGTTCTTTGTAATACTATTTTTGTTTAGAACTTTAAAATTATTAAATTGGGAACTGCTCCTATAATTTTGGGAATGAACTGAAATAAGCCTACCATATTGGTAGTAGATTATAATAGCACTATATTTGTTAATTAGCATAATTGATTTGATAATTAAAGGCTTACATAGCCTATTTAATGTATATTTTTGCTTTATTGTCTCACCACACGAATTGATCTTTGTGTTCTAAGTTTGTTCTGTCCATTGGAAACAGTGCTGTTTCAGCAATGGCCTTCTTGCTTGGGAACTCTCTGAAATTAATCCAACTTCACTTTCTAAAAATCTCTAGAAGCTGGCTTGTTTTTAAAGTGATCCCTGTTATTATTTTGCTGACATGGTTTTTTTATATGAAAATGTGTGTATATATATCTCACAGACTTCCTTGCCCCCTCCCAGGTGTACTGAAATTAAAATTGCCCGAAGACATTAAGGAAGTTTGATTTATGCTAAGTACTCAATAGCTACTTTATTATATAGCTGAAAGCACTTTTGGATTTTTTCGCCAATTTTGTAAACAATGATTAGACAAATGGTATTTAAGTGTGTCAACTATACTGATGCCCGTGTATATTACAGTTTCAAAGAACCTTAACTATATAACTTCATCTGCAGACGGGGGAGCTAAGGACAAAGATGAGTCAGTCCCATGAGGATAGCTTAACCAGTGTGGCCTGGAATCCAGATGGAAAACGTTTTGTGACAGGAGGACAGCGTGGGCAATTTTACCAATGTGTAAGTTGGAGTGGGCAACCTTGAGGCCAGTGGCTACATTGTTATTCTTGTTTAGTTGTTTGCAAAGAACTACATGGGGGGCTGCATGTTGAAGCCACTGGAGTGGGTGGAGATAGAATTTTCACTCTATTTTGTGGGCTTTCCATGGGTGCTGTGGATTGGAGTTCACTGGAAAACAGATTTGTTAAACCTAGAAAAGGCTCAACATTTTTTATAAACAAAAAGGATACCCTCTAGAACAGTGATTCTCAACCTGTGGATCGGGACCCCATTTAGGGTCGAACAACCACTTCACGGGGGTCGCCAAACAAGGCTGACCGCCATTTTTTTCCCCTTTGGCCACGCCCCTGGCACCCGGTGATGTATAAGTGGTTGGGGGTCACCACAACATGGGGAACTGTATTATGGGATCGCGGCATTAGAAAGGTTGAGAACCACTGCATTAGGGGAATTCAGGCAATCCACCTCCACAGATTGCCCATTCCTGCTATAAAGAAACTGGTTTTTTACTATGCCAAAATGCATCGGTACCTGATATAGGGACTCTCACTGCTGATATGTTTTTGATATGCCTAAAAATATTTTTTCCAATGAAAAGCTCTTTAGAAGTGGCTTGTTACAAACGTTTGGTAAAAACCATGTTAATATTAATGGATCTTATTACCTGAAATATATATGTAATTGTCTATATTGCTGTTCTTACAAAAAAAAAAAAGGAATTCCATGGTGTCAGTCAAATAATGTATTCAACATGACGTACCTGTTCATGTACTAGAGCTTATGTTGGCATATAATCAGTATGTATATAATAAGGATTCTCGTCATTATAATTACTATCATCATTAGCTAGTAAACATTTCACATGATATAAACAAAATTGGTAGGTCCAACCCATGAAATGCAAAATGAACCGTCTATATCCCGCATTCCTTTCTACATTTTCTAAGCAAAGCAAAAGTTGCATCCCTGAATATTCATCAAAAACAAAACAGAGTATGTTAAAATGACACTATTCCTGTGCCCCCCCCCCACACACACACTGTGGTCTTGAGGTTGTGAAGCATCGTGCCCTACTTAGAGAGGCAAGAAACAAAGTTGCACAGAACAAAGTCTGCTTTTTAAATTTTGAGTGACACCCATGGAATCTGTATTTACAATACAACCCCACCTGTTTCATGATGGAGGTAAAATATAATTTTCATGTTTTTGGTAGCTTTTTATAAGTGTTTTACTTTATCTATTTCCTGTCTAGGATTTAGATGGTAATCTCCTAGACTCCTGGGAAGGAGTAAGAGTGCAGTGCCTGTGGTGCTTGAGTGATGGAAAGACTGTGCTGGCATCGGACACACACCAGCGAATTCGGGGTTATAACTTTGAGGACCTTACAGACAGAAATATGTAACTATATTGTTTTTCTGTTGCACTAGATAAATTAATCCTGTGGTTGGCTAAACATTTAAACTGAGCTAATGAAAATAATATTCCATATGACTTCTGGATCATGTGTTAATTCTAAATTGGGCTTTTCAAAATAAAATCCTATATAAATAATAATATAAATGTCAGGAATAAATAAATAAAAAATAAACCTTGAAATGTGAACTACTAGTGCAGTCATAATTGGGCTCATTGTAAGACTCCAATAATAACATTGAAACTATATTTACATTTTTGTACAAATGATAATTTTGACTCATGATTCTAATACAATTGTTTATATTTTCAGAGTACAAGAAGATCATCCAATTATGTCTTTTACTATTTCAAAAAATGGCCGGCTAGCTTTGTTAAATGTCGCAACTCAGGTAAGGGGATATTGTTGTTGTTTTAAATATGCATATTCTTTTGAGAAATATTTACAGTTTTTCACACACAAAAAAATCTTATGGCAAATATGCTCTACAACCTGGCTTGTCAATAGAACTCTTAACTATGGCTCTTTCTTGTCAGAGTGGGAAAAGTCAGAATTTCTTTACTTTGTTCTCATAGTGGCCAACACAATGAGGGCTATTGGCAGTGTTCCTTTCTGAAAAGCTGAATGAAAAAAACCCATTAAATTACTGTGGATAATTATACATGAACCTACATTGATTCTTTTTCTTCTAATTCAGAGGAACTTGTTTGGAATCACTCAATGTCTGAGGACTGCCATACCAAAATTCAGTTTCAAATTGATACTTTTTTGCAGTGCAATTTAAAAAGATTAAAAAGGGTGGGAATGAGAGTGGATGAATAATTCTCATTTTCATCTTTAATTCTCTAAATTTGTCACTTTTGACTATTTGCCTTTGTATGATAAGACTGATTTATATTTACTGTTACTATGTTGTTAATATTTTTCTTTTTGATTGCTATTTGTATTTATTAGATTTTTATCCTGTTTCTATTATTTTTATAAACAATTCAAGGCAGTGAATATACCTAATTCTCCCTCCTCGTCCTTTTTTCCCCATAACAACCCTGTGAGGTGGGTTGGGCTGAGAGTGGGTTGGGTTAAGGCAAGACTAGAATTCAATCTCCTGGTTTCTAGCCTAGTGCCTTAACCGATAGGCCACTGTTGTATTGCATTGCTATACTTTTGTTCTGTTGTATTTTTATCTATTGGGATTGGAACGTATGCTGCTTTGAAATGAAATGGCATATAGGTAGTCCTCGACTTATGAGCACAATTGAGCCCAAAATTTCTGTTGCTACGTGAGACATTTGTTTTGCTCCATTTTATTTCTTGCCACAATTGTTAAGTGAATCACTGCAGGTGTTATGTTAGTACAGATAGTCCTTGAGTTACAAATATAATGGCACCTGCCCATTACAGTTGTAACATTAATTGAATCACATTAAATAAACTAGCTCTATCCCTCTTATCACCAATGCATTTGTTAAATATGGGAGGCCTATAGCACTGCCTCTGACCACCAAAGGTCTCCCCCCACCTACTGAGATATCCCATGCTCCTCTTCCCACCCCTTGGGGTCCCCACCGCTGCTTGGGCCTTCTCTCCACCCCATCACCGATCGCTCACTTACACTTGGAAAATCTCCAGAGTTCTAGATTAGCAGTCCTCAACCTTTCTGGTTTTGGGGACCGGCAGTGGCAGTGTGAGATGGCTCCATGCCAGTGTGAGATAGCTCCACCTCTTGCACAAGTGGAGCTTTGCACACTTGCCGGCTGCTTGCGCGGCCTGGTTCCAAACGGGCTGCAGTGGGGGGGGGTGTTTGGGGACTTCTGCTCTAGATGATGGTACAAAGCTGTTTTTGTTAGATCTCATGTCCTTACACATGCTTCCATCCTCTTTGGAAAAGCGTTTTTAAGCACTTTATCTTAGTTGTTAAGTGAATCACATGGTTGTTAAGCAAATCTGACTTTCTTCCATTGACTTTGCTTGTTGGAAACTGGCTGGGAAGGCTGCAAATGGTGACCACATGAGTCAGGGATGCTGTAACCATCTAAAGTGTATGCCATTTCCCAAGCGCCCAAAGTTTATGTGATTGGGGGGGGGGGTGCTGCGAAGGTTGGAAGTATGACGAGTGGTCATAATTGTCACTTTTTTCAGTGCAATTGTAAGTTTGCATAGCCACTAAGGGTCCTAGGTCAAGGACTATCTGTATACTTTCCAGTCCAAGAGGACTCTGAGCAATTTACATTCTCTTTCTACAGATAGTGTTAAAATGTAAAACTAGTATCATAAAATGATGAGGACAATCCTAGGTGGATGTTCTAGCTTATATTGGGTATCCTCTTAGGACTCTCTTAAAAAAGTCAGACTTCAGCAGCTTTCCCAAAACAACAAGTTAACTATATCAGAAAGTCTTTTTATTTCTCCAGTTCAAATAGTTAAATCTGTTTTGGTTTTTTTTTTTTAAAAAAAAAGTTGTATAAGGAAATGAAGCTTGCTTAAACCAAAATGTTTGCAATAGGATAGGCTCTAGACATTTGAATAGATACAGTGGTTGGCAAATACAAGAGGGCTATTGGAAGTTTATATTCAAACATTATCAAGTAAAAGGCAATTCATGCAATATCTTTTGTCCTTTCTACAATTTAGGAAAAGACCCAGAGTAGTAGAACAAGTATTTTTCTTAAGAAAGATCCCTTGTTCAGTCCATGACATCTCTTGGAGCAACAAGGAAATCTTACTGAAAGCTGAAAAGGCTATTATCAATTGGTGTGATGTTTTGAAACAGTTATGATGGCTTCCTATATTCTGCTTCACCTTCCCACATGTAAAGCATCTACTATAAGCTTTTAAGATGTGACACATGGTATAGTGGGTGGGGAGAATTGGAGAAAATGTTATGGCACCTGGTCTATGTGGGAAACAGCATCTGCTCACATTTTACTGGTGATTGTTTTCATACTGCAGCCCCTATATCACTTATTTCTCTTTCCTGAAGATTCCAGATAGGAGCTTTCAGGAAATGTAAATGGGTTCTTCTTTGTGGAGAAATAAGAAGAAAAGTCCTTCTGTATACAAGACATGTGCTCATGTGATTTTTGCTTGTGGAGAAAAATAGTCCTTTTTTAGTTTTATATTGATGTAATAATGAATCTTATTCGCATTAAATGATATTATTTCTATCATGCTTTTTGTCCTCAGGGAGTTCATTTATGGGATTTGCAAGACAGAGTTTTAGTGAGAAAATACCAAGGTGTTACACAAGGGTTTTACACAATTCATTCATGTTTTGGAGGCCATAATGAAGACTTCATCGCTAGTGGCAGTGAAGGTAATATTTTAAAAAAAAACAAATTTTCCCTCTCCCTCTCTGTCTTTGTCTCTCTGTTTTGTGTCCCCCCCCCTCTCTCGTACTTTCTGCATTAGTGAATATTATAGTCTTCTCACTCTCTGAGTTTTAATAAACAGAATGGGTTGCCTTACATTTCCATAAATTGTGATAATTAAATACTCATTAAAAAAAGGATTCTACTTCAGAGAACAGTGGGATCCACAAGTAGAATGTGTTATACCTTTATTGATAGCAACTTCTATAATTTTGATATGATTTGTACATTACTGAGTATTGTTGCTCTGAGATATTAACTTTTATTTGCTATAGATGTGTTTTCTAAAGGTAGGTGTGGGTATGTAAATTCATATGTCATTTCAATTATTATCAATTATGGTAAGAGAATTATGGTCTCCTATATTGCAGCAGAATTTACTGTATTCAGTATCTTCCATTGTGAGCAACTTGAAACAAATATGGTTGTCTTTTAGCAGATTCTTTTGTCAATTATGTGAGAAGCCAGTTTATCAAATGTCCCAAAGGTGCTTTTTCAAGAGGTAACTGGACTTTTTGTTTTTCTTTGAAAACATTTCGCTTTTCATCCAAGAAGCTTCTTCAGCTCTGAAAAAGCTTCTTGGATGAGAAGCAAAACATCTTCAAACAAAGCAAGAAAATCCAGTTGCCTCTTTAAAAAGCACATTTGGGACAACCATGACGTGGATGACTGAGAATCTCCGTAGACATTTAGCTATGCAGTTTATCAGATGTTCTTGGCATTAAGGGTGCTGATTCACTCAGGTTCTTGCTCTGTGTTGCTAGTAGAACTGTAGCTAATACAGAGTGGGCAACAATACTCCTGTACCCCCAAAACTTCAGGAAGATGTGATTTTGGTCTGAACAGTCATAGGTCAAGTCAACAAAAATAGTATCTTAAAGCATTATTTGTCTTTAACTGGTGAAATGCTCAATTGAGAACAGCACCTTTATTGGACCTGATATTAATAATTTGCCATTGTAAATATTTGTCAGTCATCATATGCATGCATTTTTAATTCCCTTCCCCTTCCAAACAATCTCTGGCCCAGAAATATCTGTAGCTCTGTTGACTTTTGGTGTATTGAATAATTCATACACCACTTAGGATAGCATGGACAAGTCACTTAGCTACAGCCTACTGTTTGTTTGACATGAATATGCCGATTAACTTATCCAGGTCAACTTAGAACAGCTTTTTATTTTTTTCATTTTCAGTGTCTAAAAACTACCCAGCTGTAGTTGAAGCTGATGGCACCTTATTTAGATTCGGACTGCCTGAGGCTGTTGCCTCTTTGCACTGAATTGTTGCAAATATAGCTGCTGTGAAAGTCTCTATGTACAAAAAAAGTAACAGATTTAAATGTCATAACCTCTTAAATGTAAAGGTATGTTTTCAGCTAGGTAGGCATTTCACCTACCAGCCCCAAACATCAAATGGTCTACCCTGGGAGTAAAGTTCACATCTAATTCTGTAAATAAGCATTAAGGTACCATAAAAAACTCGCATGGAAGTAAGTGCTAAGTGTTGTTGCCTTAAGATGAATAACGATCCTTGAAGTTATGCAGATAATGTGTAATCAGATTAAAAATTTTAATCAGATTAAAATTGGCAGAATAAACAGAAATATAAACAAGGGTGTTTGATGTAATTTAGATGTCATGCACTTATTTTTAAAAATCTTATATGAGTAGAAGGATTTGTAATACTTGGGAAGAGACTAAAATACTTTGGATCCTTTATCATTGTCTGAATTTATTGTTAAAGCAAATGATATTAACACTTTTGCACATCTTAAAGTTTTTCTTACGGTGCTTCTATTTAATCATATATTTAAATAAAGCCACAAACTTATTTTAGTACTTAGCAAAAAATATAGTTACTGGCAATTACTTTAATATGTGATTTTTTTACAGTGCAGACGGTTGCACATGTAAGATTTCACCAATCCTTGCTATGATCATTTGACGGGTGTATCAGGATTAGCAGCGGCATAGAAGTTTCCATTTATATGTTCAGCTTTGTAAACGTATATGAGTGTAATAGAATGCACCAACAAGTTACAGCTGTAAATTGCAATTTGGCTGTGTTGTGAACTTCATTCGAACGGTAAAATGGATCGCTTATTGGCTAAAATTTGTTTTTATTGGGCATTATACTTAAAACCAAACAAGAGCTATCTGCATGTGGACTGGCATTGCCTGGTTTCTCCACTGTCTTTTTGATGCAGCAGTAAGTGCCTGAATAGGATATCTCACAGATAATTTAGTGTAGGATGGCTCACTAAAGTCATAGATAAAGTATCATGTTTAAAAACATTTTATTTTCCAATCACAAATGGAATCCTTTATGCAAAAGGCGGAGGGTTTTCTGTGGAAATCCCCATACCTATCACTAAAATAGTCAAATTAAAAAATTCAAGAATTAGAATCCAAAGCTTTTCAATTTTGTATTTCAATTTCAGTCTTGTATGTAAATGTATTATGAGTCAAAATTAGCATTTAAACAGACTCCTAATTAGTTAATATAAATCCTGCCTTTATATTTAATTCTCTACAAATATCTTCATTTTGGAAAGAAAATCAGTACATGCTATTAGTTTAAATACGGAATTTTAAAGGCCTTCTTGAAACTGTTGGATGTAGGATTCAGCAGTTTTTGGTTTTGGGATATGCATGGAAATCTTTAAATGGAAACATGGATCATCAAGTTGATTACAGAGCATATTTTAAATTTTAGGATGGATCTCATGTTTTTTTAAACCTATCTGTCTTAGATCATAAAGTATATATTTGGCACAAACGTAGTGAGCTGCCAATTGCGGAACTGACGGGGCACACACGTACAGTCAACTGCGTGAGCTGGAACCCACAAATTCCATCCATGATGGCCAGCGCCTCTGATGATGGCACTGTTAGAATATGGGGACCATCACCTTTTGTAGACAGCCAGGATATTGAAGGTAAAAAAAAAAAATAAACTAATTTTATGAGAAAGATTTTAAGATTCAATTATCTTATGTTAATATTTTCTTATTGCATTTAAATACAGTGATTTGCAAAGTTTATGGTGTATGCATAGTTTAATCATACAGTGAAAAGTTTGAATAGCCTTAGGTATCTTCTAATCCAACCTTCCGCCCAATATAGGAATTGATCTTATAATACCCCTCCCCCTCCAAATTTTCATCCAGCCTTGGTTCATATGTCTCCAGCAAAGCATTTTGCTAGTATCATAAAACGTAAGGTCTGGAAGGGACAGGGTAAGGAGGAATAAAATAGTGGGTTAAGTCCATCATCCCCAAAAAAGAAGAATCATATGATTTAGATTTCTTCAGTCCTTTCAAAGATTGTACCTAAGTAATTTAGATCTCATCCATACCTAAAAAAATTAAAGAACATTACTAAGCAGAGGGCTAATATTAAGTGATTCTAATGGATATGGAAGTAAGGCAAAGTCTCTATTACATTTTTCTCAGCCTTTTCATGCCTTTGAGGAGACGTTTCTTGACTGAATGGTTGGAACCTACATTCAATATTCAAGGCTTTAATACTTAACCTTTTTTCCCTTGCCTGTTCTTGGAGGAATGGCTGTAACCACTGCAAGAGCCAGATGGATTTAGATGTACATGTACAGCAACATTTGACTAAGTTATTCCATATCTCAATTCATATTACTACAGCAGTGACTATATTCAATACCTTTTTCAGTGATACACCTTATGTAGTGACAGGCAAGGCTACAATCTCATATATTTATGTATTTACTAAACATTACAGACTGAATGCATTTGTCAAAGCAGAAACAGTTTTTTAAAAATGCTAAAGCACATTTCTCTTCTTTTGCAGAATTCATTACTTTTTATTTTTCTCTGTAAAATGGGTTAGCTTTCATATATCATTACTGGATGACCTCAGACATCAAGGAAATGTTGGACATGGAATATGATTGATTGTTGTGGGTTGCCGTGATAGACAAACCACACAAAGATTTTAGATTACTCATTTGATCCAAAGCTAGTTGTGGTTAATATTGAACCACAATTTGTGCTATTCTTAATAGATAAAGACCTTTTTAAATAAATTTCCCAGGATATGCTCTGTGAAAGTAGAAAGAAATCTTGCTACTTTTACTGTATGATCCTATTCAACACTGGGGGATAGCAATAATTGGATCTACCAGTCACATCAGACTAGCTTAAATGCTATTTATTTATTAAACTTCTGGACCACCCATTTTACCCAAGTGACTCTGGGCAGGTTCCAACAACATAAAGATTTATTTCCAAGTCAGATTACAGCTGTGGAGGTTTGAAACTCATCTCCCTGGTGTTAATATAAACTACTGAGGTTAGGCTAGATTTTACAATTACTATATTATGACTGTACGAGGGCTTATGAATGCATTAGAAATAGGAGTCAGTGAAATCCAGTAGCTTACGCAATCGTGTAAGACCACATTTTAAAGAATTGCAAGCTCCTTTTAAAAATTGCAAAAATTCAGGAAATATATATTTCACACAGCTGATAGACTGGTTATGCTTTGTTGTTGATGGATTGAAGTACTGGTTTATGTGTGGTGTAGAATAGTAGATGCTGGCTGCTTGGATAGAAGAGTGTTCAATTCTGAAACTGGATGAACATTTTGTTAAAGGGTAGGATTGCAGCTGTTTGAGTTGGAATTTAAATGAGCTCTCAGTTTTTAGCCGGAGGCCAATCTCTTAGGCACTGCTACTGCCTCCTTCCTTATCCTTGATTGAGCTGAGTTAAAAGGTAGCCTTGACAGTATCACCTAGAACAGTTTGGCAGAGAGGCTGAGCCCATCTTTGTAATGAGTAGATTAATCTTCATCTTTTTTTTCTGTTTTGCCATTTGTATTCTCATAAATTTTATATTTTCAACAGTATCATAATCCACATCATTTCCAAACAGACAATGAAGTATATACATTTTTGTATCTATGTAAAAACGTCTGCCCAACCCATCTCACCCATCTGTGTTTTGGTACTGCTTTCAGGTTATTATTCATGATAGACAGCCATCATATCCTGAATTGTTGTCAAGTGAGCAACCTTCAAAACTGATTTAATAAACAAAATTTTCTCCTGATTCTGCTGCACTTGTAACCCTTCTCACTTTTGTCATTTGAATAACTTGAGCTCCATCAGGTGGGATTACAGTCCTGGCTGTGCCTTTTCTAATATTTCTAGTTCAAATATATTTGGGAAAGAAAATTATATAAAACAGCTTTAGCATAAAAACTTTCTGAAAACTAAATAGAATCAAACCAAATTGTTGTTGAAGGAAAACTCAATCCCCTCCCTGAAAGCCAGTTTGAAAATGGGCTTAGACAGAGGTCTACAGCTCAGTAAATCAGTCAGCGCTCTGTCCCAAGATCTCCTCCTCCTCCTCAGTAATGTGATCAAGAATGGCATATATGCAGTTTGCCCCAAGGTTTCTGGTGCACACAAACAGAGAAGCATGTGGTCACAATTGATTGAGGATTGGAAATAATTCCAGACATCAGTTGCAGAAGCCAGTTTGGTACACAACCTTTGCTGGAATGTGGATTCTGTCTATCACCTGCCTATAATTGCTATAAAGGAGAAAATTCTCAAGGACTGGTTTCAGCTGATTTGGCAATATACATTGATATGGAAACTATATATTGCCCATTTTTTTTGTCTCTGCATATACTTTTTCTATCAATTGCTCTTTCATTCCATTTCATTTCATTTCTTGCACAGTATTGCACAAGAACCTTGTAAAAGCTCTTGCTGGGTAGCCAGAATGAGTGCAATCTTTATTGTTGCTGTTCAGTTAGTTTACAGTAAATTAACTTAATTTACAGTGAATGATGTTTTGTGTGATTAAAATATGCATATATCATGACTGAGATACACAGGATAATATGGACGTTCTTAATATTTTTTTTGTTTACATTTTATCTCTTCCCCTTAGAGGAATGCAGTAGCATGGATAGTTGATGGTGAATTTGGAGCAGACGACTTCTGTTTAACTTAAATTTAGTCGTATTTTAAATGGCTTGGGATTTGGTGCAAACAAACATGATTGATAGCTGGACAGACATGCTCATCATGAAAATGAACCATTTTTTAAGCCCGACTGGGGCCAAACATTTTACCACCTTGCTTCATAGTAAACAGTTGAGATGAAGCACGTCGTTAGAACGTTGTTGGACACCATGTTGAAGTAACCCCCCATCGGTTGTGAAGAACTGTGCTACATTCAGGCTAACCATTGAACTCCGTATATACATTTTCCCCTTCTGCCATTTTGTCAGGCAGACTACTGTTCTTGTTGCTCTTCTGTGTAATGAAGTTTAAATGCTTGTTTGGAAAACCTTTTATTTAACAGTTTAGAAAGCTTGATAGAAAGAGTGCTTTAGTCTGAAGAGTACATGTTGGATAGGAAAGTATTTCCTTCTCTTGTTTCTCTGAGTCTGCCTTATTTAGCTCGAGATCTTTGCAGCTTGGTTCATGGATTCTAGCCTTGCCCGTTGCGCAGTATATCCAAATCCAGATGTAAAACCAGTGAATGACATGAAAAGCACTCTCAGTATCACACTTGACAAAAGGTTTTGTACTTTTCACGTAGCTTGTAACCCTATAAATGGGTGAACAGCACAAATTTTTTTAAGAATAAATTATTTATAGCATTAAAATGACTTTGATTTGTATACGTTTGGAAAATAAACCAGCTTAAAAAGTGTCATCTACAAGTTAATGCAGTATAATTGGTGCTCCTCTGAGTGTTGTGTAAGACCATTTGGCTAGGAGTTTTACACAGATTATATAAAGTATTATTTTAAAAAAAGCCTTTGTTTACCAACAAAATAATTCGAAAGGTTTCAGAATCACCAATAAAACTATTACAATGTAATTTCTGAAGTTAATAAAATGAAAATTCTAGATTGGCTAAAAGTTGTGCAATGATTCTTATGTCTTTCATTAGCCGGAACCATAACATCTTATTTGAAACATTAAAAACTAAAATGGGGATGGAGTAATATTTTAGGATCATTTTCCAAAATTAGTGGATTGACTTTGTGAATTTAAATATGTACATTATACAAATGTTCCACATAATGTTCACCCCGTAATTGTTTTCTCAGGGGATGCTTGTTAATAGTTTGATGTTAGGAATGGGTTGTTGTCTTTAGTTTTTTTTATACAACCCGCCCCCCCCCTCCTCCATGGCCTGGTATTTGCCCTGAGTAACTGTTCTAAATTAAAAGATGGAAAGACACCTCTGTGTAGCAATGAAATAACAACAAATCATATGGAAAAAAAATCAAGCCCAATCAAGCTAAAATAAATGGAAAGCTCTTTAATTTTGGGAGGAAAGTCCCATATTTGGAAGAAAACGTACATTGCTTGAGCTTAAGCATGATCTTTCATACTCAGATTCTGTGATAAGCAATCACAGTCAGTGCACTTCAGTGTATTTCATAACTCAGATTTAACACATGCTTCATAGCATTTGATTTAATCAGTTATGTCTCACAAATTTTCTTTAAATACTGTCAAATTAGGAAAGCTGGTACTCCAATTACTTAATGTAATAACTTAGTTTTTATAATTCAAATGACAAAAACTATCTTAGAAAACCAGGCCTACAGAAGTCTTTTAAAGTAACATTGCTTTCCTCTTATGTTCTCTAATAGATTGAACTCATTTTATTTCAGCTCATTTTATGCCATAGTGTTTTTTTCTGTTTGCTATAGTCAATTCATATATATATTCTGTTCATTTGGCATTAAGTTCTTTTATTTGAAATTGCTTAATAGTTATTTTTGAGCTTCTGTAATTCTTATTTATTACAGATACTTGCAGATACTCCCATTCAACATCTTGAAATGCTTTACATCTCTATAACCAACCTGGTACTGGCACTAAAATTGCATATTAACTCAAAACTATTTTAGGAGATTAGAGCAAAAATTAAGACTGGCTGAACCTGAAACGGCTTGCATAATTTAATTTATTCAGGTTATTCAAAGCAATCTGATGCTGGCAAATAAAATTTCATGCATAGACTTTAATGAACATGTCTGAACCTATAATTTACCCTTCTTTGAAATATAACACTAAAGGGAAACTAAGTTAAAAGCACTGAAGGGAGCATATTACTGAGTTTTCTTCTAAGGAATTAAAAAAAAATACTTGTGAAAGCATTTCAGAAGCTATGCAGTTCTTAAGTAGCTGCTCCAGATGTAGAATTAACATTTGTTGCCAAGCTGAACTTCTTATGACTACATTGTGAGACAAATTGTCCCACAGTGTTAACACTGCTAGGACTTTTTGTGAGTGGACAAAACAGTGTTTTCTGGCATGTAGATTGGAAAGCATCTGTGTCACTTTTTATATAAACTAAAAACTAAATTCACCATTATAAAAAGATATGGAAGAGGCGTATCTGCAATATTCTCATTTTCATACAGTAGATATTTCTCAATCTCAGCTATAAATTCTAGAGCAATCATTAATTGTTCATACAACAGAGATGATCAATGAAAACAAGTTAGCATTTTGACCATCAATTCCAAACTAGGCATGCCAACCATAAATTATCTTGCCACAATGCTTCTCATCTTTATCAGGTAAGTCACTTTAAAAATAGCACAAAAGAGGAAAAGGAATTTAATTTTTATGTAACCCATAAATAGCCTTGTAAATGTGTAGCTAGCTTTTCTCAGTTTTGAAATGAGGGGAACACAAGAAAAAGTTAATATAGAGTCACAGGTAGAAAACTACCCAATTTTTTCCCAATAATTTCATTCTGATTTCCAAACTGGTATTGTTGAATGACATTTAAATAATGCTAGGTGTTTAGTGCCATGTTAACTACAAAAATCTCCCACCCTTTTAAAATGGCTTAAAATTATTTCTTGTACTAATTTTATGCTGGCAATATATTAGGGAAAGGAGAATTAGTAACCTTTTTAACAGCAAAAGAATGTCTTAATTTGTAATTTGGGCAGAAAGGGAAAATAAACCAATTTTCAGTAAGATTTGGTTCCCTTTATCTGTACCCCAAAGCACACAAGTTGCCTCGGATTGATGCATTTCAGATAAATTACTAACCATGTATCGTTAATACTCCATATATGTAGATATATTTATATCTATATCTATATATCTTGCATTGGCTTGCATCCATTTTCAGCTGCCATACAAAAAACCACTCTTATGACAGATAATTATAATTTTGGAAACATTCTGGAATAGGGAGGACTAATTGATGTATGCAGTGTTGTCTGCAATAGCTGCTCTTGTTGCTGGAACACAAACTAGAAACCTGTTTGCTACTTGCTGACTTCATATAGTTGGATTCAGCAAAGTGTGTATGGTATGAATGTGTGTGTAAAACAGAATCAGTCATGGAACCAACTAGGTACATGTCATGTTTTACTGAATAATTTTAAGTCATGTTGTGTGTATTTGTCTTGTCCTCTAACATTAAGATTTGGTTCATACAAATATATTTTTATAAATTTGAAGTACAGTGTGCCCCATTTTTTAAGTGTTTCATTGTTAAAAATAAGTGTACTAGATTTGATTCTTAACACTTACTGGCACAGATGGAAAAAGCTATTGGCTCCAAAAATGTAAGAGGAAGAAACATTCTCAAACGTATGTGTGTATTTACAAACCAAGCTGTAGAGATCAAGAAAAGAACATTTTACTGTTCTCAAATTTCTAAATTGTCAAGATTTATATGGAGTTGTGGTGGAACTAGTTAACACTTAGAGCTTTTGGTATGTAATGACTATTTGCTATGGACTGATATTAAATGTTTCAAAGGATTGCGTTATTAAATTTTCTGGATTTTGTTACTTTCCTCTTGAATTATATTAAGTAGTTTAAATTTCTTTTCTGACATTAAAACCTGAATTTTGGGGCTCCGTATTTATTTTCACTAGTTTTACTAATTATTTATGGGGCACATTAATTTTTTATTTTATAAATATGTAGTATATTAAACATATCTTAAATCGTTCAATTCAAGCTACATTAATTCCTGATTTGTCTATTGGAGTTTTTTTAATTAAACTTTTCCATGTTGGTGCACAGCACTTATCAAATATTTGTATTCCCTCTTTCCAGTTCAATAAACAAAATAAATAACTGGATTTGATTAGTAGTTCTTAGCTTCATAAGCTTTGACATCTGTTTCATACTAGAAAGGAACAAAAGTTCCTTTCTTTTCTAAGATGTATACATACACATATGATCATACAACTGCTCAACCCATGAATAATCCAGCAAGAATTCTTGTGAGAATGGATCCCATACTGCTCAGACTGAACATGAGTTACTCACTTGGAGCACAAAGCCATCCCCATAAATCTTACCTATTGTAGCCTAACAGGCAAGCAAAATCAGGCTGTTTGTTGAACCAGTGGCTATAGGCTGTAGTTTGAGATTGCAAACTCTATTGAATTGATTAGTACCAAGTGTCCAACAGCAAATGGGATTGCAGATATAACACAGCTTCAATTTGGATCTGGCCTACTACCATTATAATACATACAAACTATGAATATATATACTGTCTGCAAAATATATTCATATATTAAAAAAGGGTGTTTGAAAAATCATTTCACAAAGTATTATAGCAGCTATGTGTGACCTGAATGTTAGAAGTGAACTTCAACAGTCTAAATAGAAGGACACTGGTTGTGCACGTGGAGGGTAACACTGAACTGACAAATGTTTGGCCATTGAACATACTTCAGCCTTCAGTTAAAACACATAAATGAACTATATTTAAAATGTTGCCTATAGGAAGGAAAACATTGGTCATTCGTCTCTGATAAGATTCCTTTTATATGATAAAACCTTCTTCAATGAAACTTATACCTGTTGCTTCACTCTTAATAGATGAATCTGCTGCATTGGGTAACCAGTATTCTTGCAAAATCTTTACATTACATAAGAATTAAATACAGTAAGAAAATGGATTTGAGTAAGAACAAAACAATAGTTGCAAAAACATAGTATTGTAGTTTCTAAAATATTTTATATGTTAAAAATACAGCAAAAATATGTTTTGTTCAAAGAGGAAAAAATATACTGCATGACATCACTGGTCTTGATTTTCTTGAGAGTTGCTCATGGCTTCATAGTATTCAATGGAGTAACATCAATTTGGCAACCATAATACTGCCACTTCAGTTTCAATCATTTATTAAAGCCAGGATCATACTATAAAGAGTGAAAAGACAAGACCATGTCAAAAGGTGTAAAGCTTGAAATAACCTGATTGCTCTTTGAAATTTATGTCAGCAAAACTATCAATGCTTCTAAAGGGACAGAAAAGAGTATTTTTAATAAAATTTAAAATCCATGAAACTACAGTTTCTATGAAGTAAAGTGGTATATAATCAATTAGATTTCGTAGTTTAAAAAAGTATCCCCATCAGATGCAGAAAATGTAGCATAAACAGAGAAAGCTAACAGTTTGGGATATTTTATACTACTCTGCAATGATAAAAAATAACATTGCTTCCACCAAGGCTCTTCCAAAGAGTTAAACCACATTAAAATTATAACAAACTATTCTAATAGGAATCTTAAGAATAGCTTTACTAATCTTTACTAATCTCAAAATGCAAGCTTTGAAACCTACCTGTAAAGATACATGAAGAAACAAAGGAGATGAAAACCAAGCTTTATCATAGCCTCCTTCATGTGTGATTTTAACTGCCCTCTGTTATGGATTTCTGTAGGGTCAAATACTCCCATGTTTCCACTGGGAACCATAATACACCTGAAATGGTTTCAGGAAAATTGTTTCATTATCAATTGTGTGCCAGCTCAACAAATTAATGATCTCCATATCAAAAAAGACAAAACATGCAAAATAAAGTGAACTGAATTGGTGGTTGAGTTCTTTCCAACAATACATCATAATGTTAAAGTGTTGCATAAGGGTTTCAGAAAAATGAAACAAAATTAGATCATTTGAGCTTCATTTGAAAAGTTTTAAATTCCAGTAGCAGCAATGCTAGGAGAAATCGCTTTTCTGCATTTTTCAGCAATTTCTGCAGGGCTCCATCTAGCATTACTCAAATACACCCTGCTTTTGCAACTTCCTTTGTAGTCAACATGTATCCCAAAACTGTTCAATACATGTCTGCCGTAAATAGCAGGACAGACAAATGCCTTTGTGCAGTGGAAGTGCATTACTGGCATTAATCAAAAGATCTTTCAAATCTGATGCCAGCCTGTTTTCTCCAATAAATATGAATATCTGAATTTGCCATGTTAAAATTAATATGCAGTTTTCAATCAGTCTTAAATCATCTTTTAAAGCAGACATGTCAAACACAAGGCCTGAGTGCCGGATGCGGCCCGTGAAGTGATTTCATGTGGCCCACAAAACCATCCTAGAAACAGTGAGGGAATGCCCCCCCTCTGCCTTGGCCCTGGCCCAGACCAGCTGGGAGCCAATGTACAATTTTGTGGTGGCCATCTATGCTGAAACACATTCAGTCTTAGCTCCATAAGCCCCCCCCCCGCATGGCCTGAGAGGAACAGTGAGGCTTCACCAGTGGACCATGCCTTGGCACTTGCCCTGGTCCCACCCCCTTCTGCCAGAGACCCTCAGATCTATCCCACTCTTGCCCAGGCCCACACAGGCACCCTTGACACGAACGGTGTGGGGCTGGCCACACCCACCAAGTAGGCCACACCCACTCCATCCACACCCACCCAGTAGGCCGCACCCTCCCAGCCCTCAATGAAATTGAGTTTGACACCCCTGTTTTAAAGCTTGGGCACTGTTTAGAAATGGTGAGCTCATTACCAAAAAATTTGTTAAAATATTTGACTTATTAAACAAATTTTACATTTAAATGACTTTCTGTTCAATATATTGCATTAGAAATAAATATATGCATAAAAAACTTGAGACACTTAAAACAATATCCTACGCTTTTTTATTTGCTTACTAAATATAAATTGATTCAGCCCACAGTCATTTCAAAGTAGAAATATTGCATTTTTTTTCTTCCAGGACACCCACATCAAAGAAATTATTAATACTCTGATTTGCTTCAAAAGGGCTATACCCTCAAGCATTATTATGAGGCTATGTACATGAGACTTTAATGCATCTTATATAAATCCTAAATCTGAAGTATTGCCAAAATTGAAAAATAAAAATAAGTATATTTATTAGAGGCAAATTTAAGCCTGGGCAGTAATTTGCAAACAAACTCTTAAAAGGAATTCAATTTTCTTCTTTTTTCCCTTTAGGTGAAAGCAAAATTGATAAAATTCCAAAAGTACTGGTTCATGCCATCTGAACATTCAAGATATATATATATATGTACTTCGTTAGAGTTACATATATCCTGCCTTCCCAGGATTGTTTTTACCATCCAAAACCACTCTATGAACAAGGTTGAGCTGAGAGAGATTGGTTCACGATCTTCCAGTAACTTTTACAGCTAAGCAGAGCTGAATCTAAATATTTCCAGTACTGGTTCAATGCTTAACTTCTAATTACTACATTACTAGATATTTTTTGCACCAGCAAATAATGATACTTGCTCCTGGCAAAGTACAAAAGTGGCTTTATACTATTTACTTCTCAGGATGGGGTAAAAAATGAGTTTTGAGTAAGATTAATGATGCACTAGATTTTCACATGATCATGCTCAAAGTCAGTTTTTAAACTTAACACTTTTAACAACAATGTAGTGAGAATATGCCCGTATACTTGTGAAAAGGAAAGTCTAGTATATCTATTGTTGGTGTTATCCAAAATTCATGCTGAAATCCAATGAGAAAGGAAAAGTAATAATTACGTTTCTCTCACTTCCTGCTGACATGGCTGGACTAGTAAGTGCTTGAAGAAGGCAGAGTTTATAAAAATATTCATTAAAAGAGAAAAACAATATGAGCAACATCATGTAATTCTTAAGTCACCAAAATAATGGTCTTACCTGTATATGTTCCACGTTGCCACGGGAAAATTGAGAAGGAAGATGAACCAGTGCAGTGAAATAAGCATTAATACAGTGACAATGGTATGGCCGATCAATTCAGGGATCACCCACTAGAAAGATTTTTAAAACAATTTAAAAAGTAAAAACTATTATAAAGATTTTGCAGGAATCTTCTACCAGCAAGTTGACAAGGGCTGCAAAACTGTTATTTCATTAAAAAGAATCAGTAATTGATCTCTACCAGATGTTTCAGATATAAATTGTAAATGTAATTACAAAGCAGCAATTTACAAAATAAGGATTTCTTTCTAGGATACCATCAGAAATTTTGAAATACTTTACGAGAACCTGATCAGCATTTCTAATATCAATAAGAAATACGAGCAAGCAACAGTTTCGAGTTAAATCCTGTATATTCAACAGTTCTGGATAAACCAAAATGCTAGTACCAGGTTTATATATTTCAGCCTAATTTTCAAATTAGCTTTATTTTTCATGATTGAGAATTTGCTATCCATCAATCTGAAATCTTGCATCAAGATGGTACTATAAAAAGGGTGAGTATAGACATTTGGCATAGGCTAGCAATGGATTCTAATCCGTACAAGGTTAAATAAAATAATTTATAAAGATTTCTTATTTCAGACAACTCAAATGTGACTGACGATAAACTAGTAGATAAGAATAGGGAAAGGCAAGCAGAAAAAAATATCTTCTGAGACCAAGCTACACATAAAACACTGGAATGCTGCAAGAGGAGAAGATTATATATAGTCAGCATTCAGCAAAGTATATGAAACACTGAAGGAAAAAAAATGAGATAGGGAAATAAATAGAGGCTGGTCTGAAAATCTAATACTATCATACAGACAATTCAGATTCTAGTATTAGGCCTTCAAGATTATTTCTTGTTTTTTATATTAAGAAAACTATGCTAAGGAAGCAATTCTAGGTTCACTATTGTTCCTCTCTGAATTAACAATACAGGCAGTCCTTGATTTAAGACTAAGTAAAGTGGTTAAGTAAATAGCACCCAATTTCATTAACTTTTTGCCATGGTTGTTAAATCATGCAGTTGTTAAGCAAATCTGGCTTCCTCTATTAACTTTGTCAGAATCCAGCTGGGAATGGTGATCACATTACTCCGGGGATGCTACAACTGTTGTAAGTACATGCCATTTGCCAAGTGCCCAAATTTTAATCATGACCATGAGGATGCTGCAACTATCATAAGTACAAGGACAGGTTGAAAGTCACTGTTTTAATGCCATTATAACTTAGAACAGCCGCTAAAGAAATGGTTGTCAGTCAAGGACCACCTGCAGAAAGGAGATATTTTTTGAAAACTTAAAACAGTGCAAACAATTTAGTACTGGATATAAATTTGAACTGCAAGTTCCGCAATATTTTGGTAATGAGGCTGATGGGTTAATTCAAAATCTCTGAAGAAACTAACTTAACTACTACTGCTCTAGAAAGACATTTGTCCAAAGCACTCTTTAGTGAGTTTATGAATTACATATAATAACAATATGCCTTCCAACTCCCATCAGCGTAGTCCTATGCTTGCCAATCATACTGAGTATAACAGTAATTATTCTCAGATGGTACTAGAACTACAGTCTATATATATTCTTATATGCCTAGAAATAGGAATTGCCAATGTCCCCAAAGAACCTATCATTGGACTATGTTGGTTTGCATATTCTACTTACTAAATAAAACAGAGAAAACTAAAATATCCCTCAAATCAGTAACTAATATAGAAGCCATTCTCTGGCAACATACATTTTACAGTTGAGGCCAACAGTACAATATTTGTAAAAAATTGCATTTACTACATTACTGTATTAACAATAATACAACATTTAAAATAATTAAAGAGAGAAAAACAACTTACTTTATTTAGTTTTGAGCAGCAAGATCTGGCATTAATGTAATCACATTCCAAATCTGATAGTGTAATTATCTGATGATCAAGATAAGAACAACTATTATGTCAGCTATACCCCTGCCTCTTCTAAATAAGAATTAAACTAATTGTGCAAATTGTAAATAGCACCATAAGAAGATTTTGTATAAAAATCAGCAAGCAGGCCTCCAACTTAGGACTTCCAGAAAGAAAGCATATAGACAACAGCAGAATCCATACCCCTGTTACCTGTTGGTGTCTTCACTCAATGCCACCCAAATTCCAAATTATAATATGCACAATATAGATGTAGCTGGGACACAATGATCACTCATTATTTCCCCAGCAGCTTGTTTTGTGACTTCAAAATTTGAGTAAGTATGGTAGAACTTCTGCTGGCGCATAAGCACAGTCACTTACTGATCTGATTCAGATGTTGCCCCTCCCCCATTAAGACAGTTTCCCATTATCAATACGAATATTTGAGTTCAAATTCTCCCCCCTTCTTTTTATCATATATTTATTTTAGTTTATTATAGCCACCCAACTCCAATGGATTCTGGAGAGGGCACAAAACCAATTGCTCTATAAAAACGGGGGGGGGGGGGAATCTACCACACAGCCTGGACTAAAACAATCTAAAAATGACACAAATCAAAACACACACACCCAACACAACACATTAATCCCAGGCCTGGGACCAAAGCCAGATTTTAAGAGCTTTTCAGAACCTTAAGAGAGGATGCCGTCCTCTGAGGGGCTGCTGTTTCAGACAGTGGGGGCTATGATAGAGAAGGTACACTTCCTCAGTCCCCTTAATAGAGTGCACCCACTCTGCTGGAACATACTTTATGGGCAGAAACCATTGAAGATAAGCAGTCCCTCAGATATCCAGGTTCCATGCCATACAGGGGTTGATAGATAACCATACCTTGAATTGCACTTGGAAGTCAATTGCCAACTGGCTATGCAGTAAAAAGTTAAAACATTTACTTCAAGATTTAAAGTAACCAGAATTTGCTAATGTCTGAATTTGGAGAACCTGAGCTATTTAAAATCTAACAAGCACAATTTGAACCCACTGTTAGATACTCATTGTTCAAAGAAACATTTGTTGAAAGCAAAAAATTCTAAAGTTTAAACTTCAGGGCAAAATGTGGATTGGGCGTTCATAAAAAATGTGGCGTAATATGTAGGCTTATCCATTTCCATAAGAAATTATGGTTTTCTGATACATACATATCAGGTCATTAGAATTTTATGTTGAGCAACAGCAGAGATATTCTTCTAAAATTTTGGAACAGGAGCCTAACACAAGCCACTATCAAATATGCTGCCTAAGACCAAAGTCAATTGGTGTAAGACTTATTTAACAGAATAATAGAGCTGGAAGGGACTTTAGAGGTCATCTAGTCCAACCGTCTGATCAAGCAGGAGACCTCTGTACCATTTCAGACAAATGGTTGTCCAGGAAATTTTTCCTTATTCCTAAATTACTTCTACTAATATTTCATGTGATCTTGATTCTGTCCCTCTGTTAATACATCCTAGGACTGCATTTATAGTATTATAAAAGAATATTATAGTATTATAATATTACAGTATATAGTATTTATAGTATTATGCCTCACAGATGAAATGATGCACACCATATTTTGGCATATCAAATTTTGCTACATGTACAGTATGTTGGTATATATGTAATATATATATATTTATACAAATGGATAAGCCTACCTGCATATTACAGCACATTTTTTATGACTGCGGAGTCCACACACTATAAGTAACCTTTTGTTGCTCTTTAAAGTTTTACAAAATCCTCTAATTCCTAAATAAACTGTAGCAAAATTTTATTCATGAAATTAAAAAAATCTGTTGAAGAGCTTCTTTTAGAAAATTCAGTCTTCTAATGACAACATAAAAAAGTTTTATAATTTTCAGGATAATTTAAGTGCTTGGAAAGGTATCTAAAATACATGTTTAAAAACTGTCCCTTCATATATCCTATATGAAATAACCACCAAAGTGTTTATACAATAGTCAGAATGATAAAGATCATAATGTACAGATTTAATTCTAAGCACACACATCTATCACTACTGTGAAACTTCATCGCAATTCTACATATCTTAATCTATATTAATTAATCTGTCACAATCAGGTCAACAGAGGTCAATTTTTAAAAATATGTTGTTTCAAGTGGAAAACTAAAAAGTATCATTGAATAGAACAGACCCCAAGCAATAAGCTTTACACTTCAAAGAATGCATTACAGAATATCACAATAACTGGGGTTTATGCGAACTTTAAGACAGGAGGGTGTATTACACTGGAAATAAATCTTACATTTTAGCAGGAACCAGGCTTTTTGCCATATCCAAACAGAACGTAACCAGAAAGTTGAATGGTAGATCAAACAATCTAGTGAACAAATTATCAAAAGAGAATGAAGCACTGTATCTTTCTTCTATAGCCAATCTAAAAACTGCCCTTCTTGTTCATCTTGTCCGCTGCAACCAATGCAGAATACAAGGCTTCAACCTCCTTCTACAAGACCTCGACTACATGTAATCAACCCCCTGCAAAAATATAGCTAGGGGACGGGGATTTGTAAAAGGCTGGTGCAGTTGTATTTTTGACAAGATATTTAGCTAAGTAAGAAACAGGACACACCATGCCCAACCTGCGCAGGTTCTGGACATAGGGAAAACATGCTTTAGAGTCCGTATAGCTTTGAGATAGATCCTGCCTTCTCTTCCCTTGGCCATGCCTTCAATTCCTCTCACACCCTCCGAGAAGCCCAACCTTTCTTCCAACCGCGCCTCCTAAGGCTCAGCCTGTCACCCACCTTACTCGAAAAGCCGCTTCTCTCTCGCTTTCCCCAACCAACGCTCGTTGCTGCTGGTCCCCGCACTCTTATGCCACCGCCACCGCCGCCGCCGCCGCCGCTACCCCTGCCCCAGCCAGACCGCCATTAACGCCCCCGCCTCAGCCAGTCCTCTCAACTGCAGACCGGAGGAAAGAGCCAAAGAGCGGGTCGCCAGCGCTCTCGGGCTCCGACCCCCCCTCGCCCAAACAAATAAAGAGGATACAAAGTAAACAGAAAGGAAAATCAGGGCGCAGCAATCAATGAGCGAAAAAATGAACACCATCGACTCCATCGTGCTGCGGAAATTGCCGCCCTGTCGTCCTCTCGGCCGCCGTACAGCGCCCCGCCTCTCTAGTCCGTTCGCAGCTGCCGGAGCAGAGCTTCCGCCTCTTCTTTCAAGTTCCTGTGATTTATCCCTATTATACATTTATTTGGAAAAGATTTCTTCGCACAGCACGCTGGGACTTGAAGTCCCTTTTTAGGCGTCTAAAGGAGGCGCCCGTTCTCTCGAAAACCCAAAGAAATTACGGGTAAAATTGACAAGAACATCCGAGGGAACTACAAAACATGGACTTCTGGTGACTCTTTTTTTAGGCGTCTAAGAAAGTGCCTGTGTAGAAATACGAAGGAATTGCCTTCTGCCTATTTTCCCCCCTCTGTACTGAAACGTGACAATTTATCTTCTAGATAATCATAGTCCATCGTTTAGTGAAACGGCCTGAAAAACCTCGCTGCTGCCAGTACATTTAGGGTTTTTAAAGGCAGCCTTAGCTGGGGTCCTACTTTAGTCCGGAAAAACTTTGCCTGAAAAAAAGGGAGGAATTTGCACGTGGGAAACTGCGATGCGGAATCGGGGAGGAAATCACTCTTTTGGAGGGGATCCCAGACTGAAACAGCGAGTTAAACAGGTGATTTCGCCGTTCTTGTTACATTCCTATTTGGCTTTATCGTGATGAGCAGCCGCCCTTGTATAAGAGGCAGGTTACGGTTGAATCCCATCTTCTTTTTCATAGCGGGCTTAGGACACGAAATGAAGAAGTTTTCTCGTGAGTGTAACCGTTAATTTAATTTATACGCCGTCCGACTCCCAGTGCTGTTGGCGGTTCACAAAAGAACACGGAAAACTATAAAATAATATAGTTATAAAAAAAAGGAGGAAGGATGACAAAACCGGGCAGCAACTCAGTCATGTCCTTCCGAGCCAAAGATCTGGGTGAAGAGCCAGGCCTTCAAGGCCCTCCGAAATGCCTGTAGGTGAGACTCCCTCCCCCGGTCATCCCAGAGGACCAGCACTGCGACAAGGTATACTTCTGGGGTCGCAATACGTGGCATTGTTTAATCGAAAGAACCTGAAGCCAACCCTACTGGAAGGAAGCTTAGAGGAGATAGGAATTCCTCAAATAAGTGGACCTTATGGTATGCTTGACTTACAGCCACAATTGAGCCCAAAATTTATGTTAAGTGAGTTTTACCTCATTTTATGACCTTGCCACAGTTGTTAAGTGAATCACTATTATTAAGGTAGTAACATGATTGTTAAGCGAATCTGGTATTCCCATTGACTTTGCTTGTCAGAAAGTTGGAAAAGGTGATTACATGACTGCAGGACATAGCAACCATCATAAATATAAACCAATTGCCAAGCAGCTGAATTTGATCACATGACCATAGGGAGCTGCAGTGGTTTTAAGTAAAAAACTATAATAATTCACTTTTTTCAGTGCTGTTGTAACTTTGAATGATCACTAAATGGATGGTTATATTGAGTTTTATAGATAATGACCAGCACTTTCAATTGTCTTAGAAGCAAACTGACAAGCAGTGCAGCTCATAGTGCAAAAATGTTACATGGGCATATCATAGCATCCCCATCAGTGCTTGTGCTGCCGTATTCTGATCAAAGCATTTGTATGGTTTTCAAGGGTAGACCACTTTGCAGAAGTCAAGTTGCAAGGCGACCAAGGTGTGAATGACTATCTGAAACATTTCGCAAACTGAGAAGGCTTTTAAAGGGTTTGAATACACCCATGAGAAATAAGTTTATTATGGATTGTTAATTCTTCCTCAGAGTAGGGTTAACATGCTTCCAAATTCCATTTGTGAGCACTCCATAAGTATTATTCTGGCAACCATGACAAATGAAATGCTGGCTAAGATGGGCGTTGAGTTGATTTGAAAGAGCTGCTCTTATTTGTACATATTAAGTTAAAGGACTGATTAATGACCAGTTAACAGCAACCCTATCTCTATTAGTCAAGACTCCTCAAACACTTAGACTAGGTCAAAAATGTGGTGTTTGGCTTCATTATAAATTCTGCTTTATGTAATGCCAACATGGCATCAGTTCCAGGTTTGATATTTTGATAAAGAGTATATAAAACTGTAGCTTTTTGAGGGGAGAAGACAAAGTCATAATACAGGTGGTCCTCCTACAATTAGGACTGGCAACTCCTAAGTGACATGGTTATTAAGTGAGACATTATATGACCCTGATGGAGTTAGTCTCATTTCTGCTACAGTTGTTAAGCAAGATATCATATAACCCTGATTTGCAGTTTTACTGCCAGCTTTTCTATTGACTCTGCTTGTCAAAAGTGAGCCATGACCAAGGGACCTGTGACAATCATAATCACTTATTGGTTATGAAGCAATCAAATCTCGATCACATGACCATGGGATGTTGCAATGGTCATAATTACTCATTGGTTACAAAGCAACCAAATCTCAATAATGTGACCATAGGGATACAATACTGAGACACTTGTAAAGTTAGTTTTTCGGTGCCATATCTTTGAATGGCCGCTAAATGGGGACAATTAGGTTTTAATCTTGTGGAAGCGCAATCAGTTGTTATTTATTTGACAAATTGGTTTAGCACATGTATGAGTAATGGATAGTGTTATCTTAATCCCTGACAATGTTATTGTTCTGTGACATATCTTGAGGTAACTAAATTTCAGAAGATTACTTCAACAAATTGGTTTTTGAATTATTAAAATGTAGAAGGTTGATTACGTATTCCATAGTATTGGATCTAGTTTTTTTGCTTCACAAGTAAATTAAGATACTATTCTTGGGGGTGTGATTATTGTTTCCACTTGAATTCTTACCCAAGGAAAGGACTAGAATCTTGGACCAGAATCTTTTGACTGGATTCTTATTGTTGTAACTCAATACATGCATCTATTCATTTCATATATAATGCCATTCCTAGTATTGTATTTATATCTGAATAAATTATATTCTTTAATTCTTTGATCCCACCTCTGACTTTCATCCTACCAAATTTCAGTAATGCCTGCTATGTCACACTTATCTGCCTGCGTTACGTTTTCCAGTTCTTCCTGGTTTTTTTCTCCTATACTCTATTTTACCATCTCCATGTTCTTTTGATAAACAAATAGTAACAAAAGTCACTTTCCTATTAGATCACCTCTAGGAGGTTGATTCCTTATATATACTCCTCTGATGCTATATCCCAACTAGGTCAACAGCAAGCAATGCTCCAGTCAAACAGTTACCATTTAGTAGCATAATGTGCATTCACAACTCTTAGGAAACAGCAGAATCATTCAGTTAGCAGTCTCCTCTGCCTTGATTCTTCCCTTCTGTTCTTCCTACTCTTCCTTTGTTCACTTGCTTGTCCTGCCAAATTCCACTAGTTTGCTCACTCAGAGAGCTCAGTAATTTGAAAAGAAAGATAAAAATCAGTATGGCCATCCTTCACTAGATTTATTTACAATTAAATATTCTAGTTTGCCTTTGAAATTGCTTAATTTAATTCTCACGATGTTGCAAAATTAATATACACTTAATAGTCCATTATCTGGACAAAAAATTGATCTTGCAATCAAAATCTGCTAAATGGGGATCTGGTAAATTAAGATTTTACTTTAATCTCTTTGCTTTTAAAAACCAGTGTAGATAATTGCTGTGCTGCATCTATTTTAAATTGTTCACATATGATTTTATGCTAGTACTATTTTTCATATTGTAAAGAATTGTATGCATCTTTAAATATGCTAACTTAGTTATATTTATTACAGTATCTAAGCAGTAATAAATGTGGCCAGTATGTTAACACTGAAATTCTAGCAGCAGAACTACAGAAAATATATAGGTGAGTAGTAAGAGATTTAATACTTTACATTTTCTATGAAAGGGGCAGTGGAATAGTGCATGTATAATAATAAATGGCATAATAATTAAACTTGTAAAGGTATAAACCTCAGGGCTTAATGATCTTCTCTATTTCTTACATTGTGTAGCTGCAAGAATGAAATCAATACAGATATACAAACATAAGAGATAAGCATAAGTATACAAAGCACATAAAGAATAAATAGCAAGCAAAACAAATTAGAAGCATGAAAGAAGAGAAAGGGAAATTCAACAAAAACTCTAACCCTAATTATTTACTACATCTCTCTATATCTTTAAAACTATTCTTGCTATACCATGTTTATATACTAATTCTTGCATTGTCTTTTGTTCCTTACGTCCTTTCCGCATAGGATTAATGTTAAGATTAGTCTAATCTTTTCAAACAGAAGCTGCAGATGACCAAACCTGGATAATTTACACAATATAATATAATATTTATTCTAATATGTATTTGAATGTATTTATTGGTCTTTTTTTTTTTACTCTGACATTGGTAATTATGCATTAGGCTACTTTTCCTTATGATGCTTACACTGGGCTTCTACACTGAAAATGAGGTATACAAAGAAATATTCACTGTGGCTTTTAAAATTGATTTTCAGTGCTGATTATGGACGAAGAAAAAGAAATGCCTTTAGAATACAGGTTGAGAAAGGTATGTTTGTTAATATTGTATTTGAAGTGAAATTAGGCCATGCAAGCTAGCTTATGTAAATAATGTAAAATATCTTGGAGAAAGAGAAAGAAAGAAAGAAAGGTGTATATGAACTTGGTCATGTGAGAACCAGCTAGCTTTAATATTTTAGATTGTGTTTTTAATTTAAGACCAATATCTTTGAATACTCTAATCTCTCTAGTGCTGGCTGTTGGTTGCATTCTGTACAAAATATAATTTGATTCTTGTTTCACATATGAGCAAGTTATTATTATTATTGATTCCATATGTATTTTTCTTTCTAGTTATTGGGATAATCAAAGATGAGGTAAAATCTACAGATTTAGCCATTCTAGAAGATGAATATTTAACAAAGAAAGCAAAAAGGGATGAAAAGTAAGTTGCAATCACTATAGTAAAAAAAAAAACCTTCAAAGTAGCTTTACGGCACTTTAAAGATTAACAAATTTATTATCGTGTACACCTCCTTAGACACAATGCACTTCCTCAAATGCATGGTGACCTTCCAGAACGTTTTTGGTAGTTAATCTAGTGTAATTTATACACTTTGCAAGCAAATATTAGGCAGTTCGGAATACTTTTGTCCCTTCTTTATTTTTATGTAAGTATTGATATAATTAATTTTTAGCTTTGGAGTAACTGTGGCTAGCATTATATGTGCACTTGTGTTTTTTCTAATCCCACATTTAGATAAATAAAATTCTGATTTGCTTCTAGCTGTAGTAACAAAGTATATGAATTAGAAAAATATGAATATATAGAATTGGAGGCTGATAATATTTGGAAAAAGGGGAAAGGATCTGAAGCTTAATTATGGAAAATTTACACAGCACTACATCTTACTAAAAGTTTTAATTTTCTACTATGCACTACTATTATTCGTTCCTTAGGCACGAAAAACTAGGAACTATTGCAGCTGATCCTTGAAATAGAAGGATTACACATTATATTAATATACCGTCAATAATATGGGGAAAATAAATTGCAACTTTTTGAACAGACCATTTTTTTAAAAAAAAATGCGTTCTTCATTCACAATATGACTTGATTTAAGGGAGATGCAAACAGTTCTGCTTTTTAAAAAAATATATATTAGAATCTTTATTTTTAATTCTCTCTCTCCAAAAGTGATTCAGAGACCAGCATGGATACTTCTGATACCGATACTGAACATCCTGTAAGTGTGATTGCTTACATAAGCCACTAGTAGTAACAGTTAGTTTTTTAAAATCTGTATTTATAATTCTGAAAACAAACGTATGCACCGACAGATTCTTTGTTTTTTTTAATCTTGGTCAAGCCAATTGTGGGACTTATATAACTACAGATAGACCTCAAAACAACAAATGAGCCCAGATTTGGGGCAAAAGTCATAGTGGTTGTTAAGCAAGGCACGCATGTGATCATTTCGCTCAACAGTCATGATCCTGGCTCTCCCTGCTGTAGTCATTCAGATTGCATGAGTCATTAAGTGGAGCATGGGGTGCCTCAGGGTGGTGCAGTCCCTGGGAAGCCCGTATATTTTTTTATTGTTTGTAAGCCACCCAGAGTCACTGCGAGTGAGTGGGCGGCCATATAAATCCTGTAAATAAAAATGAAATAAAATAATAAAATAAATAATAAAATAATAATGCTTCAGGCCCAGCCCATACTGTGCCACCTCCCCCCAACTTGCATTTGGCCTGCACTAGGCCTTCCAGGGAATCCACCCTCAGATACCCCCTGAGTATATAATGGTACTCAGTGGCAGCACTAAGGCTTGAAGCAGAAGTCCAATCCTTGACATTATCTCTAGCACTACCACTGACATTTGCAAAGCTTCCTTAGGGAATAGTACTTACCTTCAAGCTCCAAATTGCACAAGGCCTTTGTTATTGAAGCAGCTTTGGAGCATGATTTTGTGCAGTTTCTGCAGCTTCTGAAAACTAAGGAGTATGCCAAATTTTGTGAGAATTAGCCAAGAAATAATACTCCAGAGTTTGCGGCCAATGTAGTATTATATTGCAGTCATCCTAAAGCAAATGATTCTGAGACTACTTATAAGCAAAGTCTGTACTGAATAGTGGATCTAGGTCCAGGAGAACTATACATGCCTATTAATGGTGACTTTCAGTATTGGGAATGAGCGTCCTCTAAGATTATTGGAACCTCAAACTTAATTTCTAGTTGGACTTTTCATAAGTGATATGTTTCTAGGATGTTTTAAATGCTGGGTCTGCTTCTACTTTGTTCCAATTTTTGTTTTTATGCTTTTGACTGTCTTTGAATTTTAAATAATGGATTTTAGGAATCATTGTGATTAAATAGCTTTTAAAATATACAACAGTATTTGTTGTGTCTATAATTCATATTCTATTTATGATCAACATGATTTTGAAAATATTTACATTTGAAAAAGTCAGTTTCCTGTTGACATCTGTACCTGATTTCTCTTTCAGCATTCAAATCACATGAATACCTCTTTGTTAACCTTATATCGGGAAAGAAATCCGGATTCTTTGCCTTCATCTCCTAAAAATGATTTAATGATGTCTATCACTCCTTCACAATCAATGTCTAGATCAGATATTATTGCCTCTCCTCAAGCTCCATCAGTGACTAAAATTTCAGAAGGTGGATGGTTTATTGATAAGACCCCAGGCCCAAAGGAGGAAAACTTTTTAATTGATCTTTGTGCAGAAGAAGAATGTGATAACATTAAGCAGAAAGCTGAGGTATTTTTCTTAATGTCTCTGTGCCCTTTTCTATTATCCCATACAAAAAGCCTCACGATCAACGATAACTTTTAAAAAATATTTTGGTACCATAGAATTAAAGAGGAGAATATGAGAAAAGATTGAATTACATATAGACTAATATATTTAAAATGTGGTATTGTAACATTAAAATTAAGATATAGGGAGGGATACAAAACTTAATAATATGTGATGAAATTGCTTGAAAATCCTGTTTCCCCTGTGTCAAAAAAGGATCAATATGGGTATTAAAACACACACATTAAGAATCTAGTATTTGAAATAAAATGAAAATGTATCTTTCCAATATTCTGTAACAATTCTTTTTTTCACCAGCACCATCTGAGGAAAACTTTCATAATTCTTGATATCTTAATAAATTTGGGGTACGGTGATTAACCAGAAAAATGCTCATATTCTTAACATGAAACAAATGCTCTACAACAGGGGTGTCAAACTCAATTTCACTGAGGGCCGCATCAGCATTGCGGTTGCTCTCGGGGGGCTGGGTGGGTGTGGACTACTGGGTGGGCATAGATGGAGTGGGTGTGGCCTACTGGGTGGGCGTGGTTTCGACAGGCAGCGGGGCACTCTCCTCACAGCGCTGAGAGGTTGAGCTGGGCGTTGCGAAGCCCTCCAACTTTGCATCTTGCCGCCTGCTGAAACTAGGCAGGCTGGGGGCTAGGCAGAATTGCACTTCTCATCAGATTCATGTCACCCAGCCCAGTTCTTGGCGCTGTGAGGAGAGCGCCTTGTTGCCTGCTAAAACCGGGCAGGCTGGGAGCTGGGTGGCCTTGCATTTCTTTTTGGATTTGCGCCGCCTGGCTCAGCCTCTTGGCACTGTGAGGAGAGCGCCCCGCTGCCTGTTAAAACCCCTCCCCCAGAGCCCATCAAGCTGAATATGTGAAGTAGGCGAGGGCCACTTCCAGGTGATGGTGCATTTCTTCATTCCTCACAAAGGATGACACCTCCCCAGCATGCACCCAGGGGGCAGGGCTGACACGGCAGGGGCTGGTTCCTCACTGTTTCCAGACAGCCTTGTGGAGCTAAGACTGAATGTGTTTCAGCATAGATGGCCACCACAAAATTATACATTGGCTTCCTCCCGGCCGGCCTGGGCCAGGGCTAAGGCAGCAGGGGCCGTTCCCTCACTGTTTCCAGGATAGCTTCACGGGCCACATGAAACCACTTTGTGGGCCGCATCCGGCCCCCGGGCCTTGTGTTTGACATGTCTACTCTACAACTATATTAGTAATATTTTGGATTTCAGCTCAAAATGTGAGAATTAGGATAAATCCAATCCATTTAATTTCCAGGTCATGGATTGTATCCATCAGCTAAATGATGCCATTTAATAAATAATCCTTACTAAATATTTTCTGAGATCTTAGCAAGATTAATACATTTTTCTGTGTGTTAATTTCATAAGATGAAAGGAGACCGATTCTTTAAATTTTGTTCCACTGATTTACAAGAACACAGTGTTCAGATCTGTTACCCTAAATATACTAATGCTATTACATTATTTCAGTTTCTCATAAAAATGGAATGTTGGCTTTGGAGCCAACATTAATTCCTCCAATAGATATAAAACTATTGAAACAACAGTAGCGCCACGATCTAATAATTCACATAACAAAAGCATAAGTTAAAATGACTAGGAAGCTTCCTGAAATAAATGAAATTTGTTTTTTTTTAAAGTTTTGCAAGATTTTTAAGAATGGACTTGTTTTAAAAAAAACTGATTCAGTCCAAAAAAAATAATAGTCTGAGAGGTTTATCTAAAAATGGATGATCAGCTTTACTAGATATTTTTAACTGTGGCTATCATGTAATAGCAGCTATTTAGGCAGAGGTTTAAAGATATCTATATTTTAAAAACTAAAATGAATAAAAAAAAGGGAGAAGCGTGCCATAAAAAGTGTTGAAGTGCTAGGGAAGCCGCAGAAGCTCTTTCAGTGGTGGGATTCATCTGGTTCGCACCACTTCAGCAGAACCAGTAGCTAATTTTTTGTTGCCCAGGCCAAGAATAGATTTCTGGAAGTGGCATTCACACAGAGAACCAGTTGTTCACATATTTGAATCCCACCACTGAGCTCTTTGTATCTTAGTTTAAAATCCCATTATATTGCCCAGACTTTGCAATTGTATCTTGCTGGATAAAATGTATCAAGAGACTTTTCTTTGTGATGTAGAATGCAGGAAACATTTCTATTTTGGAGACCGTGAGAAAGAAGTCCAAGAATAAAAAATATAAACGGAGAAAAGTTGAATTTCCTAACGTAGATGAAGAAATAGAGTCAGTTTTGAAGCAACAGAAAGGTAAGAGATGGCCTGTTTGTATTTATATAGGAAAAATGCAAAGTGATATTTCACTGTTTGTCAGTATAAAATTTGTTCAGTTTAATCTTTATGAAGTTTGTGGCTGTTTTTCTTCTGTTTAAAACAACCCATCAGCTGTGATTGTTCTTTTAATATTTTCTTATTTTTTATGCAGTTAAATCAAGAGAAATAGAGCTGCAAACTTCCTCAGTGACATTTGAGGATATAGGAGGCAATGATGAGATTTTGAAGGTTAGATTTAACTAATCTCTTTTTTAAAAATTTCAGCCGAAATAGTGTGAAGTTTAGAAGGCTTTAACCATAAATTTAATTTAAAATGATGAGTACTAAGTGTGCTATGTTGGAAAGCAACTATAATTCTTTGTTAAATGAAATCCAGTTATCTTAACAAGCCTGTTAAGTTACATATTCCTGTTTTTACCAATTGGAAGGGGCATTGAAACTCAGGCCTCCTTAACAGTTAATTGGGCATCTTTCTTGATGTTAATATTGCATTATATATCATTCATAAACTTTCAAGTATATCTTTTGTAGCATTAAGAACTAGAAACCTGCTAAGTTTCAGAATGAAAGCTGCAGTTTTCAAGAAATTGTAGGCAGATTTTAGGATTAACAATTTTGCTATCACAACAACTCTGGTGACCGTGTCTGTTCATTACTTTTGCTGAGATTTCTTTGTCAGACTTCATTTTTCTCTTATCAGCATTTATGTATAAGCAGTATGATTATTTGAAAAAGTAAAATAGATTGTTGAACGAAACTCTCAAGTCCAATTTACAAAGCAAAATATCTGTTATTGCATTCATGAATAAGAGAAGATATTCGGTGTTTCTCACTCTGGATGTGCCTTCCTTCATCAGTACATATAAATATACTTGTTAAAAGACAAAGAAAACATTTGTAGCAGCAAAACTACAAGCATTCTTTCATTAACCTGACTCCTGTTCATTCTGCAGTGTTTATCTTTGAAATTGCTAGGACTGAATTCCACATTCTCTCGAGGATCATTAGAGCTACAACTGTCTTACAACTTACCCTTATGCAAAATAAGGACAGAAGTTGAGATTAAAAGTCCATTGACAATGATAGACAATATCCAGCGTAATCAACAAATCCATGTAACCATTTCCCTACATATCCTGATTTGGAATCTAAAAGCAGAGCAGCAAATGATAGCAGTCAAATTAATTTTATTTCAACATTGCCATTTTTATTGTAGGAGATATGTAAGATGTTGATACATATCCGCCATCCTGAAGTGTACACTCATTTAGGAGTTGTTCCTCCTCGAGGATTTCTTTTGCACGGACCACCAGGGTGTGGGAAGACGTTACTAGCGCAAGCAATTGCTGGGGTGAGATTGTTAGAGCAATTACCTTTCCTTTCTCTGTTGTAAACTGTGTTCATTATTTAAAATGTTCACTTTCAGACATGTTTGTTTTCTTAAAATGCTGCTTCTTCCAGGGACAAATTCTGTCTTCTTCCCTGCATTTTGGGCCCCCTGGAAAGTCACAAGGTTGCAATCTGAGGGCTCTTCTGTGGTATCTTATTGAACAAAGCAGGACCTGCAGGGTAAATGTTTGCAAGGCAAATGCCTTTTTGATCATTGCCTGCTGGAACAGAATGTGACCCCACTATTCATTTTTCCTCTGTTTAGCCCGAATCTTGCTAAATGTTTTTACCTAGATTAAATCTGTTTGTTTTCCTCTTTTCTTTTTATTCTAGGAACTTGAACTACCAATACTCAAAGTGGCTGCAACTGAGATTGTTTCTGGAGTGTCTGGTGATTCTGAACAGAAATTAAGGGAGCTCTTTGATCAAGCTGTTGTAAGACCCTCAAAAAATAAGTATTTTATTACTTCATCCATCTTCTAACATCTTTTTTTTTATTGAAAATTTTTATTTTTTCCATTTAAACATTATAAAAATACAATACAATTGTATTTACATACAATACATCCATCTTCTAACATCTTCATTATGAATATGGCCAAATATATGAGAGAAGAAATTATTAAGCAAGGTTTAACATTGTATCATAGCTGGCATATCATAGATTCCAATCCATTTTTATTCCTTCCCTGTTTCACCTTTTTGTTCCTTGAATATTGAATCTTTCTCGAATAAGGATATCACTACACAAGTGTATTGTTTTTAACTTCAGCATAAAACTACATTCAGATTGCCTGTCATCACCCAATGGATGTAACTTGACGTTTGGTCACACAGTTTTGGATTTCAGTTTTTAATTTAGTATTTTTTTTAATTATTCTTGGATAGAAATCACTAAATATTTCATTTCCTTCAGCTTGCTGTTCTGTAGACATGAGTCGTATTATGATTTTTTTTTACATGTTGTGTAGTCCTCTCAGAAAAGATTTTTATTGGGTGAATGCAAAAATATAATAAATGCCTAGTGAATTGGGTCTGTCTACAGATAAACGCTTTTACACCTGGCGCTTCAGATGTGTGTTATGCTACAATTCATATTCTTGTTCTATTGGCTGGAATGAGAATTTTAGTCCAATTACTTGTGAGAGAGTGAAGTATACCATTTTCTTTTGTCACTTTTTCCTTTTCCTTTAACCCAAATGGTATTTTTGTTTTTCTGTGGATTTGTTTCTTTTTTCCTGTTTTTTTCTTTCTCTTTTTTGGTCAACAAAGACGATCCAAGATTGACCCCATTTTATCCCGTTTGAGTGCAGGATAGGCAAACCATTAGGCAGTTAGCCATCTAGTATTGCATTCATTTAAGAAAATGTCTTTAATAACTATCTCTGTGTCACTTAACAAATATATACAAACTTCCTGTCTTTATAAGTATTTTTGTTTATTAGCGAAAAAAATAATTTATATTGTAGTTAGTTAACCTGTACTTAAATTATAGGTCCTTTCTTATAGAAGATTGTCTCTTGAATAGGTTAGCTAGGTGGCACAATTGTTGCACAGTTGAGAATATGTTTTATAATATTATGTCATGAATACATATAGCAATGTGCCTTGTAAACTAATAGGAAAAAATACAGAAAAGTGTTTTCCAAAGTGCAGACATTCATATTTTAACTATGCTAGACTGCTAAATCATTGATAGATATCAAACATTTTTGTCAAAAAAGTAATTGCTAACTCCATTATTTTAAATATTTCATCTTGTTTTCAAATTTAATTATTTGCTGTTCATGGTAAAACTACTTACAGCAGTGGTTCTCAACCTTTTTAATTCCGCAACCCCGAACCGGTCGTAAGTCGAGGACTACTCAACCGGTCGTAAGTCGAGGACTACTCAACTGGTGCAGCACCGTTTGCAGAATGGGACTTTTGGCAGCTCAGCAGGGCAGAGATAGCCTGGACAATTCTTATTGGCTTTTGAAAGCCAATAGAATTAGACTCTATTCAAGAGAGTCTATTCTATTGGCTTTCAAAAGCCAATAGAATAAAATGGAGTAGCACAGCTAAGGAAAAGGGGGAAAAAATGGCGGAGTGCGTTGTTTGGCGACCCCCGTGAAATGGTCCTTCGACCCCAAATGGGGTCCCGACCCACAGGTTGAGAACCACTGACTTACAGAATGATTTGATAAAAATTAAGTATAAAGAAGGATTTGGAAGTAGCCTGGCATGAAGTAGAGTAGAATGGCAGAAGGAAAAAAGGAGCATAGTAAGATATTCTCTTCCATGTGCAGAATCCCATTTTCCACACACCTCAAATACGTATAACGTAGAAACATGCAGATCTCTTTCTCTAGCATGGGGAAATAATTAAGGTTTAATGTCCAATACATACGTGATGAAGTGAAAATCTTGGTTCAGGTTCTAAAAGTCAATGTCTTAGTGAATGTATATTTTAAAATTATAAAATGAAAACCATAGCATGCTTTAATTTATATAATTTCTGGGCTTATACTGATGGAGTATTTGTCTTATATTTCTAGACCAATGCACCATGCATCCTCTTCATAGATGAAATTGATGCTATCACACCAAAAAGAGAAATAGCTTCAAAGGACATGGAGCGGAGAATTGTAGCCCAGCTTCTGACTTGCATGGATGGTCTGTGTTTTAATTATTTAAAGTAAATTGTTATTTACTTCTCCATCAACTGGTTGCAACAATAAGATAAAGGCCTCTGCATTCACAAAGTTATCAACACTGAATCTGATTGACACAGAACATTTCTGGGGAGCTCATAAAATATTGTAGTTGTGCTGATCTGGAGAGACTTCTGGCTTTAATGAACAATCTTATTTTATTTGATACTTCCTTAGTGGAATTGGGATAGATTGATATCTTAATTTGTCTAGAATTCCACTTCAGTGGAGATTTTATTGATTCCTGATAAAATATATGTAAAATCTCATATCTTCTACTAACATGAAGGAATTGCATGGTAATAGTGTTGGAACTAATTTCAGTTTTTCACCTCATTAGAGGAATTTTAAACACATGTTCAGTCTTGACTGGAAAGTCCATTCCCAAAGACAGGAACTTTCTGAAAATAATCATCCATAAGTGCAGCTGGGTTTGATTGATTAGGGGATCAATACTAATAACGTAATTGTTTTCTTCTCAGTTTGTGATGCTAAGTAAGTAATTTGTTTATCCAAAATATTATGACTGGCTTGAGTTATGGTCTTGTGAGCATAATTGGTCTTCCTACTTAGTCATATTTTCTTAAATAATTCTTAAACTGGGCCAGATCTTGTTGGATCAGCTTCAATACACTGTATGTCTATGGAGATTTACAAAGGTGCTATGGAGTTTCTTGGATTTTTCCCTTGAAAACATTTTGTTTCTCATCCAAGAAGCTTTTTCATTCCTTTAAGACTTGTATTTGAGTCAGGATCTCTTTTAACAAGTTAGTAAAAGAATCTTTTTCTGCCATTTTTTCCAACTCAGCAGATAGTGACGCAGTTGGAATTAATCTAATTGTTGATTGTTTGAGTCTAGCTGCCATGCCAATAGCTTGTTAAAAACAAGATAATACATCACAAAAATTAATTACCCAATGGTCAAAGTCTTTATTCATCGAGTCCGATAATATGGGAGTTTTTATTTCCTTGAATCAGAAGAGAAGCAAGCAACATGCCTATAGCAACATCTCAAAAGTGGAAATTCTAAATACAAACATAAATTTACCTCTTGCTCTAGTCTAACTCTTTTCTTCCTATAATCTATCCTGTCTAATCATCAAAACTGTAAATCAAACATTCATTTTTTTTCTATTACACAAAGGCATTTCCAGTCAGTGATAAACATAAATACTGACTTTTCTGATCAAAAAAGTCAATTTAGCTATCTCAGCAAATCTCATTACCAGCCTTCCTTCATTGTGGATAATGCTGAATCCTTCCATCTTTGTGCATACAGTAATCTCATTACAGTTACTGTACACAAAAATAAAGTTCCATGTCTTTTCAATTGTTAATCCCAAAAGCAAAAAATTCTGATCTCAACTGTATATTAATATTTAAAATTCTGTGAATCATATTTTCTCATTGTTCCATCTGTATTGTGACCAAAATTTTAAGCCATTTTTTTCATACATTCTCTTACTTTTTCTTCATTTCTTCTGTTTCAAATTTCAGTAAAACCTTTTTAGCAATGACATGTTCATAATTTGTACACAATTCTGTTTCAGACTCAGTCTTAACAATGTTCAAAACCATAAACTCTCTTGTCTACTTTGAATTTTTCTAATAACCGTAAATAAGAAAATCATTGACAACGATATCACTCTGCCACTGGTTCTCTGATTTATATTTTATATTCCCCTTGAACATAATTCTTTCACAATAAATTAGACATTTGTGTTTGCCTATTATTTCTCATCTATAAAATGTTTCTTCTGATGATAGCCATAAAATGTTTTTGGGCAGAACCTGGCTTTTTATCTGTTCCATATTCTCAATATGGCACATCTAACATAATTATTTTTAAATTCCACATTAACCTTAATTTGTGTCATGCCACAAATATCCATGCCACCCAACTTTCAAGTTGGGTCCTTCTAACATCAAGAGCCTTTTACTTCTCAGCAGTATCTACTCTTTTGTTCATGCCAAACAGCAAGCTGCAAAATACAATTTCAAATCACTAGATCTCACTTTCATATTTCCTTTGACTCTTATAACGCCTAGAATAGTTATGAGCTACATTCCTATTGCCAATTACCTATGATTAATAAATGTTATGAAACCACATTTTTTCTATTGTCTTTTGATGTGGTCATGATAATAAATCAGTTCTTTGCTAAATGAAATATTATTCAGTTTCTGTTGTTCCCAATACACTCCTCCTGTTTCTTTACTGCCTGTCTTTTTCAAGCTTTTTGCAACATCAGACATACATTTAGACAAATAAGAGAGTGAGTTTGGTCTGTTGGTTAAGACACCAGGCTAAAAGCCAGGGGATTATGAGTCCTAGTTCCACTTTAGCCATGAATGTTGGCTGGGTGACTTTGAGCTAGTTATTCTTGCTCAGCCTACAACGTCAGGTTCAGGCAATAAGCTGGCTGGTCAATTCCTGTCATAGCCAATGGATCAGTGCTGGGATGAGCGAAAAGAATCAATCCCTGCAATTGCAAGAAAATGCTGGGAAATAAAAAAAACCTGTATTTAAACAAAGGGTACTTAGGAAGATTTAGTATGTTAATAATTAAACAAAATCTTTCACTATAATTATTTGCATTCCTATATTAACACAGGATTCATCAAGTCCCAACCATATTCAGCCTCAGACCTACTGTTGTAATTCACAGAGCACCTCAAAAATGGCCCATTAAAATGATAACAGAACTGACAATATTCAATAAGTTGTTAAAAACAACTGTTTTTCAGCAGTTTTATTATTAAATCGATTTGCTGCCCATCTCGCCACAGGGCAATTTTTTTTTAGTATTTTTAGGTTGATCTTGGAGATTTAAACCCCAGCAAGAAGTAGTCTGGGAAGGAAGTGATTATAAACCAAACAGATGGCTTGGTGGGATTGGCAGATGATGAGGGAAAGATCAAAGATTTGTGTATCAAGGGGAAGCTGGCAGAAAATAATTTGGCAGGCAAAACCAAGGGACAGAATTGCCATCAAAGCCTTTCCTACCTCTAGAATTGGAACCTAGAATGAGTATAAATAGAATGGTGCATGCAGATATTAAGCTTGCATTATAATCTGCAAATGCATGCTGAGAGTTGCTCTGAGGCTGAAAGTTGTTTGGCAAAAAAACACTAGCTTGAGGAAAGAGAAGGAGCGAGGCAGAGCAATAGCACATGCACTACTCAGAATTAGCATACATATTAAAATGTCTGTCCTCTTGGGTGTGCTATGTGAATAGTTTTACTACAGTATTATTATAGTTTTGGTAACACACCATCCACTCTTTCATTAATTGCGGTTTCCTTCTTTGCTTCTTCTTTCAGACTTGAATACATTGACCACAGCAGCTCAGGTCCTTGTAATTGGAGCAACCAACAGGCCAGATTCACTGGATCCAGCCCTGAGACGTGCGGGAAGATTTGACCGAGAAATTTGTTTGGGGATTCCAGATGAAACAGCAAGAGAAAAGTGCGTCAGTTTTCTTTTTAATTTGCACATTATCATGCAAAGTCATTTGAAGTCCTAATTGGATAGATATTTAACAAGGGAAGATTAGAGGACTTAACTACTGCTTTAGTAATAAATACTGTAGCAGTATTAAAAGAAGCTCATGGAAACTATAAAGCTGCCTGTTATATAGATTTGAAAGTCATAATTGGCATTTGCAGTGCTAGCAGCAAAATCTTTAATAAATTGACAGAACAGCAACAGAAAATGAAAGATTTTATTTACATTAGGTAGGCTTATGTGGGTTCCTTTATCTCTTTCAAGAATGTATTTCTTTTATATTCCAAAAAGTGAGAAGGTTTGAACTAGTTGACCCTCTTCTTCCCAGAGTGAGCTCTTCTGCTATCTAATAATTGCAATAATTGGGGAAACAAGCTTTCTATTGCCTGATTGGGAGATGAAGTTTCCATATCTGTCATCTTAAAGAACAAGTGGCACATTTCACCTTGAGCATAGTTGACACGGGCATTTGATTACGAATAGATTTTTTTCACAAGAGGAAGGCGCTCAATTCTGATGAACTTATAATTTTATTAAATTATAAATAAAAATGACTGCATGATAAGACTGGTTATCTCGCAAGTAATGAAAGTAAATTTGAAGGAAATTAACTTTGATGTGTTGGCTGTCATATACAGGTAGTCCTTGACTTGCAACCATTCGTTTAGTGACCATTTGAAGTTACAAGAGCACTGAAAAAAGAGACGAGCAGTTTTCACACTGGTTGCAGCATCCACCTGGTCATGTGATCAAAATTTGGGCACTTGGCAACTGCCATGTATATTATGTCAGTTGCAGTGTTTCAGGGTCATGCGATCACTATTTGCAACCTTCCCAGCTGACTTGTGACCTGCAAAGTCAATGGGGGAAGTCAGATTCACTTAACAACTATGGCAAAAAGGTCATAAAATGGGGCGAGGCTCACTTAACCACTGCCATGTTTAGCAACAGAAATTTTGGGCTCAATTCTGGCCATACGTTGAGACCTACCGGTAGTCAGAATTGTTTCAGCATAGATATTTAAATGCTTCTAATGTTTTCTAAATATTGTGTCAACATAGAATTAGACATATTTCTAATATTTTGAACACTCTATATCAGTGGTTCTCAACCTGTGGGTCGGGACCCTATTTGGGGTCGAACAACCATTTCACGGGGATCGCCAAACAAGGCTGTCCGCCATTTTTCCCCCTTTTCTTTGGCCTCGCCATTGGCACCTGGTGATGTATAAGTGGTTGGGGGTCACCACAACATGGGGGACTGTATTATGGGGTCACGGCATTAGAAAGGTTGAGAATCACTGCTCTATATCTTAATCTTTTCACAGATTATACCTTTTGGGGGTTGGGGAGGACTAAACAGAAATGATTTCATCAAGCTCTTTCTTTTGGAAGGTGACTCAAACTAAATTATTAAAACAATATTAAATACGTTTAATTAATAAAATCTGGGATTTTTGGATATAAGTTCAGCTGCAAAATCATCTTCATTTTCTTTTCACCAGAATTCTGAAGACATTGTGTCGAAAGCTTCGACTTCAAGAATCCTTTGATTTTGGACATTTGGCTCATATGACACCAGGCTACGTTGGGGCTGACCTTATGGCCCTTTGCCGTGAGGCGGCAATGTGCACAGTTAACAGAGTCCTTGTTAAACTGAATGGGAAGAAATGTGAAGTTACGAAAAATGAAGAAGTAGCATCTGGACAAGACATGCAAAGGAGAACAGAACAAAATGTGAAAAAAGATACCGAAGAACAAGATCTTCCTACTAAAGTATATATTTCATATATAGCTTATTGTATCTATTTGTTCCATGTTTGGGTATATAAAAGAGGGGATTTTCCTAGAAGAAAATTGTAGATATTAAGGACAGATATATTAAAAATGAAAATAAAAATGTATAACTAAATATAGAGCCAGCTTAGTGTAGTAGTTAAGGTATCAGGCCAAAAAATGGGAAAGTTAGATGGAAGTCCATTTGGGACTTGAGCCAGTCACTCTCTCTCAGCCCTAAGAAGGGGACAATGGCAAACTATTTCCAAAATCTTGCCAAGAAAAATGCAGGAACTAGTCCAGGCAGTTGCCAGGACTCAACTTGAAGGCATCTGGCTGGCTGTAGTTCTAGTCTGAAGGACATAGGGAGAGGAGCCATAAAATAGGAGTATGAACCTTTTAATAATGCTTAATCTCTCTGGCTTTCAATACCACTGAACATGTCATGTAGGGATGGCCAACTATGGCAACATTATGACGCATGGACTTCCCAGAATTCCTGAGCCAGCATGGGAGTTGAAGTCCACAGGTCATAAAATTGCCATAATTACCCACCCTTGATGTTATGACTGCCTCCTCCTGACTTAAGGACGGGGAGCAGTGAATGCACTGGTTCTCCTCCACTCCAAAAAGTTACTACCAATCATTGGGAATAATGGTGGAGAGAATGTGCTCTAGGCTCCTCAGTTATAGGATACCACAAGGATTGATGTTATCCCCACTCATGTTGAATATCATCTAGTTTATTTATTATCTAGTCTATGAAATAGGTTCTATGAAAATTATCTGTCAAAAGATTAGAATCATCATCAGCATACTGGTGACAGACACAGTACTATCTCAGTCTCAGCCAGGCAATAATGCCATCCAGTACTTGGATGCGATTTGGTGTAGATGGCAAAGAACTGGCTAAAGCATAATCCCAGTAAAACAGAATCATTCTAGACTGATAAATCCTATGATTCCAGAGAGATTCTATCTTTAGTTCAGGATGGAGTCACACTCCCAGTGCTGAGTGGACTTGAAACTTGAGAGTCCTCTTGGTCTCACAGCTACTGCTCAGGGTACAGCTAACAGCAATGGCCAGAGGACCTTGATACGTCTTCATCTAGTGCAGGGGTCCTCGACCTTGGCAATTTTAAGACTTGTGGACTTCAACTCCCAGAATTCCTCCCAGAATTCTGGGAGTTGAAGTCCACAAGTCTTAAAGTTGCCAAGGTCAAGGACCCCTGGTCTAGTGCACCAGTTGTGACCACTATTGGAATGAAAGAAGTTTGGGTTATTAAATGTCCCTGTCACATGTAAGAGAAAATCTCCAGAAAATTTTAAAACGAGGATTAGTGTGCATTATGTAACGGAAAGAGAAAAATGTTCCTATTCCACTAAAGGCAATTACTTATCAGTATTTTATGTTTTGTTTTTTGTTTTTTAAAAAAACATCACAATATTCCTACAATCTGTTATTCTGCTAAAGAAATCAATAAAAAACAAAGATTATCTTGAAAAATCCATACTAGCTGTCATTACTGTTAGCATTTTAAAATACCTTGCATTTGGACTCCAGATTTTTATCGGTAAACTTAAGGGTGTGTTTCTTTTACCCACAGTCTAATCTAGTTTCGTTTTATTTTCCTCCTCCTCCTCTAATCTCTCTTCTTTAGAATGAATTGCAAAGATTGCTCCAGTTGCTGAAGGAACCAGATCCCCTGGGGGAGGCTCAGCTGCAGAAGCTGTGCATTGAGCTGAAGGATTTCACTCTTGCTCTCTCTTCAGTGCAACCCTCTGCAAAGAGAGAAGGCTTTGTCACCGTTCCTGATGTGACCTGGGCAGATATTGGAGCCCTGGAAGAGGTTCGGGAGGAGCTGACCATGGCTATATTGGTATGGGTGGATGCTTTCACCAAATGTTGATGTACTCTATATGTGATGGTCCTCACTTTCTGAAATTAACTACGGGAGTCTTCCAGCCACTCTGAATTAAAGGCATGTAGTGCATTTTGCATAAAAGGATGTGCAAGGAAATCAGCTCTGCTTTGATTTACAAAGTTAACAGTAAACTAAATTGCTTATTATTGCTCCATTTTGAAAGGGAAGCTTATTCCTGTTAGTTTTAGTATTTAGTATCAGAGGACTTTTGGTCCATTGTTAGTATAATGAAGATATTAATCCAAGGAAAGTAAATAATGTCTAAAAATGATTGCATAGGTGATAGTGAGAATGGTTCCAAAGGAGCTCAATTTGATTGATGAAAGAATACTGAATAAGCTTTGTGGTTATAAATAACCATATACAGTAATAAATAGTCTAAAAGACCCTAAAATAATGTTTACACTTCAGATTCCTAGATAAAGTGAGTCATATTCAACTGGCATCCTAAAGAGTCGCAGGAGGAGGGGGCATCTGTCATTCCCTCCAAATAGTGTGTAATAATGGGGGTGTCACTACCAGGAAGATCCTATTCCTGGCTATGGCACCACAAGCTGAACTCAAGTTGGCTGTTATCAGGGGAGCAAATCATTTAATTAAAGATCATTTAAATTTAATCAATGTCAATACATTGAATTGGGCCAATGTAGAGCTTATAGAACTGGTGATATGTTTACATTCTGCACCAGGTGCAGCTTCTAAACCATTTTCAAGAGTAAACCCACATAGAATTTTTTTTTGCAGTAATCCAATTAGGGCATGAAACACAAAAGCTATGCTATCTTTGTCCCATCAGCATTCCAGCTGCCACAAAGCTGGGTGTAGGACTTCCTTGTTAATTAGTATGCCTTGGTCTGCCTGACCGATAATAGTAGAAGAAAAATAATGTATGTAAGGTGTTTTTTTAAACAGGCACCTGTGAGGAATCCTGAACAATTCCGAGCCCTTGGACTTCTAGCTCCAGCTGGGGTGCTGCTTGCTGGTCCTCCTGGATGTGGCAAAACATTGCTTGCAAAGGTAATTTTGGCTGCTTATTTGCTCAGAGAATTCCAACACTTAAGGATCACTTTTCCCACCAATCTGACTGCATCTGGTTGCTGACGTTTAGAATCTTGGAGCCCAATTCATTAAGGAATTTTTCCCCAGTGATAACCTGATTAACCAATCCTTCAGTTTGCATTCATCTTGGCCTTGTTTATTTTATCCCAAAGAACAAAGCATCTATCAGCATCCAAAGAAATCTCCATGTCTTTATTCAAATTCAATTTAATTACTGGGAAAATAGCACATGGAATAAAAATATCTAAGTAATTAAATTCAGGATATATATGAACATTATCCCCTTTATGGATTACTGCCTTGTCGTGGCGAAGGGGCTTGTGTAACTCAGTGAAGCTATAAGCTATGCCGTGCAGGGCCACCCAAGACGGACAGGTCATAGCAGAGAGTTTTGACAAAATGTGATCCTCTGGAGAAGGAAAGGGCAAACCACTCCAGTATCTTTGCCATGAAAACTCCATGGACAGTACTAAAAGGCAAAAAGATAGGACGCTGGAAGATGAGGCCCTCAGGTCGGAAGGTGTCCAAAATGCTACTGGGGAAGACCAGAGGGCTAGTACTAGTAGCGCCAGAAAGAATGAAGCGACTGGGCCAAAGCTGAAAGGATGCTCAGCTGTGGATATATCTGGTGGTGAAAGGAAAGTCCGATGCTGTAAAGATTTTTTCTCCATAGGAACCTGGAATGTAAGATCCATGAATCAAGGCAAGCTAGACGTAGTCAAAAAAGAGATGACAAGACTGAACATCGACATCTTAGGAATCAGCGAACTAAAATGGACAGGAATGGGTGAATTTAACTCAGATGACCATCAGGTATACTACTGTGGGCAAGAATCCCTCAGAAGAAATGAAGTAGCCTTCATAGTCAATAAAAGAATAGGAAAAGCAATACTGGGATACAATCCCCAAAATGACAGAATGATCTCAATTTGAATCCAAGGTAAACTATTCAATATCAAAATAGTCCAAATCTATGCTCCAGCCACTGGTGCTGAAGAGGATGAATTTCGAAGAGGCAGAGGAACTAGAGATCAAATTGTCAACATACGCTGGATCATGGAGAAAGCTAGGGAGTTCCAGAAAAACATCTACTTCTGCTTCATTGACTATGCTAAAGCCTTTGATTGTGTGGATCACAACAAATTGTGACAAGTTCCTAAAGAGATGGGAATACCAGACCATCTTACTTGTCTCTTGAGAAACCTGTATGCGGGTCAAGAAGCAACAGTGAGAACTGGACATGGAACCACTGCTTGGTTCAAAATTGGAAAAGGAGTTCGGCAAGGCTGTATACTGTCGCCCTGCCTATTTAACTTATATGCAGAGCACATCATGAGAAAGGCAGGGCTAGATGAAACAAAAGTTGGAATTAAGATTGCCGGGAGAAATATCAACAACCTAAGATATGCAGATGATACCACTCTAATGACAGAAAGTGAAGAGGAACTAAAGAGCCTCTTGATGCGGGTGAAGAAGGAGAGTGCAAAAGTTGGCTTGAAACTCAACATTAAGAAAACCAAAATCATGGCATCCGGCCCTCTCAATTCCTGGCAAATAGATGGGGAAGAAATGGAGGTAGTGACAGATTTTATTTTTCTGGGCTCCAAGATCACCTCAGATGGGGACTGCAGCCAAGAAATTAAAAGACGCTTGCTCCTGGGGAGAAAAGCTATGGCAAATCTAGACAGCATACTAAAAAGCAGAGACATCACCCTGCCAACAAAAGTGCGTATAGTCCAGGCCATGGTTTTCCCAGTTGCAATGTATGGCTGTGAAAGTTGGACCATAAGAAAGGCTGAGCGCCAAAGAATTGAGGCCTTTGAACTATGGTGCTGGAGAAGACTCCTGCGAGTCCCTTGGACTGCAAGGCGTTCAAACCGGTCAGTCCTAGAAGAGATCAACCCCGACTGCTCTTTAGAAGGCCAGATCCTGAAGTTGAAACTCAAATACTTTGGCCACCTAATGAGAAGGAAGGACTCACTGGAGAAGGGCCTAATGCTGGGAAAGATTGAGGGCAATAGAAGAAGGGACGACAGAGAATGAGATGGCTGGATGGAGTCACTGAAGCAGTAGGTGTGAACTTAAATGGACTCCAGAAGATGGTAGAGGACAGGAAGACCTGGAGGAACGTTGTTCATGGGGTCGTGATGGGTCGGACACGACTTCACAATTAACAACAACAAAACAATGAACATTATAATTACTTAATGCATTAATATGTAATTCTTTGTTTATCAGTATCATTTCTAACTTAGACTGATAAACAGAGTATTCCACAACTCACCCAGCGCATTAAGCAAATGCATGAAGACCAGAATCAAAGTACTCTTTGAAGTTCAGAAATAGACAATTAGATGTCATCAACATATAATACTAAATTATATTCTAATGAATTGTGAGGAAAAACTAGAGATATTATGATTCTATCTAACAGCACAGGCTGAACGTTCTAAAGATGTATCAAAGGACAAAAAGGACATTCTTCTGTAGTATTTTATAGGGTAAAAAGAAATTTTAAAAATTTACCATTTTTTGTTTGGGAGCCACATTCAAGAGGAATGCTGTGGACATAATTTACTTGGACTTCAGTAAGGCATTTGATAAAGTAGATCACAACCTACTACTTGACAAGATAGAAAAATGTGGGGTAGACAGAACCACCACCAGATGGATCCGTAGCTGGCTGACCGGCCGTACTCAGCGAGTGGTCCTCAATGGAACTGCATCTATATGGAGGGAAGTGTGTAGTGGGGTGCCCCAGGGCTCTGTTCTGGGCCCAGTACTCTTCAACATCTTCATCAACGATTTGGATGAAGGGATAGATGGGGAACTCATCAAATTTGCAGATGACACCAAGCTGGCAGGAATAGCCAACACTCCAGAAGACAGGCTTAAGATACAGAAGGATCTGGACAGACTTGAACACTGGGCACTAACTAACAAAATGAAATTCAATGGTGAAAAAAGCAAGGTTCTACATTTAGGCAAGAAAAACCAAATGCACAAGTACAGCATAGGTGGCACCATGCTCAATAGTAGTAACTGTGAGAGGGACCTCGGAGTCCTAGTAGACAATCACTTAAATATGAGCCAGCAGTGTGCTGCAGCTGCCAAAAAGGCCAACACAGTGCTAGGCTGCATTAACAGAGGGATAGAATCAAGATCACGTGAAGTATTAATACCACTCTTCAATGCCTTGGTAAGGCCACACTTGGAATACTGCATCCAGTTTTGGTCACCACGATGTAAAAAAGATGTTGAGACTCTAGAAAGAGTACAGAGAAGAGCAACAAAGATGATTAGGGGACTGGAGGCTAAAACATATAAGGAATGGTTGCTAGAATTGGTATGTCTAGTTTAACGAAGAGAAGGACAAGGGGGGACATGATAGCAGTATTCCAATATCTCAGGGGCTGCCATAAAGAAGAGGGAATAAGCTATTTTCCAAGCACCTGAAGGCAGGACAAGAAGCAACGGGTGGAAACTAATCAAGGAGAGAAGCAACCTAGAACTAAGGAGAAACTTCCTGACAGTGAGAACAATTAATCAGTGGAACAGCCTGCCTCCAGAACCAGTAAATGCTCCAACACTGGAAGTTTTTAAGAAGAGACTGGACAGCCATTTGTCTGAAATGGTGTAGGGTTTCCTGCCTGAGCAGGGGGTTGGACTAGACGACCTCCAAGGTCCCTTCCAACTTTACCACTACTACTACTACTACTACTACTACCACTACTATTATTATTATTATTATTATCTTTTTGAGAAATACACATTTAATTAAGGTAGCTCACATGTACTGCTTTCAGAATTATCAATAGGTTTTTCGGCATCAAAAATATTGTGCTTGCTAAATGCAATTTGGTCTTTTCTGTCTTTATATAAATCAATTATTATTATTATTATCTTTTTGAGAAATACACATTTAATTAAGGTAGCTAACATATACTGCTTACAGAATTATCAATAGGTTTTTCGGCATCAAAAATATTGTGCTTGCTAAATGCAATTTGGTCTTTTCTGTCTTTATATAAATCAATTATTATTATTATTATTATTATTATTATTATTATTATTATTATTATCTTTTTGAGAAATACACATTTAATTAAGGTAGCTCACATATACTGCTTACAGAATTATCAATAGATTTTTCGGCATCAAAAATATTGTGCTTGCTAAATGCAATTTGGTCTTTTCTGTCTTTATATAAATCAATCACATTCACTGTGATCTTCAGTTATTTTGAGTATGTTTCTAATTTCCTGGATTTGTATTCTCTGTACTGTAATTTTTTTTAAAAAAGAAGTGTTTGAGAAAGCCAGTGTTTCATCATGGTGGTAGAATAAAGATATCATATGGATTTTCATAGATAAAAGGCATATTGTGATGATTATTATGATATAAAATGAAGAAACAGTAGTCCACCTAGTTAGCTGCTGCAAGAAGATTGCACGAAGTAGTTATAAACAGCAGAAAATAGCAACTTGAGAAAGTAGCAACAATGGTGGACTGGTATATCAACAAGAATTACTATTAACCTGCAAGCAGGTAATGGTGGAACTACAAAATAGACAGTTGTAGAAAATGAAGACGCTAGGGTGTTCTGGAACTTTAGAATTCAAACAGACAAGCACCTGCTCTATTACACCCCAGACTGAACAATTGCTGATAAGATAGAAAAAAGTTTGGATAGCAGACATGGCAGTATTAGGAGACAGCAGAATAGAAAGAATTGGAGACAATCACAAAATACAAATACCTACAAATAAAAAAACTGTGGCAAAGATGGCACCAATAGTGATAGGTGCCTTGGGTGCAATCCAAAAATATCTGGAGCACCACTTGAACACCATCAAATCAATTGCAAAGGGCAGCTTTACTCAGAACAGCCTATATCCTGCGCCAGTATCTTTAAAACCATCAAACAAGAAAATCTGCCTATCTCAGATCCTTGGGAAGAATTCAGTAGGTGGATAAAAATGTCACATCTGGTCTAAACATCTGGATGCCTGCGGAACCAACCACATTATGTAGTAACTAAATTATTTTTTTTTACTAGGCTGTAGCAAATGAATCTGGATTGAACTTTATTTCAGTGAAAGGCCCTGAACTATTGAATATGGTGAGTTTTTTTCTAGTTTGCTTGGTGACCACTGTCTTTTAAGCTTTTGCTGATACAAAAAAAAATGTTTGACTGAACTGCATAACTGAGCTATATCCATATAATGAAAATGATTGCGGCATACATATTTATTGACCCCACATTTCCTTTTGCAGTACAGATAGTTCTCAAATTACAACAGAAGTTGGGACCGGAATTGCCATCACTAAGTGGTCACATGACTGCGTCACTTAATGAGGGCAATCCAAGCAGTTGACATAACTCTAGATGTGCAGGTCATTAAGCAGAAAGTGGAAGGATCCCAGGAAAGCGTGCAGGCTGCACAAGGGCTAGGAAACAGAGGCCATGCATGAGCTGAGGATGTGTCTGTGATGTGTGGCTTAAAGTGAGAAAGACTGGAAAAGAGCATGGTGCGTGCATGTGTATATGTGACCACAGAAAGGCCGAGGAAAGAGAGGTACATGTGAGCAAAGAAAGGCCAGAATGGAGGAAAATTTATCCAAGTGACCTTCCCTGCCAGTTTCCCTATAGACCAGCGGTTCTCAACCTGTGGGTCGCGACCCCATTTGGGGTCGAACGACCATTTCACGGGGGTCGCCAAACAACACGATCCGCTGCCGTGCATGCGTGCCACGCAGGGGGCGGCGCTGCGCATGCGTGCCGCACAGGGGGCGCCGCCGCACATGCGTGCCGCGCAGGAGGCAGCGCCGCGCATGCATGCCGCGCAGGGGGCGCCGCTGTGCATGCGTGCCGCGCAGGGGGCGCCGCCGCGCATGCGTGCTGTGCGGGGGGGGCGGCGCGCACGCACGCCGCCTCCTTATGACCGGGGTCGCCGGTATAAAAAGATTGAGAACCACTGCTATAGACTTTGCTTATAGGAAGTAGGCAGGGAAGCCCATAAATAGAATCATGTGATCGTAGAAGAGGGCAGCTGGTTGTAAATACAAGCTGGTTACCAACCAGTCAACTTTTGTTCACATGACCACGAGCCCATGTCATGGCCATAACTTCAGGGACCAGGGCTCAGTCCCTTCGTTTAGCACCAACATAACTTTGAATGGTCACTGAACAAATACAGGTTCATGAGTCTTGGCAGTTGTTAAATAGGTCATCATATGACCAGGTTGAATTTTACTACGTTTTTTGCAGTGGTCATTAAGCAAGGATGGTGGTGTAAGTGAACCCATTTTCTCCAGTGAGTGCTTTTTTGTCAGAAATTGAAAGTGAACACTAGAAACTAGCAAAAACAATTGCTGAAAATGACGGTCATGTGACTTCAGGACACTGCAAATGGCCATAAATGCAAGCCAATTGCTAAGTGCCCCAAATGTGATCACATCACCGGGGTGTGTGCATGTATTGCAGCTGTTGGAACTTGGAAATCAGGTTGTCAGTAGCTCTTGGGAGGTCTGTCATAATTCAAATGGTTGCTAGATAACTTGTCACTAAGTGAGGACTGCTTGTAAGCACAATTACAGAAAGTACAAGAAAAAAGTAGACCGAGCAAGGCAAAGAAGTCAAAGACAGGCAATAAGCGAAAATGAAAGGAAATCTAATTAAATATGGCTTGCTTAGTATATTTATTAGAGAAGGAACTGAGAAATTGAATTTGGTCATTCCATCTAGTCTTGTTCCATAAATTTATACTCATTGGCAGATGGTAATTGTGGCTAGAAAACTGTGTACAATTTCAAAACTTGTTTTGTATCTGGTCATGGCAGAATCCTAAGCATGAATTAATTTGTGACCTAGATCAGAGGTCCCCAACCTTGGCAATTTTAAGACTTGTGGACTTCAACTCTCAGAATTCCTCAGCCAGCTTGGCTGGCTGAGGAATTCTGAGTGTTGAAGTTCACAAGTCTTAAAGTTGCCAAGGTTGGAGACCCCTTGACCTAGAGCAGGGGTCTGCAACCTTAAATACTCAAAGAGCCACTTGGACCCATTTCCCAGAGAAAAAGAAAACACTGGGAGCCCCAAAACTTGCGCGCACATGCACGCGCGAGGGGAGGGGGAGCTCGATTGAAGACTTTAATTAAAAAGAAATAGAGGCTGCTGTGCATGAATTCTCTTTTCTCCCCCTCTCTCTTTCTCTCCCTCTCTCTCTTTCTCCCTCCCTCTCTCTCTTTTTCTCTCTTTCCCCCTCTCTTTTTCCTCTCTCCCTCTCTCTTTCTCTCCCTCTCTCTTTTTCTCTCCCCCTCTCTTTTTTCTCTTTCCCCCTCTTTCTCTCTCCCTCTTTTTCTCTCTCTCCCTCTTTTTCTCTCTCTCTCCTTCTCTTCCCTCTCTCTTTCTCCTTCTCCCCCTCTCTCTTCTCTCTCTTTCTCTTTCCTCTCCCCCCTCTCTCTTTCTCTTTTTCTCTCTCTTCCTCTCTTTCCTCTCCCTCTTTCTCTCTCTTTCCTCTCCCCCTCTCTCTTTCTCTCTCCTCTCCCTCTCTCTCTTTCCTCTCCCTCCCTCCCTCTCTCTCTTTCCTCTCCCCCCTCTCTTTCTCTCTTCCCCCCCTCTCCCTCTCTCCGATCTTCTGCTCATTTGGCAAGCTGGCTTCAAGCTGTTCTCCAACAGGCTGGCTCTCTCTTGCCCTTCCTGCTTCCTACAGAGACGTAGTCAAGGCAGGAGCCCTGCCTAATAAGCTTGTCATCTCATCCATTCTCTTTTTTCTACACACACACACACACACACACAAGCACAGAGAGAGAGGGGGGGGAAGTGCAAGTGCCTCTCTCTGTCTCTGTCTCTCTCTCTCTGCAAATGGCAGAGGAGGCTGGGAGCCGCAAGAGAAGGCTCAAAGAGCCACATGCGGCTCTGGAGCCACAGGTTGCCAAACTGTAACCTAGAGGAATTCCTCTGAACAATCCAACTTCTTATTAAATAAGATTGCAAAATAATATTCTACAGAATTTCATAGAAATTTCCTTTTCCTTCCTGCTTCTAGTACGTGGGGGAAAGTGAACGTGCTGTCCGTCAGGTTTTCCAGCGTGCAAGAAATTCAGCACCTTGTGTCATATTCTTTGATGAAGTGGATGCTTTATGCCCTCGGAGATCCGACCGTGAAGTGAGTCTCTAAAACATTCCCCTAGAGATATTTAACTAAGATGAGATACAGGTTGCAGTGTATATATATCAGTTTGTTATTCTGTATGTTTTCAGAGAAGCCCTATGATGTAAATTAAAACTGGCATTGTACAGATGCCACATCTAGATGGAAAGAGAGGGATTACTAAATGTTGTACGCTGCAATAAAATTTCAACCTATTTTTGCAGACCTGCCTTATATTACCACGGCTAAGTGATTGTTTGCTTGAGGTTTAAAGGTGATTCTGGAAAAAGAAAGCAAACACCAGCCATGTGGGGTTCTGGTTTAGGCATTCTTACAGCAGTAATTACATAAACTGCTTTTCCACTTGGAATTGAAATGTAACTCTGCATATCCAAATCCATTAATGGGTCAGTCATAAAGGACTCAAATGCCTGTATACCAATGTACAGAGTATGAACAGTAAACAGGGTGAACTAGAAATTTAGGTAAATGAGGGCAGATATGATATTGTTGCCATTGCAGAAGCGTGGAATGAAACCCACAAATGGAACACACAGGGATTTAAATTATTTAAAAGAAACAGACCAAATAAAAGAGGAGGTGGAGTTGCTCTCTATATAAGAAATAACTACATCTCTACAGAAATAGAGCACAACAATGGTGAAAACTGTCTTGAATGCATTTGGGTCAATATAAATGGGGGGGGGAATGACATTGCCATAGGTGTATACTATAGGCCACCCAATCAAACAGAGGAAATATATGAACTTTTTGCTAGTCAGCTAACTAAGGTATGTAGGAAGCACATTACAATAGTAATGGGGGACTTTAACTACCCTGACATCAACTGGGAGGCAAACTCTGCACCAAGTGGAAGATCAAACAGATTTCTGACAAACCTAACAGACAACTTTGTCTCCCAAAAAGTAGAGAAGGGAACTAGGGAATTAGCCATATTGTATCTAATCCTCAGTAACATAGATGAAATGATAGAAGGTGTTGAAGCCACAGGAACTTTGGGGAGAAATGATCATGCAGTATTGGAATTCAACATTCTGGAAGCAATAGAACACAGTCAAAGTAGAATCTTGGACTTTAAGAGAGCTAATTTCAATTAACTTAGAGAGGGCTTGAGAAGGATTCCAGGGATGAGAATCCTCAAGGGGAAAACAACTCCAGAAGCTTGGAAAATTTTGAAAAATGAGATAATAAAAGCCCAGTCTAGCACAATACCAATAAAGAAGAAAAAAATAACAATTGTCAAAAGAAACCAGCATGGCTGCATAAAGAACTCTGATAAACTGAAAGATAAAAAGGACAAGTATAAAAAAGAGGGGCACATAACTAAAGCAGAATATCAGCAAATAGTCCAAACTTGCAAAGATGAAGTGAGGAAAGCTAAGGCTCAAAATGAACTAAGGTTTGCGACTAAAATCAAAAATAATAACAAAAAAAGCTTCTTTCAACATGTAAAAAACAAGAAAAAGGTTAAGGAAATGATTGGTCCATTAGTGGGGTGAAGTGGCAAGAAGGTGACAAGCAGCAGAGAGAAAGCAGAACTATTTAACTCGTTTTTTGCATCTGTTTTTATACAAAGGGAAAAAACAGTCCAACCTATCAAAAACAGTAGTATAAAAAACAGATTAGAAACATAAGTTAAGATAGGCAAGAAAATGGTAAGTGAGCACCTGTCCAGCTTACACGAGTTCACATCACCAGGACCAGATGGATTACACCCCAAGGTTCTCAAGGAAGTGGCAGATGTGATCTCAGAACCACTGAACTATATTTTTCAAAGATCCTGGAGCACTGGGGTAGTACCAGAGGACAGGAAAAGAGCTGATGTAGTTCCCATCTTCAAAAAAGGGAAAAAAATAAATCCAGGAAACTACAGACTTATCAGCCTGACCTCAATACCTAGGAAGATTCTGGAAAAGATAATCAAACAACAAATCAGTGAACACCTAGAGGCAAACAAAGTCATTACGAAAAGTCAACATGGGTTTGTCAAAAACAGATCATGCCAGTCAAATCTTACTGCATTCTTTGACCAAGTGACAAAAATAGTGGACCAGAGGAATGCTGTGGATATAATTTACTTGGACTTCAGTAAGGCATTTTATAAAGTAGATCACAACCTACTATTTGATAAGATAGAAAAATGTGGGTTAGACAGCATCACCACCAGATGGATCCGTAGGTGGCTGACCGGCCGTACTCAGCGTTTAGTCCTCAATGAAACCGCATCTACATGGAGGGAAGCATGTGGTGGGGTGCCCCAGAGCTCTGTTCTGGGCCCAGTGCTTATTAATTTGCTATACAATCCTTTTGTTCTTTAGAATTTCATGGTATGATAAATTAGAAATGCTTATATTTTGGTTTTTTGTTTGTTTGTTTGTTTTGAATGATCAAAGGTCAATAGGAAATTAGGGAATAGGATATGGGAATTATGAACGTTCCAGGGGTTTTCTTTTAAATCCATGGTTGTCATTTTTGTCTTACCCCATATTTTTATTCTTACAGTCAGGCGCCAGTGTCCGTGTAGTGAACCAATTGCTTACTGAGATGGATGGACTGGAATCACGTCGTCAAGTTTTCATTATGGCAGCCACAAATAGACCAGGTATAGATCATCAAACAATCAGATATAATCTCAAGTATTTTTGTATTCTGCTCATGTGCAACATGCCTGTGAGTTGACAGTTAATTGGCTTGTTTTCATGAGCTAATTATATTTCCGCATACAATAGTGGGTAAAGAATTTGGTGCACTAGGACCAGAGAGATTTTGCTTCAAAACCACTCACAGATATATATGATTATTGGAGCCTTTTGGTCAAAGATATCTCATGAGATGCTTGGAACAGGGAAAAATTATAAGATGATATGGTTTATCCAGTACCCTACTTCTAAAGGAAAGGTGGGATATAAATCTAATATACGAAAATAACTGTTTTTGGGACAGACTGAATTGTGAAGCTGCTAGACTTGTAAGTGACCATCGGGCCAAGAAATGGTCTCCTTGCGTAATTTTGATGGGCAATAACTTCTCAAGCCTTGTGTATGCAAAATACTAAGCTGTGATTTCCTACAATTAAATTGAAATGATGCTGATAGGATGCAATAAGGAGCTCACATGCGTGGTCAACACTCCTTAAATGAAATGCATATTTTTCTGGGATCCCAAAGCTATCTACAAGCCCAGGAAAAGAGAGAGCTGCTTTAAAGAGGTGCCTCAGTTCTCTGTGTTCCCATCCTTGTTTCAAAGTTTGGCTTTGGGCTGAAAGAGCATGTCCCTAGCAGAGACTTGTCATAGCCATCCTTTTAGTATCATGAGTTTACAGTAGCAAGTAAAGTAATTATGAAGCAAGAGATCTGCACACCTCTTCTTAAAGCTATGGCATCCCTATTACTGAGCTGAAATACTTATTTCTAGAAATGTTGGTTTAAATTTGGGTTTAAAGAATGAATAATATTTTTATTTGTTTTATTATATTATTTTAACACATAGGCAGGACATTATATTATTTGAGTACAGTATTGTTTATAAAATATTAACTAGACATAATTAGCATTCTTAATGTTTGAATAACTTAAACCTTTAAAAATAAAAAGAAGCACTGATGATGTTACTTAGTCTGGTAATGAACGTTTGCAAGGAAACAACCAAGCTCAAAGTACACCAAGGAACTCACATAAAGAAAAAAATTATATCGATGTTAACTATGATTTTTGAAATGTCAGTGTGAATAAGCACAAGTTTGTTTGATTTTTACATCCAGAACTAAATATGGCATTAATAAGCAATTATAAATTACATCAACGTATTTGTTATATGTTTGAAGCATACCATTTCTTGGCTTTAAGTATCATAGCTGCAATGTATATTTATTTTGGATGTTCTTATTGTTTTAGAATGCATTTTGTTGTTTTAATTGTTTTTATATTTTGGGAATTGTAAGCCACCCAGGGTCATTGATTGAGATGGTGGGGGAGGCTACAGAAATTGAATGAATGAGATGAAGTGAATGCTTAATACTAAAGGTCTCCATTGTATTGTTGTTGCATTGTGCTTATTTTTATTATTTATATATTATATTCCACTATATTAAAAAAGAAAAACTAGACAAAACAAAATAACAGCAACAAAGGGAAGTGGTATTTTTTTTAAAAAAAACAAAAACCCGAGTTTCTAATTTTCTCCTTTTTTGTGCCTCTACCAATTTGCCTTTTTTTCGAGGGGGGGAATGTAGCCCCCCCCTAGAAGCCATACCATCAGTGTTTTTATTTATTATGCTGTGTAATATATTATATATATGGGAATCATTCTTCCTTGAATTTGATTAAACTTCTATTATGAATGCATGCTGTTAATTTTGCTATTGCTACATATTTTCTAAGTTTAAGTTCCTAACCAGGTATTGTTGGAATTAATTTCTTTCACCAATGTTGAGCAAAATTTATTGTAATTGTTATGGGCGTATATCTCAAAATATTATTATATTTTTGTTTGATATATTCTGGGATGATGCTTAATAAAGGAACAAGTTGTAATTTTCTTCCGAATTTAATTTTAAAATTTTCTGCATTGTCGTATGTATATTTTTCCAGTAGTTTTAAGGTTTTTTTTCACACCTCCACCTCATGTGGTAAATGTTCCTTTTGTTTTCTGGTATTTCCAACATTTGTTACTGTATGATTTTTTTTTATCTTGGAGATTATTCATGTAGTTGTGAACCATCTGTAAGACATTTTGTACCATTTTTTTTTAGTTGTAAGTTAGAAAAAAAATGTATGCATTTGGTCCATAATTCTTCCTATGGTTGTGTTGTGCATATTTCTTTAAAGTTTTGCACCTGTCTAATATTATTTTCCCATTTTCCCATCAGATATTATAGACCCAGCTATTTTGCGTCCAGGAAGATTGGATAAAACACTTTATGTTGGCTTGCCACCACCTTCAGATCGCCTTGCGATTTTAAAGACTATTACTAAAGTAAGTTTTTTTTAAAAAAAAGCAATATTGTATTGTTCTTAAACTTGAGTCTAATATATATAGTAACATTCTATATACCTTTATCTTGCTTGAGGATTGTGAAACTAGCAAGATCGGGGAAAATTTTTTCCTTGCAAATTTAGTTTCAATTTCTGTCATACTTACTCTGACCTGAGAAGAATTGCAAAATATTGGCCCATCATCTCATGCAAGTGCAGTATGATGCAAGTAACATTGGTGCAAAAATAGTTTTCCCAAGAATTACATACAAGGAAAAGGAATCCTTTTTATTTTATTTTTCTCACTCTTAAGAACTAGATTTCATAGCATTTCCTTGTTGCTCTTTGCCATTTACTTACTACAGACTGGAATTTTAATATAACTCATTCATAACACTGTACAAATATGCAGAGATTAATCAGACATTGAATTGGGTGTTCTCGAACTACAGTATTCGTATTTTTTGTCTCAGTTGTGAGGGACTTCTATCTTTAACTACCTAACAGCAATACTAGACTGCAAGAAAAAAGAAAGATAGAAAATTAAGATGCTATCATAACATCCTTTTTATGTATTTATTTATTTGATTTATATCACACCTTTTGTACTGAATAAGTTGACGGTGTAGATAACACTCCTTTCACTAATTTTTCTCACAACAGAAGCTCTGTGAGGTAGGTTGCTCTGAGAAAGAGTAACTGGCCAAAAGTAACCCATTAAGCTATAATAGCTGAAGATATTGTCAAAGACTTGAGTCACAGTCTACAAAAAATTGATCCTCAGCACAAATGGTTGCCTTCAGCAACCAGCACCTCCCACACCTTCCCCTTTTATAATTCAGCCAAGGCATGGCTTCCTAATGCCTACTCCTTTGCCTTTGGAGCCACCCCATTGTATTCCTCTGTCCCACTCGCTTCTTCTGTCTGCACATTCGTGCATCTGGGATTTGTCCCAGCTGTTCCTCATCGCTGTCCAACTCAGGCTCCCAGCACAGCTATGTCTCAGCCCTAGCGTGAGTAGAGGGGCCAGGCTCCTCGTCTGACCGTAAGTCTTGGAGCTCTTCAGAGCCTTCCTTTGACTCTAATGTCACTCCAGCCCCTCCACCTCATCTGAGTCCTCAGACTGAGCTTCCGGATCCACTAGCTGGCGAGGAATCACAACAGAGAAGGGAAATTAGTGGCCCATTCTGATCCTTGTTGCTGTGTAAGCTTTACAGATCTACTGGCTATATCATTTCTGCCAACTGTAAACAAATTCCACTCTTAGTCACTCAAATTCTCATTTTCATGTACTCAGGAAGCAAGTTTCTAATTTCCCTTATGGAGGTTTTTTTCTGACATATGTAGTTGGCAGTGTGATTAAAACTATATCAATGTATGGTTGTTAGATAGTCACTCCAAACAAAATTTTGTATAATAATACAAAGCAAAGGCTGTATAGGTAGCAGTTTTACTCTTAGCAATTTGCTTTGCTGAACTGAAAATTCTGCAAAGTGCAGTAATAATAGAGGTAACTAATTCTTGGCCATCTTCCCCTCCTCTTGAATCTAATTCTTACCTTAACACCAATGTCCAAACCAAAATTTGTGGTTCACTTTAGCTACATTGTGACTTTTTAAGACTAGTTTGAAATAGAGTAATATACCTTGTTGATTTTAAATTACTAAATCCTACTGAATTCATTGTATATAGATTTTCAGCTTTAATATTTTCTACCAAATAACAGTGAATCTTTTGATATGGTACTGATTTAACAGGGTAAAGCATTTGTAATTTTAGGATTCCCTTGATTAGTTTTCAGGCAGCCTCTGCAAAGTATCAGTATAGTATCTACATACAGTAGATAGCATCTAAAGAGCAACATATACAAAAGTTTTGACTGAGCGTCTAAATAGGTGTGTTTTAATCGCTGGATTGAAAGATCAGATGGACAGTGCAATTTCCTGTACTCAATCATTGGATATCTTTTTCAATATTAGTATGTATTTACTGCAATTATTCCATAAACATATTTACTAAACATTTTTAGTTTATTGCATTTACATCTTGCTTGTTCAGTGATTTCAGAGTTTATCCTAAGTGTAGGGGGACTCTTGGAGCACAAATAGGACCAGAGATCTTAGAGACTGCAATCCAGAGATTGCATTCCCCCATTATATTGTCATGTATTAATCCTGCCAGGTTCAAGACTGCAAGTTGTTTTATCTTGGCTCAATGAACCTGATTTTCTGAAAACCTATTCCAAACATTCCAAACCTATTCCAAGTATTCCTCAATGTGAGCATAAATTTATGTTTATAATCAACTGTCAAGAAATCATCCAAACCTAATTCAGAGAATCATACTGTCCTCTTATGTTTAAAAGGACAGGAGGGTTCCTCGGATTGCATTGTTAATAATTGCTGAACTTGATGAAAGGGTGAAATTAAAGTTATATAATAAGTTAACTTTTGGCAGATGTCAGCATTGAAGTATAAATGTCATGAACATTCAGTACTTCACGTATTGCTTGTTTTTTTAATTGCATAGATTTTCATTATGCAACTTCCAACACATATGGAGAAAGGCCAACAGACTCTTCATAAATTACGGCATTGCCTATTGAATGTGAGTTCTCTCTTCTGATAGGAACAAGAACTACAAAAATATTGAAAGAATTGTATAAATCTCATGTTGGCCATCACAAATACTTCTTTGTGCCAGATAGAACAGAGCTAAAAGAAAAACAAACTTGATGTTTATATGGTGTTAAGCAAGCCAGGTGTGGCAACCTGTGGTCTCAGGACTGAATGCAGCTTCCCAGCCCTCTTTCTGGAACCTTCTCTGATCATGACTGATGAAAATTGATAATACAGTTTCTTGGCTCTTTTGAGGTAGAAAATAAATATGGTTGAAAAAAAGAACATGAGTCTTAGGCTTACCAGTAAGAAGTAGTTTATTCTGTATTGGTTAGTTTCTTTTCAAATATTATATATATACAGTAGTTAAATTAACACTTTAAGAAGGGTTCACACAAACTAGACCAGATTCACAGAAGAGCTACAAGAATGAACATATTACAACCTATGAAAAAGAGATTGAGAGGGATATGTAAATATTCTTCAAATTATTGAAAAAATGCCATTTAGAAGGAGGCCAGAACCTGTCCTCTTGCTGAAATGACCTATGACCATTTTTCACAATTATGACCATTGCACAATGCCCAGGGTCATGTGATTTATATTTGGATGCTTGGCAACTGATTCATATTTATGATGGTCACAGTATTCCAGGGTCATGTGATCCCCTTTTGCAACCTTTTGACAAGCAAAGTCAATGTCAGGGCTGCTGGTGGCCAAGTGCTAAGGTGGGAGTTCTTTCCCTCCTTCCCCGCCTCCCTCTTTCTTATTCCCACCTCCTTCTGAAGGAAGAATTTGAACCCCCCCTATTTTCCCTCTTCCATATATTCATCAAACAAGGAAAAGCCTTCAGAGACAGAAAAGACAAGCTGCTGAGTGAACTAGCTTAAAAAGGCACATTCCTCTTTAAGAATTAGTTACTGGCTAGAAAGGAAAGTTAAGGAGCACATCTGGCACTTAAGGAAGAAAAAAAATGTAATAAGTATTGGCTAAGGCATCCTCCCCAAATGGCTCCATTCATAAATAAAGGAATGCTACAAGCAAAATCCATTCAGGAGAAAAATACTTCAAAATCCCTTGCAGCAAAACTTACAGCTAACAATAGCAGAGCAGTAGAAGCTAACACCAGCCATCAGCCAAATAGAAATTGCTAAACACTCCTTAAGAACACAAAGCCCTCATTGCACAAATCCCAGAACTTCAAAGTCACGAAAGCACATAAGAATCCTTCCACTCTCCATCTCCCTCCCTCCGTGTCTCACCTACAGCTAATGCTACCTTTCTTCATTCCTCGTGGAGGGCAACCCCTCCCCTGCTGAATTTCTTGCCTGTTTGTTGCTGCCAGCACAGGTGGCTGCCATAGAAGTTATAGATCGGCTCATGGCCCCCTACCCTCCTCCTTCCCCTTCGGTGCAGCTAGAGCTGACTCCACCTCCTCCCAAGGTTGCTTCTTTTTCACTCTCTCCCTCTCCTGCCCAAACTGCCTCCTTACCTCCCACTCTAAATTCTCTCTGGGGGGGGGGGAAACTTCTCCAATCTGTTTGCCTTTTTTGACTTTCCCTAGATTTATTTAGCGCTTCAAACACTTCGAGCCATGTGGCTTTTAGAGTATCCATCCAGTCAACTAATGACTGAGTATGCGGCTTCCTGTGGGAGCTCTGGCATGGGTACAAACTCAATCTCTGTGGCCACTTTGAAAGAGGTAAAACCTGTGCTCCTGTGCACCAAGTTGCCACTGCTGAGAAAGACAATTAGAAAGCCCAATTAGTCTGTGGATAATTTACATAAAAATGCAGGTATTGGTCTACTAATGAGTTGGTGCATTCAGCAGCCCCATTGGTACAAGGATGATAGTCCCCGGGAGGAGTGTATCATTTTCAAAAATTCCTGCCAAAATTTTGAGGTAAATTGCACCCCCCTGTCCAAGATAATGCACTTCAGGACCCCGTGTAGTCTCTAGATGTGTTGCACAAACATCTTGGCCAGGACCCAGGCAGAAGGAATCTTAGGACATGCCACAAAGTGTGCTTGCTTCAATAACAGGTTGATGACAGCCCATATTACTGTGTTCCCAGCACTCTTAGGCAACTCAATGATAAAATCCATGGATATCTCCTCCCATGTGTTAGCTGGGTTGGCTACCAATTGTAGCAAGCCTGGAGGCTTCCCAAGTAGTCATTTCATGGATTCACACAGAGGGTTCTATGTCCTTTTTCATCTTTGGCACCAGAACTGTCTTTTTGCCAAATGAAGTGTTTCCACAAACCCAAAATGCCCTGGGAATTTTGTGTCGTGGCTCCTCTGCTGGCTTAGACATACAATTTGCTCCCCTTCCATGCCAAGCCCTCCCTTAACATTAAATCATCCATATGCCTTTGGAACCATTCATTCCCCCACCCCCACCCCCCACCACCAGCATATTTTAGCAGCTATGTCAATGAGTCTCTAGCTGGCTGCAGAGGGGCCATTCTCTGCTGCCTTGTAATGTTGGTGCTGCAAGCTGCTTGGATGGGATGATGGAGTTAACTACTTCTCGGACACTTCTGTGCTGAGGCATATGAGAGGGCATCCACTAGGAAATTCCCCACCCCCAGCAGGTAGCAAGGGGTGAAATTAAAGCGGTTAAAATACTGAGCCCACCGGACATGCTTAGGGGATAACTTCTTTGGGGTCTTAACACCTCTAGGTTCTTGTGGTCAAGTCACACCTTAAAGGGATCTTACTACCCTCTAGAACAGTGGTTCTCAACCTGCGGGTCGGGACCCCATTTGGGGTCAAACGACCATTTCATGGGGGTCACCAAACAACGCAGTCCGCCATTTTTTTCCCCTTTTCCTTAGCTGTGCTACTCCCTTTTATTCTATTGGCTTTTGAAAGCTGATAGAATAGACTCTTTTGAATAGAGTCTAATTCTATTGGCTTTCAAAAGCCAATAGGAATTGTCCAGGCTGTCTCTGGCCTGCTGAGCCTGCCAAAAGTCCCATTCTGCAAACGGTGCTGCACCAGTTGAGTAGTCCTCGACTTACGACCGGTTGGGGGGTCGCAGCATACCACTGCTCTAGAAATTACCTCCATGTCAGAAGAGTCCACCGGACAGCATAAGCCTCCTTCTCTCAGATGGTCCAATGCTTCTCCATATCAGTTAACTTGTGAGACGTATAGGCACAGGACTGCAACTCCCTTTTTTCGTTCCTCTGGAGTAAAACCACCCCCACATCGCTAGCACCTGCCTGGATTACAAAAGGCTCATCTGGGTTTGGGTGTTTCAAAACTGCCTCTGCAGCAAAGAACCACTTCAGTTTTTTGAAGGCCGCTTGACATTCAATGGACCAATTTAGTGGCTGACTTGGTTTGGATTTCACCCCTCCCCCCCTTTTGAGAAGGTTGGTGATGGGCAGGGTTGTCTGGGCAAACGTGGGAATGAACTGCCAATAAAAGTTTGCAAATCTCAGGAAACTCTGTAACTGCCTCCTAGTCTGGGGTTTCCCATTCCAGGATTGCTTTCACCTTACCCAGCTTCATTTCCACCCCATCCTTGAAGATGCAGTACCCCAGGTAGTCTAGACTGGTCTTGTTGAAGTCACATTTAGATAACTTCATGTACAACTGGGCTTTACACAATTTCTCAAGTATTGTCCTTACTAGCCTTACATGCTCTTCTATGTTGTTGTTATTTTAATTAGAATTATTCTTTATGTTAAAATATCATTTTCAATTCTCTATGTTCCTCAACACTATTCCTCTCACAGCATACCAGGGAATCTCTTTCTGTGTGTGAAAAGAGGAGTAATAGAGACCCTAAGGAATTAAATAATAGGGATTCTTTGCATTAAGACACTGCCAGTGTCTTAAAGCAATTGCTCACTTGTTTTGCAAAATGACATGAGAAGGGTTGGCCAACCAAATTCAGCCGATAGACCAGATGTTCTCCATCATTTATTATATTTGTAAAAAAACCTGCAGAGGCAAGAGTTTTGCCTATAACATTTATTACCCAATCTCTATCTAAAACAAGTCCCATCAGCTACACAGAATAATCCTTTAATCAGAAAGCCAGATTTAATCTTTCAGTTAGAGAAGTCCTCTATGCATACTGTTCAGAACTACAAAGATCTGAAGAGATAACCATTCAAGAGCCCTACCTTCTGCGCTTTATGTCAGGTCATCTACACCTAGGCTTCTGACTTTCTGCCAACTTCCCAATGACTTTGTTTATGGAAAACTGGCAGGGAACATTGGAAATCAGGATTACATGACTGTAGAGATGTTGCAACAGCCAGAACTTTGAATTATCACTAATTATCATAAAATTGAATAGTCATTGAACTAGTAGTCATTAAAGGAAGATTCCCTGTACAAGTTCAGACTCACAGCTCAGGAGTGCACATAATTATAGCATTGCTCCTACAAAATGCTTTTGGTATAAGTTAACTTTATATCCCCGTCTTTAAACCAAAATAAAGACCAAACCCAAATAATATGTATTAATTCTTTTAAACATCTCCAGCATAAAAAAATCTGATAGCCAGTGTTTCTTCAAAAACCACAGGAATGTCCAGAAAACATGAAAAATGTTTTTTAATGAATTAGTTCAATTTTAAAGTTATAAGTCCCTAGAATTCTATTCTAAATTTCAATTAGAATTCTATTCTAAATTTATAAGACCTTAGAATTTTATTCTTTAGAAAATCAGGTTTTTAAAAAAGTAATCAAATCCAAATTCAGTAATCAACAAACATTTTAATTTGGATATTAAACTATGTCAGACAGTCCAAAATCTTTTTGTAGTGATTCAATGCTTGTAAAAAAAGTTTTAAAGATCAATTCATCTAAATATTTTTTGCCTACATCCTTAAAAAATAGTTTCCATATTAAAATTATGATTATCCCAAAGAGTTAGTTTGTCATAAGAACCAAGATCAAGACTCATTCTAGAGTCTTCCAAATATGTTTTGCTATTTTTAAAGCAGGAAAAATATATCTAATGAGACTTGGGAGCAATGACTTTGGATCCCATGGAAATTTCATATTGAAGAATTTCGGAGGCCAGTAGTTCCAAAACCAAATTAAATATAAGATAAAGGATAAAGGACTGCCTTCATGAGTTCCATGATATATCAATAAGTGAAAAACTATACCATTCATGATAAACATAGCTGGGGGATTTTAATACTCTGTTCTTATAAAAACAGAAATAAATCCATTTTTTTTCTTAAACATGTTAAAAAATATCCAAAGCCTTTTCAACTGCTAGATGCCAGAAAACTAGATCAAATTTCTCAGATTGAATTGCAAAAAATATTTACCAACTGCCTGCTATTACAAGTTGTTAGATTTTTAAAATAAAACTGGATTGTGCAAAGTAAACTAACGAAGGAAGTAACCTCTGTACTAAGGTTATAATCAAAATTTTATTATCTGCAGCTAAGAAAGATATTGGATAATAACCAGTACAACTAGTTGGAACTTTGCTCAGTTTCACTATTACTGCTGTATACTCTTCCTGAAACAAGGCAGGAAATTTATGTTTCACGCAAGCCTCCCTCACTAAATATATGTTACCAGCAACATGAAAGAATCAGTTTAATACAGTGACTAAGGCATTGGGCTAGAAATTGTGATACTTTGAATTCTTGGGCATGAAACTAATTTGGTGATCCTGGGCTCTCTCAGCCTTAAGAAGGAAGCAGTGGCAAACCAGTTTTGAAACATCTTGTCAAGTAAACTGCAGGGACAAGTCTAGGCAGTTGCCAGGAGTCATCACTGCCTTGAACACGAATATTTATGTGTTCCATTTCCATAAAAGTCATAATATCATTTTATCAAAAATCAATCTGCATCAGTAGCCGCTTTCATAAATAATTTCTTGTAACATTAATGGTACAACTAGGTTGTCCCAATGGGAAATTTCTTGGGAAATAATTAGATTTATTTTATTTTAAACAGTATAAATGGGGGACACTCATGCAGTGTCAAATGTACACAAGGAGTGGGGCTTCATCACAACAACCCAACACTGCTTTCATCAATTTGTCTACCACTCAACTCCACTAGTGCTACTGATGGCCATATGGAACAGGGCCTTTCAGTGAAGTATTTCAGCAATGAAACTCTCTCAGAGGAATATAGTTCTCTCTTCCATTTATATTGTTACTAGTTGTTTTGTTCAACTTCGCTGTTGTATGATGACATTTTTTCCAATGCTTATTTTCAAAATAGAATGCTGTTTTTTTTCTTGCTTTAAAACTTTCTAGCTGTGATTGTTTAACATCTGTAAACATTATCTGGAATTATTGGTCTCTTTGGGAAGCTTTCAAAATGCAACTCAGAAATCTTATATATAAACTAAATAATTAGTGTGATTTCTCATAAGTATCAAAGTCATTGAATGTCTTTTTTATGGTTACAGGATGGAACTCTACCCCCACTTGATATTGATGTGCACCTGGAAGAAATTGCTTACAATCCCTCTTGTGATTATTTTACGTGAGTAGTATCCTATTGGAATCAGTTTTGAAAGCAGATAAAGGAACGTGTATGCTCTGGAACAGACTTGTTCAGAAATAATAGTTTGGTTAATTGCAGGGAAGAAGGATCATTTCCAGCAGAGAACATGTGAGTCACAGGATGATATATGTATCATTCATGTACAAGGCTGCATTAGTAGAATCTGCACTTTACTTACACTTATATTGAAACTTTCAACACGGTTGTAGATTTTGCTTGTATTATAAATATGTAGTGCTCAAAATTAAAAACAAATATAAGTGCAGAGATTTCTTAGCTTTTCAACTTTAAAAAATAAAATCTTTGAAAGTAGCCTGGCCTTTAGGAGGTCATATTTCCTGGCTTCCATTATAGAATTCTATGTATATTTATTTCATTGTGTTGGTATCAAACTATGGCAGAAGCATTTATTAAATCAAGTTTAGCCTGCTCTCCATGCTGTTTTGAGACAAAAAATAATTCAGTAAAACCATCGCATTTTTAAATTTCATTTTTATTGTACAGGTTAATCTATTGGCATGTTAGCTTTAGACAAAAGAGTGTTGGTTATCATTTATATCTTTTTGAGTGGGACAGAAGGCCTCCTTGTTTAAAAGAGGCAATTATTAGATTATTAGACCTCTACTTAAAACTTCAGCACTGGATCTCTCAGAGATCAGCAACTATAAGGATTGTGTGAAAAAAGAATTGTCTCTTTTCCATTGGGGTCAGTTCTAGAGAATAGAGATTATCTTGACTCATTTCAGAATGACTCAGAGCTTTAATGCATTTCTGTACTAGATTCATATCCCTTTATTTTCTGCAACTCTGTATCTAGTGTTCCCTTCCTCTGTTTTCTCACAAACCATTCCATGAGATGGATTAAGCTGAGTCAGAGTGATTGGCCCAAGGTAATCCAGTTGACTTCTGTGCCTAAAACAAGATTAAAACTCCTAGTTTCTAAGCCAGCACCATAACTATTATATTATAAAATGGCTCTGTTTGGTATCAGTGAGCCTGATCTTTATTTGGATATTATTGGGGAAGTGTGATTCTAGTGATTTGAAGATTGCTGTGATATCCTTCTCTGATGCCTTTTTTGTAAGCTAAATATACTAAATTCTTTAACTGTTCTTTATGGAGCTTTTTCCAGAACCTTTACCATCTTGCTAGCATTCCTGTGAACTAATTCCAATTTGTCACTGTTCTCTTTCAATAGTGGTGTCTAGAACCAGCCACAGTGTCCCAAATGGGATCTGATCAGGATAGAATAAAGTAGAGCATTTGCTTCCAGTGATGTGGACTCTGTTCTTTGATCAATGCACTTCCAAATAGCATTTCCTTTATTGCATTAGCATAATTCTGCTAGCCCATGTTTTGCATGTGGTTGCCAAGGACTTCAGTTTTCTTTCACATATGCTACTGCCAGGTCAATCCTTCACCACTCTTTACTTGTGCTTTATATTTTTCCCACCCAGATGCTGAACTCTTCATGTTATATTAAATTCCATTCTATTTATTTCAGCCCATTCCAGTCAGTCTAGATCTTTTTGAATCTCCTTTCCCTTATTTATTATCTACCCTTTCAAGTTCTCTGTCTTCTGCAAAGTCTGAACTCTGTCATTCAAGCTGCTGATAAAAATGTTAAACAGCACATGACATATGACATGACGCTATGGCATGCCCCTTGATAATCTAATAAGTTTATTGGCAACCTAGAATGAGAAGGAAAATGGCTGCAGCTATGCTCATTTGTAGAGTTGGGATTGATTTTGATTTTGGATCTACATTGACTCAGATATTTCAGTAATTACAGAACTTAGTAGGCAGATTGGTCTATGGAAATATAGCATTTATCTGTGCTACAATCATTTACAATGTCTACCAGGTTATCCCAATGCAATATAGAATTCAACCCTACTGGATATACTGGATTCACTTAACATGTGGTTCACTTAGCCATGTGATTTGCTTAATGGCCATGGTGACTGGCTCTATGACCATTGTAAAATTGAGTCATGTCACATGGTATCTCAACTTATGACCACAACCTTTGACTGAAATTCTGTATGAATTTCCAAATTATTAATTCATTTTTAAGTTTATCTGCCTATCTTGGAATGCAGTAACAAGATTATAAGATAACAAATACATTTATCAAACAACTTCTTAAAGGAACAGGCTGTTACCATTGAGTACTAGCAATTATTTGGTTATATTTTCGTGTTTTCTTCTTAATGATTTTTATCTTAGTATAATTGCTTTTCTATTTTTTTTTCTTTATAGGGGAGCAGATCTTTCAGCTCTAGTGCGAGAAGCTTCTGTTTGTGCCCTAAAACAGCAAATGACAGTGTTCAGTCCTGCAAACAAGAACAGTAAGGAAGGAGAAATAGCATATTATAACTTAAGGCAGATTTTCTTAATCACCAGATGTGAACCTTTGGATGTTTTCATTATTTTATTTGAGAGTTCCAACAAAAACTGCAGGATTGTTATACGATTGTTCTAAACTAAAGACACACTAAAAACAGTGAAAGGAAGTTGTTAGTTAAAGGTTTGGTAGGCATGAAAATTTTAGTATTTCTTTGTCTACACTGGGCTGTCTAGCACTATGATTTTTTTTAAAAAAAAATCTGTAAATATGAAGGAAAAAGGGGACAAAATATCCAAAATACTGAAATGTATATTGGTTGATCCTGACAGCACTGATCCTCTGTAAAAAGTGGTAAAATGAAGGATGCCGTTGCAAGACTAAGAAGCTAGTGTTCGAGGCAGTCTAGAAAAGAGTTGAGCATGAAACATTGGACAGCCTTCGCCGGTCAAAATAGTAGACAGTTAGGAACTTAATTGAACTAAGGATATGATTTAGAATAAAATACACTGATAGGTAGAACCCCCTTTGGTGCAAGAAAAAAATGCAGAAATGTAGCTGAAATTTCATTTGGCATGTAAGAGTTGCTCTTGCTAAATAGAAACTTGAACAAGCAGTATAATTCAAGCAAACTTTTCCATTTCTGTCTCTTTTCCACCAATCATTAATAAACAACTCTGTGGTAATGTTTACTTGAAGACTTTGTGAAATAAGCCTGTGATGTATGACCACCAGTATAATGTCCTGTTTTGTTTGCGGACACTGTAGAGCAACAAAGAACCAAGAGGTTATAGAAACTAAATTACTCTCACCTAAATATTTTCAAGCAGTTTCCTCTCAATATGATCTATATATAAGTAATTTGGATTCATTTCTAAACAATATGACATCTGTTTTCAGATTTAAGATTAAAGACAAGTCATGAAATGAAGAGGATTTTTTTATTAATGCCAACAGATCAAAGATTTATTTCCACAATTAATATTCTATAGTAATGGAATCTCTTTAAAGGTTAGGTTACCTTTTAGCTGATGGTGATATTAAAATCCTGTGGTGAGTTATTTATGAATTACATCCTTATTTTTAATGGGGGCTCTCTGAGGAAGGAGAAAGAGCACATGTTAACTTCACTATGTTTCAGTGCTGTCTTAATATATAAATTAGGGCAAAGTCTCGGTCACTTTTGAGTAGATACCTATCTCATTGAATAACCTGTGGAAAATAGTCGTTCCTGAACATAGATGCTGTTTCTTTCCAGTTCCTATAGTTCATGACGTAATATAACTCAGCTCTTGGCAGGGTGCTTGAAATAATTGTGGAATTCAAGCTTCTCACTTCTTTAAGCAGAAGCACGGTATAATAATGGTTACTGAATTAGTTGTGTGTGAAATTCTCAAACATCTTGATTTTTGCCTTCTCTTGATAAATCTGATAAACAGAATTGACTAAGGGATGTTTTCCCATTGAATTAGACCTGAGGACGCACTCTGTTTTTTCAATAACTTCATAACTCTAGCAAATCAGCATGGAAATGCATGGAAAATAAGTAGAGAGAATAAGTAGTTCTGTGGCAAATCATCTAATTAATAAAGAACTTCTTGTTTCTCTTTCCATCTTTAATAATTTGTTGATCAATCTGCATTTTATTTTATCAGAGTTATCCTTTTCTGCAATTATAGTGTTTATTCTACTATAGTCTTCACAGGGGAAATTAGAGTTGGCAAAAAACATTTTGAAGAAGCTTTTAAGAAAGTGAAATCCTCTATAACTTCAAAGGTAAGAAATACTTTTAAATTTTCAATTGGTAACCCAAGTTGTTCATAGAACATTGTAAAGAAATATGCATGGCTCAGAGCTTCATACTTTTTAAAAATCTCCTGTAATATGCCGTAGATCAAATTTGGGTGAAATGCAAAATGCATCAAGTATCCTAATTGTTCAAAATATGATGCCTTTATTCATTTAAGGCTTCTGCCTGATGCCACATCTTTTTTTTTTTTTTTCAACTGTACTGGTGGTAAGTATGACTATTGCAGAAATGTTTTAGGAAGGAAGGTGTGGTTTTTGGAAGGATTATTATTATGTTAAATTCCCAGTACAGGTAGTCTTCAGTTAATAGTAATTGGGACTGGAATTGCATTGCTAGGTGATGCAGTTGTAAAATGTCACATTACATGACTGCACCACTTAGCAATAATTCTAACATGCCCGGTTTCATTAAGGAAATCACTACAGGTTCTTAAACAGAGACACCATGTCTGCTCTGCTTTCCCATTGACTTTGTTTGTTTGAAGCCAGCAAAGGTCCCAAATAATGATTATTGGATGCTGTAATAATAATAATAATAATAATAATAATAATAATAATAATAATAATAATAATAATAATAATAATAATGAAGAAGAAGAAGAAGAAGAAGAAGAAGAAGAAAGTTGGAAGGGACCTTGCAGATCATCAAGTCCAACCCCCTGCTCAGGCAGGAAACTTTATACCATTTCGAACAAATGGCTGTCCAGTCTCTTCTTAAAAACTTCCAGTGTTGGAGCATTCACCGCTTCTGGAGGCAGGTTGTTCCACTGGTTATTTGTTCTCACAGTCGGGAAGTTTCTCCTTAGTTCTAGGTTGCTTCTCTCCTTGATTAGTTTCCATCCGTTGCTTCTTGTCCTGCCTTCAGTCGCTTTGGAAAATAGCTTGACTCCCTCTTCTTTGTGGCAGCCCCTGAGATAGTGGAACACTGCTATCATGTCCCCCCTTGTCCTTCTCTTCATTAAACTAGACATACCCAATTCCAGCAACGTTCCTTATACGTTTTAGCCTCCAGTATCCCAATCATCTTTGTTGCTCTTCTCTGTACTCTTTCTAGAGTCTCAACTTTTTTACATCGTGGTGACCAAAACTGGATGCAGTATTCCAAGTGTGGCCTTACCAAGGCATTGTAAAGTGGTATTAATACTTCACATGATCTTGATTCTATCCCTCTGTTAATGCAGCCTAGCACTGTGCTGGCTTTTCTGGCAGCTGCAGCACACTGCTGACTCATATTTAAGTGATCCCTTTCACAGTTACTTCTATTGAGCAAGGTACAACATATACTATACCTGTACATTTGGTTTTTCTTGCCTAAATGTAGAACCTTACTTTTTTCACCATTGAATTTAGTTTTGTTAGATAGCGCCCACTGTTCAAGTCTGTCCAGATCCTCTATCTCAAGCCTGTCTTCTGGAGTATTGGATATTCTTGCCAGCATGGTGTCATCTGCAAATTTGATGAGTTCCCCATCTATCCCCTTGTCCAAATCATTGATGAAGATGTTGAAGAGCACTGGGCCCAGAACAGAGCCCTGGGGCACCCCACTACACACTTCCCTCCCTGTAGATGCGGTTACTTTGAGGACCACACGTTGAGTACGGCCGGTCAGTCAACTACAAATCCATCTGGTGGTGATGTTGTCTAACCCACATTTTTCTATCTTATCAAGTAGCAGGTTGTGATCTACTTTATAAAATGCCTTACTGAAGTCCAAGTAAATTATATCCACAGCATTCCTCTGGTCCACTATTTTTGTCACTTCGTCAAAGAATGCAATAAGATTTGTCTGGCGTGATCTGTTTTTGACAAACCCATGTTGGCTTTTCGTAATGACTTTGTTTGCCTCTAGGTGTTCACTGATTTGTTGTTTGATTATCTTTTCCAGAATCTTCTTAGGTATTGAGGTCAGGCTGATAGGTCTGTAATTTCCTAGGTCTATTTTTTTCCTTTTTTGAAGATGGGAACTACGTCAGCTCTTTTCCAGTCCTCTGGTATTCCCCAGTGTTCCAGGATCTTTGAAAAATATAGTTCAGTGGTTCTAAGATCACATCAGCCAGTTTCTTGAGAACCTTGGGGTGTAATCCATCTGGTCCTGGTGATTTGAATTCGTCTAGGCTGGACAGATGCTCACTTACCATTTTCTTGCCTATCTTAACTAATGTTTCTGTTCTGTTTTTTATGGCACTATTTTTGATAATTTGTTCTGTTTTTTCCCTCTGTGTAAAGACAGATGCAAAAAATGAGTTAAATAGTTCTTTTCCCTGTTGCTTGTCACCTTCTTGCCACTTTCACCCACTAATGGACCAATCATTTCCTTAACTTTTTTCTTGTTTTTTACATGTTGAAAGAAGCTTGTTTTGTTTTGTTTTTTTACTTTGGTAGCAAGCTTAGTTCATTTTGAGCCTTAGTTTTCCTCACTTCATCTTTGGAGGCTCGGGCTATTTGCTGATATTCTGACTTAGTTATGTGCCTCTCTTTCCACTTTCTGTACTTGTCCTTTTTATTTTTCAATTTATCAGAGAGTTCTTTATGCAGCCATGCTGGTTTCTTTTGAGAGCTGTTATTTTTCCTCTTTGTTGGTATTGTGCTGGACTGGGCTTTTATTGTCTCACTTTTCAAAATTTCCCAAGCTTCTTGAGTTGTTTTCCCCTTGAGGATTCTCATCCCTGGAATCCTTCTCAAGTCCTCTCTAAGTTTATTGAAATCAGCTCTCTTAAAGTCCAAGACTCTACTTTGACTGTTTTATTTCTTGTACTTCCATAATGTTGATTCCAATATTGCATGATCATTTCCTCCCAAGGTTCCTGTGGCTTCAACACCTTCTATCATTTCATCTCTGTTAGTGATAATTAGATCCAAAATGGCTAATCCCCTAGTTCCCTTCTCTACTTTTTGGGAGATCAAGTTGTCTGCTAGGTTTGCCAGGAATCTGTTTGATCTTCCACTTTGTGCAGAGTTTGTCTCCCAGTTGATGTCAGGGTAGATAAAGTCCCCCATTACTATTGTGATGTGCTTCCTACACACCTTAGTTAGCTGACTAGCAAAAAGTTCATCTTTTTCCTCTGTTTGGTTGGGTGGCCTATAGTATACACCTATGGCAATGTCATTCTCCCCCCCCCCCTTTTATATTGACCCAAATGCATTCAAGACAGTTTTCATCATTGTTGTGCTTATTTCTGTAGAAATGTAGTTATTTCTTATATATAGTGCAACTCCACCTCCTCTTTTATTTGGTCTCTTTTAAATAATTTAAATCCCTCTAGCTGTGTGTTCCATTTGTGGGTTTCATCCCATGTTTCCGTAATGGCAACAATATCATATCTGCCCTCATTAACGTGAATTTCTAGTTCACCTCGTTTGCTGTTCATACTCTATGCACTGGTGTATAGACATTTGAGTCCTTTATGACTGACCCTGTGTTTACTTTCTACATAACCTGTCTGGTGCTTGAGTTCCCCTATTGTCTTACCACCTATTTGGTTAGTGCACTTTGTGTGGCACTCACTATTAAAAGCTTGATTTTGCTTGACAGCAAGGTTGATATTCTTGTCCACACACACATCTATGTTACATGCACTGATAGCCCTATAATTTTTAGATTGCCGGGGACAGGGATGTTCTGTATCAATTAACTCACTGTCCCTGCTGTTTAGTTTAAATATTCCTCCAGAAAGTCTGTGAATTTCTAGCTGTGTAACTCAGTCCCTTTCTTTGATGGATGCAAACCATCTCTTTTGTACATTTTTTCATTGGAACTGACATTGTGACTAATATATCCAAAGCTTTCCCCTTTACACCACTCCTTTAGCCACATATTGAATTGTGCTATACGCTGGCCTTTTCCATTTTGCTCCTTATACACTGGTAAAACCTCTGAAAAAGTAAGCCTACAGCCTATTCTGCTAAGTTTCTGCCCCAGGCTCTGGAAATCATTCTGCACAGAGAGTACATCTTTTTGGGACAGATCGTTAGTGCCAAGATGTACAATAGCCTCCACATCACAGTCCTTGCTGGCATTCTTGATTATTTTAGAAATACGCTTCTTGTTCCTACTGGCAGTAGCACCTGGAAGACACCTGACCTCTTTCGAACCCTTGTGAAACATTCACAATCATGTGATGCAAGGACCAGCAACAGCCAGAACTCTGAAGACCAGGTTATAAATACTGTCCGTTCATACCATTGCAAGTTCAAACAATTGCTGAATGAGTGGTTGTAAAGCAAGGATCTCCTGTAAGCCCAACAGTATAACAGTAGCCAACAAGACTTTTTCAAGAATATCATGTTCCATTAATGTAAAATTATATTCTCCGGAACTATTTGAAAACTTCTAGCCTGAACATTGGCATTTTGTAATATTTTGTAACTTATTCCATTTATCAGTTTGAGTTTTATTATGCTTTTGCACCTGTTAACAATTAGACATTCTTGCCGCCTTTTGTTCAGCAAGTCTTCTAGAACTATTTTCTATTCCAGCCAGCTGTTATCTCTCATTCCCCAATGTTAATAAGTAGAACGAGCATTTACCTTATGGTTATGTTCTTTTTTATTTATCTCAATTTCCTTTGTTATGTTCGTGTGTGTGTGTTAGAAGTACCTCAGACTGACTGGAGTAATTGAATTTTGAATTAGAATCAAATATATTTCATTAAAAACTCTGGTGTGGAGGGAGTTAATGTGATATATTTTATTTATTTATAAGATTTATAACACAATTAGTATCAGTCTGGGCAGTGTACAATTTAAAAACAAGCATTAAATCAAAGAAAGAAAGAACAAAAGCCACATAATAATAAACAATGCAATATATAAATACCAAATATAAAATGGCAACCAAGTACATAACAAGATGTATAAATACCAAATATAAAATGGCAACCAAGTACATAACAAGTCACAAAATATCTCTCTTTCAACTGGCCGCAATGCCTGGAAGAAGAACCAGATCTTAACAGCTTCTCTACAGGCGAGTAGAGTTGGAACTTTTATATTGGGGGGAGCAGAAAAAGCATACTTCATAGATCCCATAAGATGACAAGATTTAAAAGAAGTACTTGACTGCATTCCTTGCCTGTGGGATCATGTGGGGTGTGCAGAGTTTCTTAGAAAGGAGTCCTTCAAGTAATCTCTTCCTATGCCATACAGGGATTTATAGCTCTTTTAATCACATCAAAAGCCTATTGGAAGCCAGTGCAGCTATTGGAGTAGAGGTTTTGTATGACATCATGAGATACACCCATAATTATCTGCACTGATGCATTCTGGATTAGTTGAAGTTGATAGTTTTCAAGGGCATCCCTGTATAAAGCATGTTGCCAGTCAAGAGGTGTAACAGGCTGTGAAAATAACCTTGAGGTGGTAAAGGAAAAAGATCCACAATCAAGGCAATGGTGGGATATGAAAAGCAGGAATGCAATTTGAGAAGGTTTCTGATTTGACCCTCTTTCTCTTGAACATAAAGGCAGGAAGGGGAGGGATACATTCTATAACCTAAAAATAAAAGTAATATTAGCATTCATAACTTTGGCTTCCTGGTGTGGAGTATCTAATAGGAGGTGACCAAAGCATGAGTGAACATAAGCAGGACCTCCTGATCCAAGAATGGATGCAACTTGTGCACAAGGTGCCGCTTTGCAAAGGCCCCCTTGGCCATAGTTATAACCTACTCTTCAAACATCAGTTTTGAGTTTGGAGAACATCCGGATTGCACACCATGTGCCACCTCAAGGAGAACCAAAAACCAATTCCCAGAACTGGGGGACACAAAATCTTTAGCCACTGAATTTGGCAAGGTTGAGCCACAACCTGTTCTTTCCCATCCAATTATGGGAAATAACCTTGGTAACTTCACTTGGACAGCTGGGGACAGAAATAATAACTGAGTACAATCCGCATATCAGTGGTACCACACCAAATTGACAGATGACTTCCCCCAGTGACTTCATGTAGATATTAAAAGGAGGGGTGCAGAGGACATGATTGTCAGTTGCAAGACACTGCATTAGGAAAGCCTGATGTGGCTAGAGGTTTATTTAAAAAAAACCAACAATCTTCAGATCCTCGTGTAGCGTTACCTCCTCAGAGGCTGCCAAAAACCAGGCCCTCCCAGCCCCGTCCCCCTTTGTCAAGCCCTGCAGTAGTGTTCTCTAGGGGTTGATAAGATGTTTCTTCCAGCTGGAGCGCATGCAGAATTAGTAGGTAGCAGGCTCTTGTCGTCAAGGAGGGGCTTCCAGGAACTAAAATAACCAGCCACAATAGTCAATGCTATGATGATATCCAACAGCCCAAGGCCGTTATAGCAGCAGGAATAAAAGATTCCTCAGCGATCGTTCAGAGTCAAGTGGGATGGAGGAAAACCCCGGCTCCAGACAGTAGTAGAAACAACAACAGTCAGTGTGCTGTAGCAATAGCTCGTCCCTCAGGGCAACTCCCCCACAATGTCTAAAACCTGTACCAGCAGCAATAGTCACAGTCCAAATAGCCTCCAGGCTTCGCAGCAACAGTAGCCACCACTAGTCTCTCCTCTCCTTTTGTTGCTTCTTCTTCAGTCAGGTCTCAACGTCAAAGCCCTCCCCCCTTTTATGTTTATTGTTAAAATCTGACTCTAGGAGCCTCAGCCAACTCCTTTCTACACACTCCCCCTTGCCTCTGTTTGAGATACCCTCCTTACGAAGGAAAGCAATAAAATTCCACTCCCCCTCTCTCTAGTCTCTGTTTAAAATATCCTCTTTACGAAGAAAAGCAAATGAAACTTCCAGTCCCTCTTTACCTACCGGCCCTTTCCTTTCCTTCCCTATCTTTTTCCTCCGCCCACGCCGGCCATACCCAAAGCCAGCAGCAGCTGTCCCAATCTCTGCCTTCCCACCAAGCTTCTGCAAACACTCTCAGACAACCCCGCTACACTCACGTGACATGATTTTGCACAATATTGCTGATCTCAACACTTAGCTCCCGACACTTAGCTTCTGAATTGACTTCTGAATTAAATTATAGCATTATTTTACATTTTAATTACAGTTCTACTTTAACTGGTTTCTTTTAAGCAGCTTTTTAACAGAACAATGCAAAAATCTTGTAGCTTGTCTTGAAGTAGGGAACAGAGAATGCTGACAATAGGAACTGCTGAGACCGCAATCTGCATATTTTAATCTACTGATGTAACAGTGAAACAACAGTTTATAAAAGAAAAAAAAAAGCAAATTATACCGTAAATGCCGGCGTATAAGACGACTTCCGCGAGCGCTGAAATCGGCGCCAAAGACGGGGGTCGACTTATACGCCGAGTCGTCTTATACGCCGGAAATACTGGTAGTTTCCGGCGTATAAGACGACGTTCTAGGAATGCGGCCCGGCTATAAAGACGGGGGTCGTCTTATACGCCGGGTCACCTAATACGCCGGCATATACGGTACTCCTTTCCCTTTGCTTCACCTTCCAAATGGATAGCCAAATCATTGCCAATACACATGATTATATATTTCTTCCTGGAGCAAAGTTAAAATAAAGCTAGCGCTTTAAAGTATTGTTTTATTAAAGGAGTTTTCAATTTTTCCTCTATTTATTGTCATTATTAGGACCAAATAATGTATGAAGAGCTGCGCCAATCACTGAACAGGTGACATTTGGATGACATAGAAGACTCCTAAAGGCTTGCCATGCATTCTCCTGATCATTTTCCAGAAGGCCTTTTGTGATATAGAACATGGTCTCAGTTTTGTATGTCTGTAATTTCAGAATTGTTGAACTTCTTTTAAAGGATTTATATGTTAATGTATAAGCTAAGCTCTTCTTTTAGCAGCAGGACTCTTTCAAGAAAGAGTCATTTCTGTGCTAGAGCTCTCTGTCTGATATCAGGTGATCCAAGTCCTGAAGACTATTTGAATGCCTAGGAATCTGTTGCCAAATAGCAGAGTACACTTAGTAAGTGAATTGCTGATTTGCTATAAACTATGTAAGTCCCCACCATCTATATTTCAAGTAAAAGACAATACAAAGTAGTCAGGCATTATAGCCTCCCCATGTAAGAACTACATGCTTGTATGTAGTTAAATGATATAATAAATTAGGCTCAGCACAAGTATCTTTATCACTTTAAGAGTTTTTTCCTTTGATTTAGCAGTGCAAGCATGAAATATTTTTATTTAAAGTCTCTTGTTGATTATTCACTTTCTAAAGTGGGTTCTGAATGTAAATCATGGAACACTGTGGGTGACTGAGACAAAGTCTCTTTTGAAACTTGCCAAAGGTCACATGTAAATGGGTGGAAATAAAGTAAAGCCTTGTACTTCCATTATCAACGTGAGTTTTCTTTTATATATTGTGATGTAACTAAATTTAAATAATTTTAAAATGAATTTTAAAATAAAAATAATAATAATAAAATGTAAATCTTTGCTAATAATGTAATGCTAAACAGCTAGAAGTTGCTTTTGCCAACTATGATTACGGGTCACTTAATTTGCTAGAGCTCATGTTAGTTAGAGCTTTAATGAGATTATATAGCATCTTGGAGTCTTGATGCTCTCTGAGCTTGGCTGTCTGCTTGCAGATGTTTTGCTCCCCAGCTAGGGAAACAACTTTATTGCTAAAAAGGAATGGGGCTTGCTCTGTTTATATAAAAATAGCACCATTATTGAAACTAGGCAACAAAATATTTCCTCCTCAAAATAACCAATACAATTCTGCCAAATCAAGGATCATTTGCAAATCTTCTACAGCAGGCATGTCAAACTCACGACATCATGTCGTGCAATGTATCATGTCTTTTTCCCCATAGCCGGCAATGAGTGGGCGCGGTTTCAGTGTGACGCATCTGGCCCGTGGGCTGGCAGTTTGACGTGCCTGTTCTACAGCATGTAGAACCTAGACCTAAGGAGAAATTTCCTGACAGTTAGAACAATTAATCAGTGGAACAACCTGCCTCCAGGAACTGTGAATGTTCCAACACTGGAAGTTTTTAAGAAGAGATTGGACAGCCATTTGTTTGAAATGGTATAGGGCAGTGGTTCTCAACCTTTTTAATGCCGCAACCCCAACCAGTCGTAAGTCGAGGACTACTCAACCGGTCGAAGTCGAGGACTACTCAACTGGTGCAGCACCGTTTGCAGGATGGGACTTTTGGCGAGCTCAGCAGGGCAGAGACAGCCTGGACAATTCCTATTGGCTTTTGAAAGCCAATAGAATTAGACTCTATTCAAGAGAGTCTATTCTATTGGCTTTCAAAAGCCAATAGAATAAAAGGGAGTAGCACAGCTAAGGAAAAGGGGAAAAAATGGCGGACTGTGTTGTTTGGCGACCCCCGTGAAATGGTCGTTTGACCCCAAATGGGGTCCCGACCCACAGGTTGAGAACCACTGGTATAGGGTTTCTTGCCTGAGCAGAGGGTTGGACTAGATGACTTCCAAGGTCCTTTCCAACTTTATTGTTGTTGTTATTTTCACTTCACTTCAGATGCTGGTAGCAGTTATGAGACTACTTGCCCTCTCCAACAGTATAGACATGGATTTGATTTTAAAAAATGAACCCAACACTGAGAAGAAGAAAAATATTTTTTGCAAACTAAGGGAAAGCAGAGTTTTTACCGAAGTTGATAGCTAAAAGGTAGGAAGGCCTGGGGATCTGAATTGCTGGCCAGTGTACCAGTGGCTGTTTCTATTGTTAGGCATAACCAGGGTTTTCAGTTCATTGTTAAAGGAGATGGAAAGTTGAGGCCATCAGCTGAGAAGATGGATCTTTGGGGATTTTTGAGGTTCCTATTCCCTTGTTTAAGGGTGCCCTTGGGCTGTACTATTTTCTGGTGAGGAGGCTTCCATTCTTTGGTTTGGGTGGTCTTGTAGGGGGACTCTCTGGAGGCAGGAGGGTCATTTTGGGTCTGATAGGGTGGAACAAGGTGATGAACTGGTTTGACTATGGTCATATCCAAAAGACTTTGGAAAAGAGTGCAGCCTCCATTTTGTTTGCTAAGATTTATTTTTCTCCTAACTAGTATTTATATTGGCTGGCAAATTAGAAAATATATTTGATGTCACTTTAGACCCTTAAGAATCTATCTCTACCTATATGTTCAGTCAATGTAACAATTATAAAAGTCAACCATAATTTAGCATTAGTCCTCCCAATTACAGTTGCCTGAACCGCAAGATGGATGGCAAATAAATTTGAAAAATAAAATATGTTTAAAACTACTGAAATGCTTTATTTTTATGCTAGTTTTTGTGCATTAGATGTATTTAATGAGATTGATAAAAATTCAAAATATAAAGGACAGATGCAGTTTTAGAGAACAATTTTTATGATTTATGGAAAAAAGTACATAATATAATGTGATCTGTGCTACCCATAACTAAGAAAAGCTCTTGGGGTCATAGTGGATAACTCTGAAAATGTGAGCAAGATGAAGCAGCTGTGAAAAAGGAAAATCCATGCTAGACATCATTAGGAAATGGATTTGAGTGTAGAAATACCAATATTGTACTGCCATTATATATATTTATGATATGCCCCCTTCTGCAAAATTCTGTCCAATTATGTTCCTTAAGATATAATGGAAGTGGGGAAAATGCAGAAGGGAGCTACCATAATGCTCAGAGATCTTAAATATCTTCCCTGTAAGAAAGTCTGAAATGTTTGATGCACTTTAGGGGGGGGGGGAATCCTGAACGTAACAAAAGTAAGAACATGGCAAAGGTGAATAAAATAATTAATGACATAGAAAAGTAGACAAGAATCATTTTTATGACACTAGGATCATGGGTCATATAATGAAGCTGATTGGAAAGAGAAGACAAAAAGCAGTTCTTCATAAACTTGTAGTTAATGAATGCAAAATGTTGGCCTATAACAGGCTTTGACTTTAGCTAGCACTGCTGTTCTTTAGAAAGGAAACAACATTCTGACCCTGAAAATGTTTTCCTAATCAATTTGTTATATTAAATATGTCACCTTGTGAACCTCCATTTAGTGTTCAGAAATCAATGTAATCTACAACTTATCTTTCCTTTTAAATGGATCAAGCCAAGTTTTATGCCTGTCACTAATAGCTGTTTGCATGAGGTGCTCTTTGAAATGCAACCTAAACAGTTGATAGGACGATAGTAAATATATAATTTGGCAGCCCTTCTAGCCTATCTACCTTTTTTCAATACTTTCTATTTCAAGGTTCATAGTAAAAAGTTTTTATGCCACTCACTTCCTAAAGCACCATACTCAAATAAGATTTTAGAAGCCATAAAAAATTAGCTTCACAATATTTATTTTTACTATGCTTTCCAGAAGATTGTGCATAGTTGTATTGATAAAATTTAGCATATACCTTTATTCATCCTAGATGGCACCGCTGATGGCAGCCTCAGTGAAATGCTCTCTGATAGTTTTGTTATTTTCTATTATTCTGTGACTCACTTCGGATTTCCTACTCAAAAGAACATCTATTAAGCATCAAGGAATCTTTTTTTAATGGGCAGCTTCCTGTGACCTCACCTCCCCCTTTTTCTTACAAATGCTGAAGAGATTCTAATACCGGAAGAAGCATCTTCCCTTGAACAATGGAGTAATGTAAACAAAAGGAGAAAACAGCCTAGACAAAGGAGACATAAGAGAGCAGGGATTTTGAATAGACCAAGGAAAAGTGGAACAAAAACTCCTCTTCCTTCAGTCTATCTAACTAATTTATGTTCACTTGCTAATAAGATGGATGAAATACTTCTTTTAAACAGATGCAACTCTTGATTTTTACAACTCATCAGCCCTCTGCTTCACTGAAACCTGGTTTAATAACTCAATTGATGAGAGAGGCTTGTATATCCCAGGGTTTCCGAAGTAGTATAGAGTAGCAACATAGATGATACATAGATAATAGTAGTACTACTAGTAGTAGTAGTATTAGTAGTAGTAGTAGTAATAATAATAATAATAATAATAATAGTAATAATAATAATATCATCAGGAAGGCTTACTGACTACTGGAGAGACCAAACTGGCCTATAAGAAAGACCAAATGAAAAACAGAATAGAGGCATGAGAAGACAAAGCACTACATGGCCAATACATTAAAAAAAATAGCTGGGAAAGCAGATAATAACAAGACCTGGCAATGGCTAAGAGCAGGAAAATTGAAGAAAGAGACCGAGGGACTAATTCTGGCTGCACAAGACCAAGCCTTAAGGACAAATGCATATAAAGTCAAAATTAAGAAGACAGCAACAGACAGTAAGTGCCGCCTATTTATTTATTTATTTATTTATGAGACTTATATACCGCTTTAAGTGCAAGCACTCTCTAAGCGGTGTACACCAGTAAGCAATGTATATATATATTTATATTGCCCCCAACAATCTGGGTCCTCATTTTACCTACCTCAGAAGGATGGAAGGCTGAGTCAACCTTGAGCCGGTGAGATTTGAACCGCTGACCTGCTGAACACAGTCAGCTAAAGTGGCCTTCAGTAATGCACTCTAACTGCTGCGCCACCTCGGCTCTTATGCAAAGAAGCTGAAGAAACAGTGGACCACTTGGTAAGCTGTTGCAAGAAGATTGCACAGACTGGCTACAAGCAGCGGCATGACAAAGTAGCAACAATGGTGCATTGGAAGATCTGCAAAAAATATCATTTGCCTGTAAGCAAAAACTGGTGGGATCATAAAATAGAGAAAGTCATAGAAAATGATAAAATTAAACTGCTCTGGGACTTCAGAATTCAAACAGACAAGCACCTGCAACATAACACCCCAGACTTAACAATTGTCGATAAGAAAGACAAAAAAGTCTGGATAGTGGATGTGGCAGTGCCTGGAGATAGCAGAATAGAAGAGAAAGAACTGGAGAAGATAACAAAATACAAAGACCTACAAATAGAAATAGAAAGACTGTGGCAAAAGCAAGCAAGGGTAGTACCAATAGTCATAGGCTCCTTGGGTGCAATCCCAAAACAACTGGAGCACCACTTGAACATCATTGGCATTGACAAATTCGCTATTAGTCAATTGCAAAAGGCGGCCTTACTAGGAACTGCTTCCATCCTGCGACGATATCTGTAATACCATCAAACATCCACATCTGCCTATCCCAGGTCCTGGGTAAGGACTCGATAGGTAGACAAAATGCCAAATCCAGTCTGAACATCTGGCTGACTGTGCAATGATCCATAATAAAAAATATAATGATAATAATAATGTTAGAAGGGACCTTGTATGTCATCTAGTCCAACTCCCTGCTCAGGCAGGATATCCTATACCTGTGATGGCAAACCTATGGCACGTGTGCCACAGGTGGCACGCAGAGCCAACCCTGTGGGCATGGGCGCCATTGCCCCAGAGGGAGGCAAGGCTGGGCTGCTCCCCTCCCCCTCGCCACGTGCACCAGCACTTTCACTCATGGTGCAAAGAAAGAGGTGTTGAGCTCAAGGGCCAGGGAGGGAATAGAGAAAAAGATCGCTCTTGCCACAATCTCCCTTCTGCTGGCCACCGCACAGATCGCTTGCTGCCGCCAGCGTTCCCTCCCCATTGCATGGATCGCTTGCTGCTGGCGTTTTCCTTCCCATCCCTGCATGGATCACTTGCTGCCGCCAGCATTTCCCTCCCTGTACAGATTGCCTCGCTGCCGCCGGCGCTTCCCCTCCATACTCCTGCACGGATCGCTTGCTGCCACCGGCATTTCCCTCCCTGTATAGATTGCCTCGCTTCTGCCGGCAGTTTTCCCCCACCCCCTGCACAGATTGCTTGCTGCCGCCAGCATTTCCCTCCCTGTACAGATTGCCTCGCTGCCACCGGCGCTTCCTCTCCACCCCCTGCATGGATTGCTTGCTGCCGCCGGCGTTTCCCTCGCTTCTGATCAGCTGCAATCAGGCTCTCCATGGCGTGCTGCAGCTGGTTGATATGGGCAAGGCAGGAACGCACACAGACTCTGCTTTTTTCCTTTGGCAGCGATGGGGTTTGGGGGATAATCAATCCCCATTTGTGGTGTGGCCACCAACCAATCACCGCGCTCTCCTCTCAGGAGGGCAACACCAGCAGCCAATGCCGCAGCAGGAAAAGCGGAAGGCAACGCCCCCCCACCAGACCCGCCTGGTGACTCAGTAACTGCACTTCTCCTTAGCTCCAGGAAGCTTGTGCAATGGAAACTTGACAGTGAGGGCTGTGGGGCAGTCGCTGAGGGACCTGCTGCCGGTAATGGAGCCGGGGAAATGGGCTAGGTGGGGGGAGCTGCCAATGCTGCTGCCCTGAGGCTTGGCAAATCCTCCCCGCAAGCAGCCAGTATTCCTCCTCCCCAGCCAGCCAGCCACCATCCCCTGACTTATTTCTTACCTGCCCGGCCGGCTGGCTCAAAACCTCACCACTCTTCTCCTCGGCGGTGGCAGCCTAATGGACCTGAGCAAGCTGCTGGTTGCGCCGACCTGAGGCCCGGGGCAGGGGGAGAAGGAGGCAGGCGGTGCCGCAGCTTGGGTACCTCCGCTCCATCCAAGTTGAAAGCAGAGGCACAGCAGCAGGATTGCTCTCAAACAATAAGAGCCGGGTGTGTTGCTCGCTTGTGTGCACTCGCCTTATTGAGAGCAATCCCGCTGTTGCGCCTTCGCTTTCTTCAACTCGGATGGAGCCCAGGAGCCGCTGCTGGCCACTTGAGTGGGGAGGACAAGCTTTGCTGCTGTTGCTGGACTGCGGCAGGGCGCTTCGTCCTGGGGGGAAAGCAGCGGCATCCTAACCCTAATCCCCACCCTGCCCCCTCCCTCGCCTCACCTCGCCCTGCAGGACAAGCCTCTTGCCCACCGCCCTACCTGCCAGGACCCCCTGGATCTCCCCCAACCCGGCCAGGCCCCCAGAGGCATCCATCTCCAGGAGCAACATCAAGGTGGCCATGCCCACCCTGGCCACGCCTACTCAGTCTGCCGTGACTGCTGTAGCCACACCCATCCAGTGGGCCACGCCTACCCAGCACCCGGCGATACATAAGTGGGTTTTGGTTTGCAGTTTGGGCACTCGGTTTCTAAAAGGTTCACCACCACTGCCCTATACCTTTTCAGACAAATGGCAGTCCAGTTTCTTCTTAAAAACTTCCAACATTGGAGCATTCACTGCTTCTGGAGGCAGGTTGTTTCACTGGTTAATTGTGCTAACTCTCAGGAAGTTTCTCCTTAGTTCTAGGTTGCTTCTTTCCTTGATTAGTTTCCACCCATTGCTTCTTGTCCTGCCTTCAAGCGCTTTGGAGAATAGCTGGACTCCCTCTTCTTTGTGGCAACCAGTCATGGGTCAACAGGGTGAACAGCAGTGGACTTAGGACGCGGTCCTGAGGAGAACCTGTGTTCAAGAAAATGGTGTTAGAAATATTTGTCCCAGCTCGCATATATTGGAGTCTGTTAGTAAGAAAATCAAGAATCCAATTACAGAAAGAAGTGTTTAAGCCTAAAAGGCCCAGTTTATCTACTAGATGCTGGAGAATGATTGTGTTAAATGCTGAACTGAAGTCGACAAACAACAAACGCACATGAATATTTCTTTCCCTAAATACTCCAAACTCAGATGGAGAACAAAAGAAATAGCACCCTCTGTAGAGTAATTTGGTCGGTAAGCAAACTGAAGCAGATCAAATGCTGGCGGGAGTCTAGATACAATAATGTCCTTTATCAGCTTCTCAAAGCATTTCATAATAATGGATGTCAGTGCAACCAGACGATAATCATTGAGGCCTGTAATTATGGACTTTTTTGGCACTGGCAAAATGATGGCCATCTTAAAACACAATGGGACCACTGCCTGCTGCAATGATAGATTGAAAATAACTGTAAGAACACAAGCCAGCTCATCAGCACATTTCCTAAGAACCCGCCCAGGGATATTATCTGGGCCAACTGCCTTCCGAATGTTAATTTTCCACAGTGTTTTCTGGACAGAGGTGACATCAAAGCTAAGCATTTGCTCATCGGGATGGGCACAGCTTTCCTAGCAGGAGTGCTATTTGATGCCTCAAATCTTCCAAAAAATATATTCAGCTCGTTTAGGAAGTCTGTCATCCTTGCATCTCGATGGACCCACTGTATAATCTGTAACAGCCTGGATTCCTTGGCATATGTGTCTGGTATTTGTTGGGTCCTGAAAAAAGTTCTGAATTTTCTGGCAATGGGCTTGCTTTGCACCTTTTATGGCACTTTTCAAATTAGCTCTGGCTATTCTAAATGCCAGCATATTGCCAGATTTAAAAACCACATTCCGTGCTTGCGGACCTCATAAATCAGCCACAGTTTATCATTCGCCCTCACAACAATGCTTTTAAGGACACAGACATCCTCTATGCACTTTTGGATATATGCAGACACCATGGTGGCATACTCAACATTTATATGTTGGTTATCAGTTGCATACTAATATTTCTAAAATAAAAATGTCCTTCTAAATGACTGCCAAATTAAAATCCACTATCTTTAAGTTCATCTTACCCTCATACACCCAAGTTCTTGTTCTGCAGGTTCTGGATATCCTTCAAATAAGATCAGATGACATTCTCTAGGGCTTCAAGTAGAGAAGGAGAAGAAAAACTCTTTTTTCACAAATGCAAAATATGCTATCACATTGTTGACTTTATTTCACAGAAGAAAAAAGTGTTTTACACAGACAAGCTTCTGATGGATGGATGCTGATTTTAATTAAATTTAATACAATTGTTTCAGCTCTTTGGAAGCATGTTTATTTTGAAGTCAGAGTACTGGTATTTTAAAGAGTTTGTATTTTTTAAAGTAATAATGCAATACTGTCTATCTGCTATATTAGCATTACATATGCTAATCAATAGCATACATGTATTTAGAAGAGATTTAAGCTAGACATTTTAATATACCATATAAATCAAAATTAAGTTTAATAATTACACTTTGTTAGTAAAATAAGGAGTATGCAGAGGAGTTGTAGTCAGCAGATACTTGAAAGAAATTGTATAAATTTAAACAACTAAGTTTAAAGAATCAAGTTACTATATTAATAACATTATGCACTGAACTATGCCAGAAAAAGTGAAAAAAGAGGAACATTCTGATTCTATCAATGTTTTTAATTTTTCAAAGATCTGTTTTAAAATGTAACAATATATCCACATTCTAGCCTTGCTCAAGATAACAAGCCATCAAGTATTTATCAAGCGACATCTTGTTCCAGCCACTATGAAGACACGCCTCTGAAGTTTGTGAAGATACTTTTTGTCTGAAAGGTTACTCTTGTTTCTCATCACCTTTTACAGGTCTTTTCATACGTGAATATGGGCTGACAGTGTCATCCATCACAAAGTCATAAAGCACTTTAATCCAAGAGTTATATTGTGGTAAGTGGTCATAGTATTCAGGAGCCATTTTCTTTAGCTAAAATTGGAAACATATGCATACATGTATTAATTCAGTATTCCATCTTTAATATTAAGATGCAAAAAACTTGTTTTCAAAGCCTCAAATTAAGAAAAGTTTGCAACGGTATCCCAGCTGGGAACAAATTAAGAATTTTTGTCACTTGGGTCCTAAACAAAGCTAGTTTGACACATTTTCTTTACATTTCCCATAAAAATGATTATCTATTCTATAAAACCTGTATCAGCACTGGAGATAAATGCGTCTTAATTGACTCTGAATTTTAGCAAATAGATAAAAATATTAGATTAAAAGAAATGTACCTAATATCATACATACCTCGTTATGACTATTACGACGTTTTCATGGTGTTATTAAAACCATTTCTAGTAATTTTGGAGTACCAAGGTCTAGCACTGAAATACTAATCACCTTTATTTCTGGGCTATAGATACCTTTGCTATTACCATTATAAAACTAAAAAACGTAATTCAGATATTACTAGAACTTGTGGTGTACAGATTATTTATCTTCCTAAAAACTGATTTCCAACACTGTTGAATGTTTTAGGGAGTTCCACCAATGCACCAATTTTGTTGCATGCCTTCCAACAGAGTTGCTTGTTTAAGAGGAATAGCTATAGAACAGTGATGGCAAACCTTTTACAGACCGAGTGCCCAAACTGCAACCCCAACCCACTTATGAATTGGGTGGGTGTGGCCCATTGGCTGAGTGTAGTCCATTGGCTGGGTGTGGCCCATTGGGTGGGCATGGCTGCGGTGGTAACGACAGACTGGGTGGGACTAAAAAGTTCAATCAGTTCAATCAATCAATTCCAACTTTGCAAGATTTTTTTTTCCCGCGAGTTGAAATTGACTCTTTAATTGAACCTTTTTTTTTTTTGCACACGGCGGTGGAGGCCTAAAGCAAAAAGGTTTTATAAAACCCAGCTGAAGGCCTAGGAGTGGGGCGACAGTGCGCGTGCCCACAGAGAGGGCTCTAAGTGCCGCCTCTGGGACCCGTGCCATAGGTTCACCACCACTGCTATAGAATAAATAAAAATTCTTTAAAAACTTTTCTTACATTTCTTGCTAAAAGAATTGGGATTATACTGTCAATGCATTAATTTCAAATATTTTTGCTAATTCTTCCAAAAGAAGTATCTTAGCAGTTTATTCCTCCATAAAATATTCCATGCCCTAATACCTTCTGTAATGAAACTCTCATTCCCACAGATATTTATACAGTTTGGATTTATTTATTTGATTTGTATGGCTGCCCAATCCATGACAACTCTGGACAGTCCTAGTATCTGGGCATTGTATCCTAGATATCCTTATTTATGCCCTATAAATTTTGACACTGCTCCACCCATATGTTCTTCTATCCCATATTTTTCAAAATCAGCAAGGCAAACTGTATAAACCTACTTCCTCTAACTCCTCAATGAAACTGCTAACAAAACTGTTAAGGCCATCAACAGGAAATCTGAAACAAGTCTGCTGAAGCCCGCAGAAGAAGCAAGCAATGTATGGGTACAGAAATTGTACAACATAATTATTGGCTAAATTTGATGATTCTGACTTGACACAAGACAACTTATTAGCACTGTGGTAGAAGTTACAATAAATCTGAAATATTAGGTAACTTTATAGAGCAATTTTTGTGCAAACTTGAACGGAAAGCTACATGTATATATTTTCAGCTAAGGCCTGCTTGGAAGCAACTGCCCAGTGGTAATTATAAATCCCTTTCTTACATCAATGATTGTGAAGAGTCTACTTTGCCAAAAATACTTGAACTTTATCAAATGATGGTATATGGGGTCATTATCTCTTGTCCTGTTAAAGAATCTTGGCATCTAAATATATGCTACTGCTCTGAAGAGTAAGCATTATTATTTAAAACAAGGGACTGTTTAGTTCATTAAAAGTTTACTTTCACTATTACATTCTAAACCAGTGGTTCTCAACCTTTTTAATGCCGCGACCCCCAACCGGTCGTAAGTCGAGGACTACTCAACTGGTGCAGCACCGTTTGCAGAATGGGACTTTTGGCAGGCTCAGCAGGCCAGAGACAGCCTGGACAATTCCTATTGGCTTTTGAAAGCCAATAGAATTAGACTCCATTCAAGAGAGTCTATTCTATTGGCTTTCAAAAGCCAATAGAATAAAAGGGAGTAGCACAGCTAAGGAAAAGGAGAAAAAAAATGGCGACTGCATTGTTTGGCGACCCCCGTGAAATGGTCGTTCGACCCCAAATGGGGTCCCAACCCACAGGTTGAAAACCACTATTCTAAACACTTAGAAGTTGTAATGGTAGTTAGTAGCATTAGTTGTAATGAAAGTAAACACATCCTATATTAATTTCAAAGTATTATGACTACACTAGATTGCAAATCATGCAGATATTGAATAGTAGCTAGAAGCCAATTGGCTATATTCATGAAATGGGCTTTTAAGCTGTAAAAACAAAATAAATGCACTAATATTTACTTACCAGTGGAAGACTTGTTCCAGGAATGTTAGGGAAATCATGATGTTCGTTGTGATAGCCAACATTGAAGGTAAGCTTATTTAGTGGCCCATAATATGAGTATGTTTCATACCCCTTTAAAAACATATAATGTTCGGCTATGAAATGTCCTGAAATAGGATGCAAGCCCAGCCCCAGTATCATTCCTGCCAGAAGATAGAACAATGATTTTATTCCTAGGAAATAGTATACAAGAACATCAAAGATAAATTGAATTGATAAATTAATTATTTCTAAACGAGATATTGGCTTGGGGTTAATACAGAGGGGTCGAACAGAATAAAAAAGTGGCTGGAGAATAATCCACATGAATTTTCGAAAACGGGTACAGAAAAACCATCCTTCAAAGTCGGTAGGTATATCCACATCAATTCCATCTGCACCAAGATAACGATGATGATCCATGTGGTATCTCTTGAACGATATGGAGTATGGTACACCAAGTGGGAGATTGGCAAACATTCCAAACCATCGATTCCAAGAAGATCTAGAATTGCCGAAGGCACTGTTGTGAGCAATCTCATGAATTGCCAAAGTCATGGAGTGGTTGAGACAACTGCCAAATACATATGCCCAAAATACAACCCATTTCCAGTCCAAATCTTTAACTAGACAAAGAGCAACAAGTTGTGCAAACACCATAAGTACAACCAACCAGATTACATTGTAGTCCGGTTTCATCAAGGTTTTTATCTCTGGATGTTTACCTATTGAAAGAAGAGAATAAATATCAACTGACAATTTGAACAGAATTGAAATTTCAATAAAAAACTCCTTCAAAAGTTAGAAGTTTACATTAAAGAATTAATGAGTTAGTACAAATGTACAGACTACAGGTAGTCCTTGAGTTACAACAACTGTTTGAATTTACAGTGGCACTGAATCAATGGTAATTATACCCAGTTCCCAAAGTTATGGCCATTGTAGTACCCTTGGAGTCATGTGATCAAAGTTTGAATATTTGGCAGCCCGCCCACATTTATGACTGAAGGGATGCTTCAACTTTTGCCACCTGCCTATGTCCCCTCCATCTCAGTCCTTTTGGCCTCCTGCACTCCACTATGGTTTTCCTTTTTTCTTATTGCTACTGCTGAACCAAGCACACTGAGCCTGGCCCTTTGCATGTCAACTGCTGGCCACACAAGGCTTTCCTCCCAACATATGCAGCAGTTTCCTTGCAAGACCTGGGGAAGAAGACCTCACATGGCCAGCAGCTGCCTCCTCCCATAAGAAGTGGGAGGAAGAAGATAGCAAAGGTCAGCTTAGGAGATGGAATGCAGGGCAGAAGAGAATTTCTGAGATAGGGTGGACATTCCTGAGGTGATTGTGACCTCACGCCATGCTAGCAGGCTAGGTTGGGACTGGCTGGGAATGGCTTCAGTTCAGAGTGTTGGACTGGGGCAGCTACGGTCTAGCGATGTAGTGCTGGGCTGGGGCGGCCGGGCTTCCCAAGATGGTTGTGGCTTTGTTCTGTGGCTCAGGGGTTTCTTGCAACCCTTTGCCCTGTCAGTGTTGATGGGTGCGGTCTTGGAGATTCTTTGGTTGGGTTGTTTACTGTTACCTTGTTCGGCCGTTCCTTGATTGGGGTATTGTTCACTTCTTGATTGTTGGTCTGATGTTAATCTATGCTCATCTGGCTGTGGCTTGCTGGTGAGGTAGTATTTTGATCTTTCTGTTCCCTTTTTGGTTGGTCAATTGTCTTTTACACAGTATGTAGATGTTATTAATGTTTATATGTCTGTTCATGACCAATTTGTCAGATTGCCAGGCTTTCAGGTACTCTAAAGTTTTTGGACTTGTCTTAGATAACCTTTATTGTCATTTTTTTTTTTACTGTGGGCACAACGGCACACATCAAAAATGAAATTTAGTTGCCTGTTCTCAAAGTGAAACACATACATGACACATACCAAAACATACTATGTACAACATATGTATAGACCTACACCCCTATATATACATAACAATAAATATTAAATACTGTCCATCTTAAATATATAATGGAAGGAGGAAGCTTGAGAGTTCACAAGGTTAATGCTGTTGTTGTGATTCCGTGCCAGCCTGTGCTCCCAACAGCTGAGTCTGAGGAATCTGAGGAGGAGGTGGAGGAGGCATTTGAAGGGCCATCAGGGGCAGAGGGAGGCTCTGATGAATTACAGGACTCAGGTTTGATGCAGAGCCTGGGCCTTCCAGTCGTGTTCCTGATGAAGCTCAGCTGTATGAGAATGAGTCAGACTCGGAGGACTCACACCTGATGGACATGCTAATTGATGCACGCACACATCGTCAATTAGCAAGAGTAAATTAACAGCAGTCAATGTGACTACTCCAGGGAAAAAGGAGAAGGCACTGAGAGGCAACACCTTGGGACTGCTGTATAAAAAGATGTGTGGGCGTGCTGGTTGCTGAAGGCAACCGTTTGCAAAGTACTTCTTTGGATCCTGGTCTGTTCTTCTTGCTTGTGACTACTCTTCTGTTTGTATCGTGTTTCCTGTGGACTATTTCCTTCATTTGGATTGAGTTTTGCTGTTTGTGTTTTGGACTATTTGCAGGTTTGTCACCCATATTAAAAGGGGTTTGTTTTATTTTAAAGTCTCCAGCCTATTTTATCAACAAGGGTTTGGTCCTTGTGCCGTTAACAAGGACGGCTATAGGCTGGGATAGAACAGCTGTATGGAATGAAACTATGGCGGAATCTGGATGTTCTGCTACGGATACCACAAAGCCTCCTCCCAGAAGGTAACAAGGAAAACAGGTCGTGAAGAGGATGTGTAGTGTCCCAGATGATCTTATGGATCCTGCTCAAACAACGCTTCTGTGCTATGTCCTGGATGGGCGGAACTGCCAATGATTTTTTCGGCCATCCTCACCACTCTCTGCACCACCTTCCTGTCTGAAGCAGTGATGCTTCCAAACCAAACTGTGATGCTGTATGACAGGATGCTCTCGATCGTCCCCCGGTAGAAAGTGGTCAGGACAGGGGAAGGAAGATGTATTTTTCTCATGCGACGCAGAAAATGCAGGCGCTGCTGTGCCCGCTTCACCAGTTTCTCACTGTTCAGCGACCAAGCCAGTTTGGTCAGTTTCCCAGTTGAAACTATGGTTAGGTCTGTCCGTATGTTGTGAAATTAAAGAGTTTTCATCAGGTCTTCTGATTACTACTGTAATTAGTGTTTCTGTTTTACTATTCTTCTGCCTGTTTTGGCTGTTGCACTGTATGTTGTAAATTCCTGTTTGTTTGTTTTTTGGGGCTGCTGAGTCTTTTAGTTTACTAAGGATGTTTTGGAGGGTTTGGGTTGGTTTGTGTGTTATGCTAATTTCTAAATTGATTAGTGAAAAAAGATTGAATAAGGGAATAAAGGAATTATTGTAATGTTAAGGAAAGCAGAGAAATAATGAGTTTGTAAGGAAGGATGGAAGTTGCTTCTTTCCCTTTTAACTTTTTTTCCTGCATCTTTCCTTTATATATTTCTGCATTTGTTGTTTACTAATGTAAACACTTAATAAAAATTAATAATTATACTCCAAGACATGGGGAAGGCAAATTTAAACTGTTTTAAATAAATCAGTTTGTTTTTCAATGCTTCATCAATATTATACAACATTTAAAAAGACTTGTCTATCTGGATATAGTTAATTGTTCATCATCAAATTGGATTTAATTCTTGATGGCAACCTGAACAAATACTTAACCTGCAACTATTTTCAACTCAGATTATTTAAGAATAAATTCAACATTCTCTTTAATGTTATATATCCATCTTCCATTTCCCTCAGCAAGTTTGTGTGTTAAGCACAAACTTTTAATCTCCTTCTTTGCATAAAGTATGTGAGTCTACTAGCTGCTCAGCACATCCAAAAAGCAGGCAGCCTTTACTCGGCCCACTGATTTACCTGTTACTCATCACTGTTCAGCTTTCACAACCAGATATAATACTAAAAGTTACTTAACTGCCTAGATGCAAATCACATTCCCAAATTACATATCTACACACATAGGGACTTTTTAAAAAAGCAGTAGGTGGAGAGCCAGCATAAACTAGTATTGTAAGTAAGGTGTTGGGCTAGCACAGTGGTTCTCAACCTTTCTAATGCCGTGACCCCATAATACAGTTCCCCATGTTGTGGTGACCCCCAACCACTTATACATCACCGGGTGCCAGGGACATGGCCAAAGAAAAGGGGGAAAAAATGGCTGACAGCCTTGTTTGGCGACCCCCGTCAAATGGTCATTCGACCCCAAATGGGGTCCCAGTTGAGAACCACTAGGCTAGCAGATGCCCAAGAGCAAAATGAATGCACTCTAAGAGAAGGCTGGAAAAAAAATATGAATGGATGATTAAGGAATGGTGACTGAAATCAGGGACACCCAGGTTCCAGTCGATACTCAACCATGGAAGTTTCTTTAGTGACCATCACACCCTTTAGGCTGATCCTCCTTCAGAAGATTGCTGTTGTAGGAGGAACAATGGGACAAACGAATTGGATTCCTAAAAGATAGACTAATAAATCAGCAAATAAATACGCATAAATTCTGAAGGTAGGAAAAGCCTGAGTGGAACTTGAGTCCAACATTTTCTTTGGAGAGTTAATGGTAAAACCCACAACTGGGATGTCACGTGAAGTTCTACATGACCGCCTACCAAGAAGAAAGTAGCATTTAACCGACTTGGAGCAAGGAGGGAATCAACCCAGAGACGGAGAAACTCGATAGGGCGTCGAAAAGCGTCAGTAAAAGGTCTCCTTCTAAAGTGACTCACTGCGACCACAGATGCTTTTGCTCGCCCTCCTCCCTCCCCGCTTCAGCCTCTCCCACCACGAAAACCGCGGAGAGGCTTCGGAGAAGGCGACGCCCTTCCTCGCCAGCTGGACCGACCGTAAAGGCGCGACGCGCACGCTTCTCCACATAAGGCATCGGCGCAACGCGGCGCTTGCCGCACAAGAGGCCGGGGCGGCCCAAGGTAGAGAAATGCTCCTACTCACTCAAAATCTCCTTGCGGCGGTCGGCGTGCGGCTGGTCGGTATAGACCCACTCAAAGTCTTCTCGGGCCACAAAGTTTCCCATGCCTGAGGAAAAGCCGCCACCAGGCCGTGGTCTTGCCTGAGGCTCTTTCTACCGACCCGAAGGAGCTGCAAACGGCTGCACTTCAACACCGCTACTCGGCTGACTCCTTTTCTCTCACATTGGAGGGCGGAGGACCTCTGCTGACGGCCGCCTCTTCATCGCGGCCCCATTGGCTCCCGCGGGCGGTGACGTCACGGAAACAGAGCCTCTTGAGAGGAGCCTGACGGCCACAGATTCAAAGTGGTCCTTTTTTTTCTTCCCTTGATGCTTCTCGTAAACATTTGGAGAGGATTCGCGTTAGGGTTAGGCGTTTCATTTGGAAATGGTCTTGTGGCTAATAATATTACGCTACCATTACTGCGACTTCTGCAGACGGCGCCCACCCCGTGTCATCACCCTAGGAAATGATACTCGGAGTCCTCTTCCACTGGAATTGAGGGCGGCAGAGGCGCGGAAGTGTTCCCTCTCGCTGGGAAACGCCGGCCCACCTTTTATAATGAAGACCCCGCTCTTTTGCTGCCTGAGAGCCGGCTTCTTCAGGGCTATATCAATAGTGTCTCTTGTTTTGAAATGATATTTCGGGTGTTTTAATGTAATGCATAAGATTTGTCTTTGTAAGCTTTATAAGTAATCGCTTATGTGTGTGATGTGCATGTATTTTGCAACAGAAACCTCTCCCTGGGCGGTTTGCAACGCGTGATGGCTGCTGCGGGTAAATATATCTGCTCAGCCAAAAAGAAAAAAAAAATTGCAGCGATGTCTGGGAGCGTGAAAACGGAAGCGTATCCGGGCCTGAGATAACTGGCTTTAAGGGATATATTAGGTGGTTATATAAAAATTATATATATATAATTTTTAAACTGTTGGTTGGGAGCCGCCCAGAATTCAAATTCAAGATATAAATGTTTTAAATGTTTCCACGCGCCTTCGAGAGTCTAACTCGGAGCCAAACTACCGTACAGAACTGCAGCGCTCGCCTTTCCTCTTCGCTTCGGCGCGGCCAGCCTCGTTCTACACTGAGGCAGCCGTGTTTGGGCTGCCTCAGCATAACTGACTGCAGAGAATCCGCAATCCGAGACTCCGTTCGGGCCTTCTGCCGGACATGCCCCCCTCTCCCTCCCCCCCAGTAACAACAGCATTTTGGCAACAGGAGCCTGGCCTGAGCGGCGCTTTAACCTTGCCGGCAACCCATGCGGTCCACTTCTAGGATGTTAATACTGGCGTTGAGCACATTGATATCAACTGGACTCTCAAAGGATACGCAGGACTCGAAGACGAGGCGTGGATGCTGACTTCGCAGATCCTAGATTGTGAACTGGGGGAGAGGGCGGGGAGGAAGGAGAGACGAATGTGTGGACGGATATCAAATTCCAACTTTGTGTTTATGTGAAAGACACTTTTGGACTTCTTGCTAGAAACCGAAGGAAATGTTACATTAAAATTTGAGGTTGGACGATTAGAAAAAGACACAGGCATGTCTCAAGCAGAGGTTTGAAGCTGCAGGACACAGCTTGACAAACTCTTGAGTTTATTGCTTCTTATATACTTGTTACATACATAGGCTTTACCATTAAATGCTGACAAAGGTTTCTTCATTGGAAAATGTCTTCATGTAAGCAACTATTTCCTAGTAACATATTACATGATCAAAGACCAGGTAAAGAGCAAACAGGAGAAGGAACTAACAAAGGCAGGAAAAGATAGGAATGAATTTAAGCATATTATCTGTTTAGGTAGGTGAGGCATTAAGTCAAAAGTGGATGACCTGGCTGCTTCATTAGAATGAAGGGTATCAAAAGGTTATGAGGTTTGTGGGGGGGAAGGCACGGCTGTTTGCTGCGGGTGCATTTTTCCTCACAGAAATGTTTATGATTAAGTATTAGGTTTTACAAAATTTGTGATCAAAAGATTAATGTATTTTATATTTATAATTATGGAAGAAAGTTGGAACTTTTCAATATTCTTTATTCCTTTATACCTTCCCTTTATCTTTTTCCTACATGATTTTTGTTTTCTATATCTTATTTTTTGTAAAAAAACCAAAACACATTTGTACAGAGCAAAAGGAGATTAGCAACACATCTTTCAACTTCTTTTTTGTTCTTGCAGGCTGCAGAAATAACTGCCACAGAGGGAGAGCATTTTCAATAACAAGTCAATGGTACTAGTTAATATCTTTCTGCCTGTTAGTAACAAGTAAACATAAATTCCAGAATAGGAAAACGGGGGGGGGGGGGGGAAACAACAAATTACAGAATAGGAAAGGGAGGGGGAATAAAATATAAAACAATTGACATAACCAAAACCTTTATTTGTTTTATATAACAAGTGGAGGAAGAGGAGAAAAAAAAATATGAGATACAGAATAAGGTTGTTTGTTAAAAACCTATGACAATAAATGCATATTACAAATATATATTTTAAAAAATAAAATGGCTCTCTCACCTAAGGGTTTGCATGCAGTGGAGCCAGGAAAAAATATTGAGCCAAGTCGATCAAAGGAGGAGGATCCATAGTAAGTTCAAAAGTGATTATTCCTGGAAGAGATATAGTTATAATCATAGTAGCCTTACATCAGGGATGTCAAACTCAATTTCATTGAGGGCTGCATCAGCACTGCAGTTGCCCTGGGGGGGTCAGGGGGGATAACCGGGGGGTGCAGCCTACTGGGTGGGCATGGATGGAGTAGGTGTGGCCTACTGGGTGGGCATGGTTTCGGCAGGCAGCGGGGCGCTCTCACAGCACCAAGAGATTGAGCCGGGCAGTGTGAAGCTCGCCAACTTTGCACCTTGCTGCCTGCTGAAACTGGGCAGGCTGGGGGCTAGGCAGCATTGCACTTCTCATCAGATTTGTGCCATCCAGCTCAGCTCTTGGCGCTGTGAGGAGAGCACCCCGTTGCCTGCTGAAACCGGGCAGGCTGGGAGCTGGGTGACCTTGCATTTCTTTTTGGATTTCCACCGCCCGGCTCAGGCTCTCCTCAGCACTGTGAGGAGAGCACCCCGCTGCCTGCCGAAACCCCTCCCCCAGAGCCCATCAAGCCAGATATGTGAAGTAGGTGAGAGCCATTTGCTGGCCACTTCCAGGTGATGGAGCATTTCTTCATTCCTCACAAAGGGTGACACCTCCCCAGCATACACCCAGTTGGTGGGGCTGACGCAGCAGGGGCTGGTTCCTCACTGTTTCCAGACAGCCTTGTGGAGCTAAGACTGAATGCATTTCAGCATAGATGGCCACCACAAAATTGTACATTGGCTCCCGGCTAGCGAGGGCCATTCCCTGTTTCCAGAATGGCTTCACGGGCCACATGAAACCACTTTGCGGGCGACATCTGGCACCCGGGCCTTGTATTTGACATGTCTGCCTTACATTATTATTTACTTTCTCTAAAGTAGTCTTAATACTGAATTTGATGGGCATTAAAAAAAATACCTTGTCAGCTCCCATCAGATTTGTCTGCAGATGCACAAATAATAGGCAATCTGTTTCTTAATAAGTTGACAAAAGCTACATTGAGGAGATGTTTGCTAGTAGGCAAAGGAGAATTGGTGATCCCAAGGACCAGGCTACTTCCAGGTTTTAAAAACTCTAATTGTGATACTTTTTAAAAAAATAAGTAAGAATACATGACAGCAACAAAAAACACTCATACAAAAAAAGTGAAGTTTATTTGAATAAAAAGAATTAACAAGCTAACCTTTGGATGTTTCAAAAATTATTTGCAAGAAATGATAATACAAACAAGTATAACTGCTAGTCATTAAAGCTAGAGGAGTCTGAAAGAAAGCATTACTGCTTTAAAAGCATGAATAAGTGATTCTTTTTCAGATTGAAAAAAAAGCAGAAATTGTCTAAAGCACTTCTTCTGAACCAGCTTATTAGCAATTATAGAAAAATAGGGTTTCTGCCACGAGTGGCAGGGCAAGGACAAAATAACCAAGCAGGATCAGTACTGGACAGACTACTAGAAAACCCAAAAATACAAGGCTTAACTTTGAAGCCAAAAAAATATCCTGGAAGAAGGCAACAGCAAGATATAGATGGACTGTATGAATATGGCGGTTTAAAGTTGGGCAGCGTACAAGTTTAATAAATAATGTTGTGTATATTACAGTATTACAATGCTATATTATACTATCATATTATGGCATAATCCTGCATAATTTAATTGCATAATATAGAATACAATACAAACTGGAGCGCCAATTTGGTCTAGTACAGTGGCTCCCAACCTTTTCTATACCCTGCACTCCTAGAACGCCTCTGATATATTCTTGCACCCCTTACAAAAGTTTGAAATAATGGCAATGAATTATGCATATACACTATAATTTTGAAAACCCAAGTTTTCGCACCCCCTGGAACATCGTCTCGCACCCCTAGGGGACGTGAGCACTCCCGGTTGGGAATCACTTGTCTAGTAGTTAAGGCACCAGGCTAGAAAGCGGAAGACCATGATTTCATGTCCCACCTTAACCATGAAAACCAGCTGAACCAGTCACTCACAGAGTTATTGTGAGGAAAATAGGAGGAAAGATATGTTCACTGCCTTGAGTTATTTAATAAATAATAAAGGGATATAAATTAAAATAAAATATTGTCACATAACCAAATTTTCAAACGATTATATTTAGTTTTGTTACTACAGTACTATTCCTGTATGGCCCTAATGTCACTTGGTATTGAGCTCTAATAACTTTTATATACTATAAATAGTATAGTTTTATTGCTAGCACAAATGACCCTTTAGGCCATCCTCTCTGATTGGCCAGGGAACTACTAACTTCTTTCTTATTGTCTTAATCCAGGGCTTTTCAACCAGTGGTACACGACCCCTAGCCAAGTGTAGTGGGGGAGGGAACGAACTAAAGCGGCGCCACACAGGCCTGGAGGAGATCAGCCGGACTACAGGGCTCAGCAGAAGTCCCAGGATCTGCGCACGCAGCTATATGCTGATTGGAGCTTCCGAGCGAAGGGTGAGCATGAGATTTTTGAGAACAAAGGGTGAGTGAGTGAGAGGCGCTTTTGCGAGAAAAGGGCGAGTGAGTTAGAGTGAGAGAGCAGCCTTTGCGAGCAAAGGGTGAGTGAAAGAGCGAGCGAGGTTGCAAGCAAAGAGTGAGTGAGAGCATAAGTGAGGGGATTTTGCGAGCAAAGGGTGAGAGAAAAAGGGAAAAGTGATGGGAAGAAGGGAAAAAGAAAAGGCATTGACTTCTGACTTCCTTTGTTGCAGTAGAAGGAAGCATTAACATTGAACCTCAACTTTTTAATTTCCCATAATATAAACTAGCCATTTCTATAATAACAAATGAATCTAACCAGTAAAGACCCAAATCCCCCCTTTGTTTTAGTCATCAAGTTTTTGACACTTTGCTAAGCATTGGTGGTACTCAAATATTGTCCTAAAAGTGGTACAATCTGTGAAAAGGTTGAAAAGCCTTGTCTTAATCTATGGAGAAAAAAAATGCACCTTTTTTTCTACACAAGTACAAGCCAATTATCTACACAGGAAAAAAAGGTTTGATATCAGTGCTGCAATTCAAATTAAATCACATTAAAAGTATTGTGAACATATGGAACTCTATCGACAGAGATCCTGATCAATAAGAAAAGGCAAACTGAGAACAAAGCAACACATGACCAGGCAGCACTCATGAAGGGAAGCAAAATCAGATCACCCTTTATTCTTATCTCTGCACAACTGGGCCTAGGAGTGAATGAGTATATATTTGATAATGTTCTAAAATTGAAACTCATTGGATTATAAGATTCTAAGGTTATTCTAAGTTACTCAGAAATTGCCTGGGCAAGTGCCTGCAGTTTTCTTGGCAAGCTTTTTCAAAAAGTGGTTTGCCGTTGCTTCCTTTCTAGGACTAAGGTCATTCATCTGGCTTTGTGCCCAAGACAGGACCGGAACACACAGGTTCCTAGCCTGATCCCTTAACCACTATACCAGATTGCCTCTCTTCTTAAAATATATATAAAATATAAAATGCTAAACTGGTAGATATATCTTTGGGCCAGACTTGTTGTGAGTCCATGCCAGCCAGTGGACTCGGCAGCTGAGTCTGGAGAATCAGATGAGGAGGAAGAAGAGGGGTTTGGAGAGCCATCAGAGTTGGAGGGAGGCTCTGATGAGTTACAAGACTCACAATCTGATGAAGAGCCTGGCCCCTCCAATCGTGGTCAGGATGAGACACAGCTGTGTGGGGAAGATGAGTCAAGACTCTGAGGACTCACAGCTGGAAGTCATTAGAGACACTCCTAAACGAAGGCAGTTAACTAGAGCAGGTCAGAGGGAGTCAATAGGGCAACTCCAAGGGAGGAGGAGAAGGCATTGAGAAACCTTGGGCTGCTTAATAAAAAGGGACGGTGTGGGTGATGCTGGTTGCTGAAGGCAACCGTTGCAAAGTATTTCATCGGATCATGTTCTATTGGTATTGCCGGTGATTAATTCCTTGTTTTGCATTGTGTTTCGTGTGGACAATTTCCTCCATTTGGATTGTGTTTTGTTGCTTTTGTCTTTGG